TTCTCGTTTAAAAAAACGACTCGATCAACATTGGACAAGTATGATAACATCTGACAAGCCCTAAGGTGTTCAAATTGTATCTTATCTACCACAAAGTGTGTATACATTCATAATATACATGTGTGTGTGTTCCAGTGTACTTCAGTGTACACTTGTTTTGTCTACCACATACTTTTGCTTTTATAATCATTAGGCAAATGGCTAAATTGGTAGAATATGTAGAGCTAGCAAATGTAACATAGAAATTATATCTTCTCATTGTGTTTATTTGTTTATTTACTTATTGAATATAAAGAGAATAAAGTGGTACTTGGTTAACTTGACTGTAATATTCTTTCGTTCAGATCTTCTTTTAGTTTTACTTCATTTACCGAAGTTTGTTATCTTTTTCCTTCTTCTCCTTCATCTTCAACCATTACTACTATGGTCATAGTTTAAGGAAACGTTATCAAAATAATAAACTTATTTGACAATAAATAAATTTTTTAGAGAGTGAGTTCATTATTTGAAGTTTCATTCAAATTTCTCTACTTGATTTGAAAAATTCAATTAAATTTTTTTAATGAGTAAATAGAATATGGAACAAGAAAAAAGAAACATTCTCAATTCAATTAGCAATATGTGTTACTCAGTTGTTGTTGCTTTTTTCTTATAACAAATATACTACTCATTTTCAAAGGTTTATATAGTAAATTTTAATGATGAATATAAGCATAGATTGTTCACAGATTAGTATTCATTGATAACTGAGTGATAGTAGATAATTGATTCATTGAAATAATTGGTGAATTTACAATGACAACTAACAGTTTTGTAAGTGAATTAAATGTTCCTCAGTTTTAAAGTTATTAGTTTTGCTTTTATGAAGCTCAATGCACTTGATATAATCAACAGAACTATTATTAGTAACCTTGTTATCATGTGAAAACGATCTTAAAACTTCCATAATCATGACATCCTAAGAGTGAACTTATCTTTATTCTCTTTACTTTTACATTCAATATTCAACTAATATATTTTATCAGTATTCTTAACATCATCTCTGTCAGTGATATTACAATATACTTATTTGTATTTTAATATCTGTTTACATTAGTACATGTTTATACTTAACGATATAGTGATAAGCTCAATATATTCTCTGTTTTGGACTGCGGAGATTATTGAATTTTATTAAAATCATGAATCAATCATTGTCAGGTCACCATTGAAAACCTCGAAGCACTGAACGGTCATTTTGTTCCAGTATAACATTCATTGACAATGCACATCCATGACCTACACGTCGGTTTCAAACCCAACACTTTCAGTCTCGTGCATGAATGCTCAACCCTTAGACCATTGAGCCGGAATCCAGCGGTGTTAGTTTCTAACTTCAACGAATCCACGATATTGTGTAATCATCTATTGTTTTAGGTAGGCAACTGTCTCACACTGCTGAAGAGTAACACACTAGAACGAAACGGTCATCCAATGCCTCCAGGCCTTCAATGGTGGTTTAACATTGATCGATTCATGATTTTAATGAAACTCAATATACCTTACAAGGTTTTTTAAAATTTGTGCTGGGGAACTTAGCTCAAATAAAGTAAAATAAAACTATCGATATTGAAGAGTGTAGAATCAAATGAATATATCATGTCGAAATCTCTTCATAAAAGCTTCTTACTTTGAATTAAACTCATTAGAAATTGTTAACACTATATATCTATCGAGAAATAGTTTGGTATTACGTCAGTATTAATATATTCAGTAATAAAATGGTAAATCATCTCAAGGGAACATGAACACAGATTCTATAATATTGTTAATATGGTATTTTAAATAATGAAAATGAGAATGAAATATAACAATGGAAATATAATTACTATAGATCATATATAGACATTGATTCTTAAGTTGATGTATACAATATAAGAATACATTATCGATACTTCATAACTAATAATAGAATTACTCAAGTATAAAATCATTTTAAACTATGTCTTTTTAAATAGCTGAATGTTTTAAATCATTATCATAAAATGTTACAAACTTTTAGTGTGATTGGTGTGAATACTTTGAAAAATAGAATGAATTCACGTTTCCACCTTGTCAAATTTAGTTGTTTTTTCTGTTTGCTTTTTATGTTCTTACACCTAAGGTTTTTATTCTTGCTTTTCATATGAATCATTTTGTATTCTAATATTAGAATTGCTCTCAAATGCCCTGGTACGGCCGAGAATGTGGAGAGTCTGCTCTCCCTCTCCAAATGCTATCACATGGCCACACGTATATAGCCTATGCCAGGGAAGTCCTACTCACTGACTTCTCGTAGCTTGGGTGTTGTTTACGAAATTGAGAGGACGAAAAGAGAATGTCCGGCGATTTAACCGGATTCCAAACCAATGGTGCACATGGGCTCTAGTATCCTGCGGGAACAAATGGCGTATGAACCAATCGTTGTTCACCGGCTACCATGGGACCGCATCTCCCCACGATGTTCCACTGCCTTGTGGATCAGATCTTCAGGTCGAAGGCTCCGGTGTGGACCCTAAGAAAACCACCTGCTCCGGTTTGGGCACCCAGGCAGTATCACAGTCCCCATACATATCGAATGAGATTTGTGTGGCGCATATGTATTTGGTGCTTTCTTGAACCAATATCTATGTTTTAAAATAAATAAATAATAATAAATAAATATTGAAATACTACTCAATAAACGAATGTGCTATTATTTTTTAATAATTAATGATGATAGTGAAATAACTTTGAATAAAGACTAAATAGATCAAGGATATTTCCACTTTTCTTTTTCAAGTGTATATTTAATTCGTTGTACTTACTTACATACTTACTCCTGTTACTCCTAATGGAGTGTAGGCCGCCAATGAGCATTTATTGTGTCGACTGAATAATTTTAAATAACCTCGCTAGGATGAAATTATATTGGAATTCATTATTTAGTTGGAAATTTAATGAATTGAACTGATTTCTTTACTGTTTTCGTCTGTTAGGATTTTTATTAGATAAGTACGATGAAAATTCATCCACATAACCTTTATCTATTATTCCATTTAAACGAAACTGTTAAAGTAAGGGCGACATTTTGGGATTATTTATAATTGAGTTTCATCGTCTATGAAGAGTCTCGAGTTTTAAAACTTCAGTGTAAAAAATTATTTGGATAACGTAAAACTGTCTGACATGTCGAAACACAAACCACAAGTTTTCATGGAGTTTTATTCTCATAGCTGGATGATTTGGTCGTGGAGCTTTCATCGTTATCCTGAACGAATTCATCAGCACAAATCTCAAGTAGAAGTGAAGTATTCAAATTTCTCCACATTTGACTCTTAGCTTGTCCTGTAGACCTCGATCTTGAATGGTTAATGTCAACCTTTAACCTGTTATTGTTTACTTCTTTATTTGATTTTACCTCCAACTGATTTGATTCTTGGTCCTATATTTGTCCATAATTTTTCCAATTGGTCTATAAATTGGATCGATTTTAATGTGTTTGTTGATTACTGATTGACCTGAGTGCCAAGCTCCTAAAAATTCCCTGGTGTTTTTAGAATTACCTCTATACAAGATCTCAACGTTTTCCTAGTCGAATGTGTGTCCACAGTTGTCTGCATGTATTGATATAAGTGAGGATATGTCATGGTATTTGACCGCTAATTGATGTGCATGTAGGCAAAGATGAAGAAAGTGTTCGCTTTGTCCGATGCAGTGTTTTTCGCAGATGGAACAATTTATTTTGTAGATGATGTTCGGCTTTTCTTCTTTTATCATTTCGTCCTTTGGTTTACATAGAATCGATTGAAGTGATTTTGTTGGTTTGTGTGTTACACCTTTTCAAAAAGGCTTCAAAAATCTCGTTGCAATTTCTGATATACCTTTTACATATTGGTAAGATAATCCTTTTCTTGGTTTCTGGACTTGTTTTTGTTTTTGCTGATAAGTTTGGCTGGCATTTTTGATTAAGTTGATTGAGCAGCCGTTCTTTTGAAAGATAGTGTTTAAATATAGAGGCACGAATCAAATCGATTGGAGGTAAAATCAAATAAAGAAGTGAACAATGACGGGATAAAGATCAACAATAATCAATCAAGATCGAGGTCTACAGGGCGAGCTCTGAGTCTTATGTGTAGAAATTCGAATACTTTACTTCCAGCTGACGTTTGTGCTGATGATTTCGTTCAGAATAACAGTAAATAGCTAACTATGTAAGAGATTAAGTAGTTTACAATATTATTATTCAACTTTATTGTTGTTAGATCTTTGATCCTTCTGGAATTCTGTATGCTATGGTAAAATGTTATAACTTTACTAAGTGACATATTATGTCTTCCTTGCAGTAATCACAAACCACCTAACACCGAATATAGTTCACCACTATGTGAACGTACCAAGACTAGCAACTGAATTGATCCTTTATAGATCTAAAATGATCAATACCAGTGTAAATTCAATTATGAACAAGAATTTTTTTCAAGTTACCGATATCTGAAAAACCATGTAAGAATGCCTATTGAACTTCCATGATTAATGTACTAGATCTATCGGGTATAAACTACATATGTATACTTAAACATAATTTTTGACTTTATAACCCTTGGATAAGTCTAATTTCTTTAAATATAACTTAAGAATGTTAAAATTGTTAAACACAATTATTTTTACTACCTTGTAGCGTATATGTAAGATAAGAATGTTTCAGAACAATGAAAAGAAATAAAGTATGATACTTTCTATATTATTCGACCAACAGTTAGTTTATCAAGTTAAGATTAAGTTGAAATTTCTAATTAAAACTCGTAGACAAAATAATGATAAACGATATAGATGTCTCTGATTTGAATTAATCTTTGATCATATACTATTTGGATATTACAATGATATAAGTTGAATTAATCAAGGGGAAATTAGTTAATTTCTTGGAAGAAAAAATTAATAATCTATTACGATTGTTAGTTTAAGTTAATACTTTTCTATCACATACACAAATATTTTAGGCCAAATGTATGCTTCGAAACTAATCCTAAACCAAGACAATATCGTCAACGTATACAAATCCCTTATACAAAATTAACACGTGTTTGGGAACCAAATTGTGAAACTGAAGGTAACTGGTGTATCAAATATAAAGAACAGTAAGTTATTGGATATTTATTGTTGTAAAATATTAAATCTATTATTATGTATAAATAGATTAATTATTTGTTTTCATTAACTTGATAATTAGTGAATATTGCATCACAATCATTAACAAGATCAAGCTAAATAACTTCCGATTTTAGACATTTAAGATCAAGTTATACGTCTAGGAAGTGTGATATTTCACTGAGATCATTTTAATGTTTGTTATGATCATTCTGTAAGATATTGATATCTGTCATTCATTTTTTTACGCAAAATTTCTTTTGATAACGTTTAAATTGACATATTTGTTAAGTGATTTTGCTAAATACCTTAACTAGCTGAACCATTTAAGGCAAATGAAAAAGAGAAGTATTGTTTATCTTTACAAAACAAAAACATCATAGTTTAAACAGTGATGTCATTAATCTGTCAAGGTAGTTGCAAGAAGAGTTTTGACATTTTGTAAATTAGTATCATCATAAACTAATAACAGCTGGATAATTAATGAAAAGTAGAAAGTACTAAACAGCTGATTTATTCTAATCTCAGACTGTTCATCAATGCTTGCACCCAACTCTACAAATTCAGCTTATATCAGTTTTTGATGAAACTGCTTTGAAATATCAATGACATTTTTACGTTGAAAGTTACTGATCCATTTCATCTTGAAAAAAAAAACAAAATTTTGACGTTCCTAATTCACAGTTATTTAATTATAGAATCATTTGGCTGGACTTTTAATTTATTTAAATATTTTAGAACTCATTATGCTGTTCATTATAAAACAGTTTTTAAAACTGCACCTATAAAACAATTTCGCTGCTGTCCTGGTTTCATTCGTCAACCTGGATATGAAGGTTGTGTTCCGGGTAAGCATTTTCGAAAAAAAAATAATTTTTAATTATTTTGTCATAAATATCATTGAATGACTTGAGTTACATCATAGTATAATTTCAAGTGCGGTGAATTCAGATTGAAGTATATATATATATATATATATATAATCATGGTGTACATTGGTGAATTCAATAATCACATTTGTTTTTTCAACTTAACTACTATTTATCGACCAAATATTCATTAATATTACATACTAACGTGTTTTAATTATGTCCTAAATGGTTTGGAGTACAAATATTCCATATGGTTACATTTATTTGTTCTTAACTTTACCGACATCAGTAATGAATAATTCTTCACAGTCATTACAATAATTTTACTTATCTAATGTGCCATAGATTCCTATTTTGTACAATTTAGATTAGTACATAACAAAAAAACACATCAAATGATAACCGATTACATTTGATTTTAATTTTAAAACTAATTCAATGATTAATTTATTGGCAAAATATACGATTACAAGATGCAGTTGAGACATTTTAGAAACAAAAAATTGAATAAAATGTTTATAAGTATAAGGTTGTGGAGAATGTTGAGATTCATTGAAATCATGAATCGATCAATCATAGATCACTATTAAAAACCAAGAAGCACTGGGCGCTATTTCGTCTTAGTATGGAACTTCTCAGCAGTGCACATGAACGACCCACACATCGGAACTGAATTCAGTACCTTCAGTAACGTGTGTGGACGTTTAACCTTTAGACTCGTGAGCCAGCATACAACGATGCCAATGAAACTTGACAGTATTCGTGACCCTACAATGATAATCATCATATGCTCACTAGTGACTAACTTAGAGAGGAAATTCTCTGGGTCCGAGTGTAAAGTCGTGACAAGTGGAATTCAACAAGTGTGTGAGGCAGTTAACCATCGAGAAAAACTGAAGATAGTTGCATAATATCGTGGATTGGTTGAGGTTAGGCATTAACACCACTGAATTACATCTCAATGGTTTAGATGTTGAACATTCGTGTAGGGTTTGAATCCCATGTACATTCTCCATATGAATGTCATACTAGAACGAAATGGCTGTTCAGTGCTTGATGGCTTTCAATGGTGATCTGACACTGATCGATTCATAATTTCATTAAAAATGTTTACGGTTAATTTTCTGTTGAATTTTGCATAATAGTAATCGCCAAGTCAAAATATAGTATAAATATGTTTATATTACAAACAGCATACATGTTTGTAATTTGGGGAATGAGTATAAAGCTTGAATATAGAGAAATTTCATGGAATTTGATGGCCCTCTATTATAACTCAGAATACTTAGAAGCCAGTAATAAAAAACTCCTTCTGTTAAACTAATGTTTAAACTGAAATCGAAATTACAGTAAACACAACGATAAAATTTATGTCAGTGTTCTTTCTGATAATGTAAATTCCTTAATGGATTTCCAACTATTGAAGAAAAGCTAATTGGTCGGTTCTACTTCTATCGACAATTGCTTATTTAAATTAATTTATATTATATCAACTTTTTCTCAACTGTGTACCTAACAACAGAATTTCAATTATCTTGTTTTGTGAAATACGAAGACGAAATTGATCTGAAAAATGTGATATTTCTGAGATATGCATCTTCAACAATCTGATCACACGTTTATTTGTTGAAGCATGGCATATGGGTTCAGTAATTATAAAATGATAATTGATAATAAACGGGAGAAAAAATTATGTAATTTGAAAATGATGACAAGATGCCATAATTACTGTAGGGTTTAAGGTAAATCAAAGATTGTTAGGGCAGATATAAGATTAGAACAAACTGTTTTTTGTACACATATAGTCCAAATGTCTCACTCTGCCTTCCTACTAAATTAGCAAAAAACAAAAAAATAAAATGTACTGTTAAGCTTCTAATTGAACTCTTCAATTAATATTTCCCGCTACTGATTGCATTAAAGTAAGAAAAATAGTTCAATGACGTGGCAGATAGCTAAACGTTTTGTAAAATTCTTTTTTTTTTCAATAATTTATATGTGGTTTTTACTTATCAGTCTATATAAAACGGTAACTTAAATTGACCGGTTTCTAATGTACAATTGCATCACTTCACTTTTACAGTTTAGATCGTCCAAACACACAATTACCTATATTGCATATATATGTTAAACTTGACAAAATAGACTAAAAAGTCAGAAAAGCTCATAACAAATCAAATTACATTACATTAATTAACTCCACCCTAACCACTTCCGAGCTTTCTGTATCTGGCTCACTGATTCTTCATATCCTAAACTTAGTTATCTCGATAAATTGACTGAATAATATGTACCACAAACTCTATTTCTTTGTGTATAGATAAAACAGAGAAAAATATCATCAGCAACATACAAGAAACAAAAAGTTACTGTAACACTATTTATCCAATTTTTATCTACTTTGTTCATGTATATTCAATTTATATTGTCTATAAAAAAAGATTTCCATCTTAGACTTTCATTCTTACTTTTGTTTTCTGCTTCTACCACTACTTCTTCTTTTTCATTTCCCACCACCCTGAGTCATCAAGATCATGGTTTGCAATTCAGAGTTGAAAAACTTATCATTTTCCTGCTTCAATTTATTTGAGATCTACTGGTTTGTTTGTGTAGAAGCTATGTAAAAAAGCGACAAAAAAATGCCTGTTCAAGTGTTCAGTTATTCGCCTTTCTTTTCAGATGTTGTGTGTGTAGGCACACAAGTGTTTGCTATGTGCATGGGTATATTTCACTGTAAATACTGAACATACTAATCATATGTATTATATATACATATATATTGGATGATTTAATTTCAATAATTTCTTCAGTTTTCGATAAGATTTCTATACTGATAAATAAATTAGCTTATTTACAGAACAAAAAAAGATATCTATATGGTCAACCGTTTTTATCCATACTGTTCTGTTAGTGCTTTCGTTGAGGAGTAACCAAAATCCACCCTAACAACAACAACAAAAACACGGGATCTGTTAATCTTAATGGTCGTATGTTACTTTTTTTCTTTTTTTTATGAAAATGGGATAATACTTGAAACTAGTGGAAACTAAATAAAGAAGAATTTCCGAATAATTGTGTGGTTACTTAAGAATAGGTAAAAAAAGAAATAAAACATTTGAAATAGTAATAAATTCTATATTGATATAGACATTACTGAAGTAGGATGTTAAATAGAAATTGATTTTTAATAAATTCCAAGACATACTTATAGAAGTTATAAACTAATTCAGTTACTGTAAATTATATCCATTAATAAAATTATTATTATTAGAATGGGTTTTCTGGAGAATTTTTAGAAATTTCAGAAATGTTTAGCAAAATTTAAGAAATCTACTGAAGTTCTAGTGAGAAGTTGTTACCAGTGGAGTTCAACCAGGTCTGTTGTGAGATATCAGCTTACTGATCACAATGGTGTACGGTGGCATAAATTCGTGGATTGGTTGAAGTTAGACATTAATAACATTGGATGCCGGCTTAGTGGTCTAGTTGGTTAAGCGCCTGGAGCGAGGCTGATAGGTCCTGGGTTCTAATCCCGCTGGGTGCGGGATCGTGGATGCGCACTGCTGAGGAGACCCATACTAGCACGAAACGGCCGTTCAGTGCTTCCAGGTTTTTCATGGTGGTCTAACTTCAATCGACTCATGATTTCAACCAGTGAAATAAAATTATTACTCGTATTATTATTATTACTGTCGAATAAATAGACTTTGATCTGTTAAATATAATAATATCTAAGCAACACGGACTTGAAATCCTTATTAGATAGATGACTATGACTACTAAATTTATAATCTTGTTAAAATGTGATCTCTGTTTAAGGGATCTTTTTGTAGATTGGAAGAATGACTTAACAATTTGGGTAGTTAAGCTGAATAAATTATAGAAATATTTATTATAGTAAAAAGCAGTTTTATATATAAACTATTGAATACCAGAGGGCATTGAGAGTTCCGTCTCAGTTTGATTGAGTCCTACTTCCATAAAAAGAATACAATTTAAAATCTTGAAGTCTTTCAGTAAACATTATTTCCAAAAATTTGAGTCTATAGTGATAGATACAGATTTTTAATAAAAGCCGATTAAAAATATAGAGCAGTGAGCCATCGGTGATCTATGTTTTACTCCAAATATGGTTAACTGCAGATAAAGCGCATATATTTCGATTTCGACTAAGCTTTCTAAGAATGAAACTACTCGCTGTGTTACTTGAAGGTGTAAATATGCGGTGTAAAGTTATTTATGCGGTTTGCCAAATTGTTCTAAACTAATATGAAACTTCCATTCATTGTTTCTTGATTTTCAATTATTTACCAGCTGACTTCAATATGTTGCATATACAGTTTGACTAAGATTAAGATTATCTCAATCAGTATTACTTTACATGATTTACAAGCTTAAACTTTTTTTATTAAAGAAAATCCACAAATCCAAATATATTATAAACTACTTAAAATTTCTAGGGTTGACTATATAAACAAACGGAACATTGAGTAGAAAGTTAATAATAAATATAAGTTTGTGATATCCTAATAAGTAAACAAAAATAATAAAGTTTTGACGCTTCATGATTAAGTGTAAGCCACTTCTCTCGGGAATAACAATAAATAACAAGTTAAATTTACATGAATTCAAGCATCATTAAAGGAAAAGCGGAATAATTTTAGTGTAGTCGTGAAACTTTGCGGATTATTTTGATATTAATAATATTGATTTAGTTATTTTTAGACATAGAATGCACTATTCACCTGGTACTGCGTACTTGTATCGTCCCATTGTTATTTGGGACTGCAATTGATCAGTATCTTGACTTCAGGCAATATCAAGGCAGTCCGCACAGTATCCACATATGCCAATAAGAGACTGATCAATTTCAGACCTAAACATCAATGGGAAGATTCAAGTAAAACAATACCAAGTGAATTAAACTTCAACTCTTTTCACAAGCAAGTGGCTATCAGGACTCAGTAGATAAGAGTATAACTTGGTGGTGTTTCAAGAGAACGGTACTGAGTTCGAGTCCAGGAGCGAGCATGGACTCTGAGGTGCAGGTACATCCAGCTGACGAGTCCCAAATAGGACGGAGCGCGCATCCTAGATTCCACTGCCAGCTACTATCCATCCTTACTTATAGAATGTACTGCTGATGCTGATTTAACTTGTTTGTTTTCTAGTTCTACAGGATTATGTAAAGGTCTTTTAATGTAGCTATTTTAATTTGGATTGTAATAATAATATTATGCTTTGTGTCTTTTGTACCATTTAAATTTGTGTTAATTTAATTGATTATTTATTTTTATCCTCTGAAGATTTGGTTTATTCCAAGTCAGGAAACATCAGCAAATCAATTTTCTACTCACGGACACTTTATCAATATATTACTGCAGATTATTATATTAACGAGTTTAAAGAGTTAGATTCAAAATGAATATGAGCTCTGTCCTAGCAGAACATGGCGCCAAATAATCCATTATGTCTAACACGGTTAATTGCTTAACACAACAATCTATAGTATTTAATGTTAGATGTTTTGATATAGTTAACAGGACCTCTTGATCATCTTTTATCAATAGTTAGCAGTCCTTAGTGAAACAATGAAACACTAAAGCATACTGCAAATCAACTATGTCATCTGTCGATTAAGTATACTGTCAGAATGTTAAATAACTAAAAAATAAATTTGATCTCTTAAAGCTACAGTTATGTTTTACTGATGAACCTGGTTTAGATGAACAAAAATTGCTTTTTTCAAACACGGGATTCTAAACTTCACCCAAGTAATCATGCGAACCCGAATAGATCACAAAATAAATTAATTTATTGTCAGAATGGATTTTGTGGAGATTTTAAGGAAATTCACATGTTGAAATCATGAGTCAATTGAAGCTAGACCGCCATGGAAAACCTGGAAGCACAGAACGGCCGTTTCGTTGCAGTACGGGACTCCTGAGCAGTGCGCATCGACCTATGGATGACGGCTCAGTGGTCTAGTTGGTTAGGCGCCTGGCGCGAGACTGATAGATCTTGGGCCCGAATCCCGCCTGGCGCGGGATCGTGGACGCTCACTGCTGAGGAGTCCCATACTAGGAAGAAACGCCCCTCCAGTGCTTCCGGGTTTCGCATGGTGGTCTAGCTTCAATTGACTCATGATTTCAACAAGTGAAATTAATTCATATTTCCTACTCTAATTCAAAGCTTTCATTTGTCACAATACAATCAACTTAATATATATTTTCCAATATATCTATACTTGATTCTTTTTTTGTGAAACAAGATTAAGTACTAGAAAACAAAACACTATAAGTGACGAAAAATTCATTGTCTAAAAAACCAATAATTCTATTTTAAACAGAAATATCTGTTTACATTTACTATTTAGTATCCAATTGTAGCAGGTTTTTGAAAGAATCAGGCACATGTCAAAATGGTGGATTATGTTATGAAAATGCCACTACAATATATTGCAATTGTCCAAAAGGCTTTACTGGTTCACGTTGTCAAATAAGTAAGCTTTACATAATAAAGTTGATTTTTTCGAGTGATGTGTTACAGTAAGTATATATATATATATATTTTTAATTTTGGAAGTAATTATTCTTCCTTTATACTCTTTCTTACATTGATGAAATCATATTCACTTCAAACAACTCAAGTGTAGAAGGTTTCGTAATATATATTCCGTTATAGATTTTATGTCAAATGCTATGGAAATAAACTTTTGGATGATTTAACTTAGTATAGAAAATTCAGAAAGATATGTGTACTTCTTACACCCCTCCCCTCTTCAATAATAAATTTATTCAGGTTCACTAAATCCATGCAAAACTAAGTGAGGAAGTTTGATTTTAAAGATTGCGAAATAAACAGAATTTAGTAACAGAATGTAACCAGTATTTCATTGTACAAATTTACAGAAACTATGGCTTAAGTAGAATAATTTTCATAGTTGAGATCATGAGTAAAAAAAAACACAGTCTAGTTAGCTGTTTTATTAACTGATCCATTGAAAGAGTAATAATTAAGTGTGAGACTTAACAATGATGCATTATATTCCATAATAAAACTCATGTTCACAAAGCGAGAACAATAAAACTCAACAACATTTATGTCATTTTATTTTTCATGGATTCTTCAACAAGCATATTATTTTTTAATTCATAACATACTTATTAAACTACTTAATTCCTAAATTGTTTTTTTTGCAAATTTTATATTGTCGCCTTTTTGTGTTGCTAATCCTGCGCTGAACATATTTAACTCAATTTTTTGTGCGAATAAATACTCTAAATTACTTATTTACTTTGGAAAGTAATCTAATGTATAAAATTATTATTATTACTATTATTAATGCTTTCTTAATAATTGTATACTTGATCAGCTGATCAAAGCGATCAATAATTTTCGAGATCGATTTTAATGATGAATCAAATAACAAACTATTTTTGGATTTGGGTTAATTATTATTTGAAGTAAGAATAACAATTAATACATAATAATGGGAATTTATCATAGTTAATGAATCTTCTTCACTTGGTTACAATATTAACAGTATTAAAAAAAATACAATGTTGTTTAGTCAAAAATAGTGACTATGAGTGACCAAAATGAAAAACATCACCTATTATATACATAATGTTATTTGACAACTGATCCAGAATGCATAAAGAAGGTGATAAAACAGGAGCCCAGAACTGAAGAATTGATAAGTTGGATCTCTGAATAATTCTCAAAAGTCTGATAAACTTTAGACACATTTAAAAACTATATAATGAACAGAAAGTTATTTTTAAGAATGAATTAACAAATAACTAACTATAGATCAAAAAAGTGACCGAATAAGTGGCGAACAAAAAGAAACTAACTATAATGTTAAGTTACTTAAGTATAATTCTAACAAACGTTTAGTGGGTAGGTGCACATAAACATGATATGGATTCAACTACAATACGATTTCAATCAACTGTGGTAGTTACAAGGGTATATAATAGTGGATCCTAGTTTCATAAATGACATGTCTACTTTCAATAGAATTAAGTTAATACACACTCAGCATCAAAGAATACTGAAAAAGAATTAGTTAACAAATTTTTTCCGTTACTTTACAATTTATCAATTAATATTATAATAACCTAAGTGAAATCATAAAAATTGCTTTGAATGTTACCTTGTAGGGGCTTAGCTTCGTTAATCAATCAACTTTATAACCGTTATCATATAAATCACACGGTATTTGGAACCAGAAGGCTGTTGCGGCGACTACATTTTATTAGTACTTACTTATGCCTGTTACTCCTCGTGAAGGAGAATAGACTGCTCACCAGCATTCTCAATCCAACCCTGTCCTGAGCAATCCTTTCCAGCTCTTCACAGTTGTTATTCATTCTTTTCATATCTACTTCTATTTCCCGACGTAATGTGTTCTTTGGCCTTCCTCTCTTCTTCTTCCCTTCAGGATTCCAAGTTAGGGCTTGCCTCGTGATGCAGTTTGACGATTTGCGTAATGTATGTCCTATCCATTTCCATCGTCTTTTCCTAATTTCCTCTTCAGCTGGAAGTTGGTTTGTTCTCCCACAGAAGGCTATTGCTGATTGTATCCGGCCAATGGATGTTGAGTATATTGCGTAGACAGCTATTTATAAATGCTTGTACTTTCTTGATTGTGGTTGTTGTAGTTCTCCAAGTTTCAGCTCCATGCAGTAGAACCGTCTTGACGTTCGTATTGAAGATCCTTACTTTGATATTGGTTGAAAGTTGTTGTGAGTTCCATATATTTTTCAATTGTAGGAATGCAGCCCTTGCTTTGCCGACCCTCGCCTTTACGTCTGCATCTGAACCTCCTTGTTCATCGATGATGCTTCCCAGGTATGTGAAGGATTCTACATCCTCCAGAGTTTCACCATCAAAACTGATTGGACTGCTGTTCTCCATGTTGTATTTGAGGACCTCAAATCAACGTAGCTAAACCTTTAATGAATTCTAGTGATAAACCGTCAGTTCTGTTACTGTCATTATTATCATCATTTATATGATTGAATACCTATAAGAGCACTTCGTACAAAAGACAGTGTTCAATTTAGATTAGACTATAAATTTAAATGAAACATCATTTTATACAGGTTTTTAGCTGTAATTTAAATATTATAAATGCCTTATATACTGTATTTTGTTATTATTTTCTTTCAATGTAATATAATCATTTATCAAGAGACTTCCAAGTATTCACTCAGTAATGTTTTCTTAATGTTGTAGTAGCTAGTGACTGTAATGAATTAAATAATTATTGTCAAAACGACTGTGGTCAAGTTCCTGGCTCAAAAAATTGTAGATGTCCACCAGGTTATTTTCTTGCTCCAGACAAACGAAGATGCCTTGGTAAGCTATATAAGTTATGCAATTTACAATTAGATCAACTGTTTTATATAAATATTTAAACAATAATATTTTTGACTTTTCCTTCCATAGTGATGGAACCTAGTTTCATAGAGTATGATAAGAGTACTGATTAATGACAAACAGAAAATCAGGGTTTATAAATCTGAAAAATAATAAAAATTTAACAGAATGTTGAATAAACTATAATTTACAAATAACATTAAAGATAATTCATTACTTAATAAATATATAGATTAATACGTTTGAACTTCAGTTAGATAAAAATTTTAAAACTATTATCCATCATGGGTTAATTGGAGTTAGACAATAACACCGTTGAATGCCGGCCGGCTCAGTGGTCTAGAGATTAAGCACTCGTGCGTGTGAATGAAGGTCATAAGTGTTCAATAATATTTGTTTCTTAAGAATTTGGATAGATTATAAACATAGGTTATTGTTAATTATAACGTTACTCAATATAATGGATTATTTCATTGAAGAATACTTAGTCTATTATCAAATTTCATTTATTTTCTACCTGATATCTCAATACTAAAGATTTGGGCTTTGATCTTAATGATGTGAATAGACATCTGGATTTTTCTTAAGTGTTAAGAATAATTTAAATTTATCTTATAGATATAGATGAATGTAAATATGATCGAGGAGGTTGTATGTATTTTTGTGAAAATCTTCCTGGAGGTTATCGATGTGCTTGCCCTTCGGATATGGTTTTAGCACCTGATAAGATTTCTTGCATACCATGTAAGTTGTTATTATTATTTATATACAAATTATGTATTACTTTAATGCTATTTTATGCTAAACATTGTTTCATAAGAGATGTGACTATTTGAAGTAGGTTTCAACCATACTGAAATCTTAATATTCCCATTTTAAATTTGATTAATTAACCAATAAGTTAATTTTGTTCATTTGTTTGTTTCTAGTTTTCTACTCCACTGCTACTATTGTCGATGTCTGTGACTGAGAAATATAACATTATTCCTACGAATGAACAGGAATTACTAAATTATAATTTGTTCAAATTCTATTTAGACTTTCGTTTAATACTTTTGTAACGTTGGTTATTTATTGGATTGTAACCAGTTTAAAGTTAATTTAGTACTTAGTGCTGATCGAATTTCATTGATCAATTTATAACATGCCCACTAGTTTACATGGCTTGACATAGTGTGTAGTATTTTTCGATATTTTGCTGTCAGTAGTTATAAATATCTCGGTCCTACAAATAAGCATTTGTAACCAACAATTATAAGTTAGCATGAAAAATTGGTGCATATGTTCCAGTTGACTAACAAAAATCATCTAACACACTTTTCTATCGTACATCCAATTATAAATCGCATTTTCAAACAACAACAAAAAATACAAAGACGATATTTGATATGTTTCTAAGAGCGGAATCGAGGATGCATACTTCCCACCCCCCGTGTGTTACTCACCAGATGAATGTACTTCGACCCCACCATTAATAATCATAGTGATACCTCTCATTGCAAACTGACTAAAGTATGTGACTAAAGGCTATATCAAGACAATCCGTCTATGATTTACATATGACAAAAGATTCTGATCAATCGTTGTCTTGAATATCAACCAATTGTTATTAAAAGTATTTACTAATAACAAAAAGAATACTGTAGTTTTATACTTTAAATCAATGCCCAGAAGCTAATTAAGGACGCTTGGAAGCAAGGGGGCTTTTTTCCACTTTCTTCAAGTATAAAATTCTCTCAATACTAAAATAGTCAGATAGAACATTACACAAGTTTGCAGAGAATGTACAATAATAATTCACATACTTATTGACGCCTGCTACCACTCGTGAAGAAGCATAGGACACGCACCAGCATTCTCCAATCAACTCTGTCTTGAGCAGTCTTTTCCAGTTCTTCCCGGTCACCATTCATCCTTTTTATATCTACTTTCAATTCTCGACGTAATGTGTTCTTTGGCCTTCCCTTTCCCGTTTCCCCTTAGGATTCCAAGTCAGAGCTTGCCTTGCGATGCAGTTTAGTGGTTTCCGTAATATATGTCCTATCCAACTCCAACTTCTTTTCATAATTTCCTCTTCATTCGAAAGTTGGTTAGTTCTCTCCCACAGTAGACTGTTGCTGATTGTATCCGGTCAACGAAAATAACTTGCATAGACAATTACTTATAAATACTTGTACTTTGTCTGATAATCGTTGTAGAGCAGTTCTACAAGTTTCAGCTCAGAACAATAATAATTTATCAGACTATAAAATAGTACAGAAATAAAAAGGTCACTATAAGCAAACAAAGTAAACAATAAAAGAAACGAGATTAAACTTCAGGTATATAGTACTTACAACAACAAGATATACACAGTTTTATCATTGACAAAAGGTAAATATTATCAGACAGGGTTTTGTGGAGATTTTAGAAATTTCACAGATTGAAATCATGAGTTAATTGAAGCTGGACCATCATGGGAAACCTGGAAACACTAGACGGTCATTTCGTCCTATTATGGAACTCCTCAGCAGTGCGCATCCACGACCTCGCCCCGTGCGAGATTCGAACCCAGGACCAATCAGTCTCGCGCGCAAGTGCTTAACCTTTAAACCACTGAGCCGGCATCCAGTGGTGTTAATGTCTAACTTCAGCCAATCCACGAAGTTGCGCCACCGTACACTATTGTCTTCAGTGAGTTGATATCTCACAACAGACCTGGTTGAACTCCACTGGTAACGACTTCTCACTAGAACTCCAGAAGTATCTCTTGAAGTGAGTCACTAGTGAGCAGATGATTGTTATCAAAAGGGATTTTGTGGAGATTTTGGAAATTTCGCTGGTTGAAATCAGTAGGTCCTGGGTTCGAATCTCACAGGGGGAGAGGTCATGGATGCGCACTGCTGAGGAGTCCCATAATAGAACGAAATGATCGTCCAGTGCTCCCAGGTTTTCCATGGTTTTCCAGCTTCAATTGACTCATGATTTCAACCAGTGAAAAGGTAGCTATCTCCATTTGACTGTAATAAGTTTTATGTTTTCTAACCATTTGTTTCAATTCAATTTTAGATCTATAGATAAGGGATCCATAACCATCTTAGTAACTTGAACTAAAAATTAAAAACAAAAACTAAATGAAATTTACCATTATGATAGTTCCAAATTCTAACGGAAGAAAAAAACATATTCTTGTTTCAAATGTTTACATGTATTCGGAATATTATTTGGTTTACAAAAGTACTGACTGGTAACTAAGATGTAGATATTAGTTTTTTTTATCAATACACTTAAACTGAAAATGAAATGTAAATCATGTTAGCTGTTAATAAAACTTTAATCATTCAATTCTAGATACTAAAAACAAAACGGTTTGATTCCGCATTGAGATAATTAGCTTATTGATAACTGATAAGCTTGATTTAATTTAAATTCATTAGCATAAATTTTCATTACATCAATCAAACTGAGTTAACTGTAAACTTATTTCAGTTGCTTGAATCTTTGAAAATGTTTATATTCTTGATAAAATTGGTTAATTTTTTTTCTTAATGAAGAGCTAGTCTTTAGTTGTATGGTGACCTGTTTAAACATCTGGGCTACCTATCTTTGTCATCTAGATATTTCAACATGTTATCCAATCTTTATTTTGTTTTAATACATTAATATGTCTATTAGTAGCATAGCCTATTCAGGTACATATGTGAAAAGTATACAACTTTGCGTTGTATATGTTATAAAAGACATAATCAGAGATATTGTGGTTGTTGATAATATGAAGCGAAAAGAATGTACATTGTTTAGATATCGATTGACTGGAATATTAACTTCGAACTGGCGATCACTTAATATTTCTTGTTAGGATTAATCAAGAAATAAGAAAAGGAGACTTGTTGAAATATTTTGAGCTAAAATTTCTATGTTGTACTAGAAATATAATATTGAATAAAGTTAATAAGAAGAAGAATACTTTGAGTATAATTTTTTTTGTTACACTTCGCCATCATCTAGTGAAACCTTGAAAACCAGTATGTCTTGAACAGCTTTTTCATCTCCAATAAAAACGCTTAGGTGATGCGCACTTCTCAATCCCATAAAAAATATAATTGATACCCTGAAAGAAGACATACAGATCACATAATATCTCACAGGTATATAATAAGTGAGAGCTGAGTTTGAGTCAACCACTGAGAATGAGTTATTCGTCTAACAAGATCGCTGCTCACTTATCTATATCTGGGTCGGTCTGATAACAGATTTTTACGAATTAGTCATAGATCTAACGACTCAACTTTTGACAGTAAATCTACTCGCATAGTTATAGTCTTTCTCAGTACTGCTGGTTAGCTTAATATTAAGAACATGATAGCGACTTAACCAGATCGCAGAATGAAATAATTTCTCATTATGCAATACAAAATTATTTAAACCTATAAAAACTTTCATCTAAATCTGAACGAATAGTGCCCTGGTACGGCCGAGAGTGAGGAGAGTCCGCTCTCCCTCTCCAAATGCTCTCACATGGCCACGCGTATACGGCCTATGCCAGGGAAGTCCTACTCACTGACTTCTCGTGGCATTTCTGTTGTTTACGAAATTGAGAGAATGAAAAGCGAATGTCCGGCGCTTTAACCGGATTCCAAACCAATGGTGCACATGGGCTCTAGTATCCTGCGGGAACAAATGGCGTGTGAACCAACTGCTGGTCACCGGTTACCATGGGACTGCATCTCCTCACGATGTTCCACTGCCTTGTGGATCAGACCTTCAGGTCGAAGGCTCCGGGTGTGGCCTCCTAAGAAAACCACCTGCTTCGGTTTGGGCACCCGGGGAGTACCACAGCCCTCACACATATCGAATGAGATTTGTGTGGCGCATATGTATTTGGTGCCTCCTTGTACCAATATCTATGTGTTAAAATAAATGAATAAATAAACAGTAGTTGAGCGCCAAGTTATAGTAAGACAGTAGGGAGGAAAAACATATTTGTAAAATCTTAGCAATTAAATTTGAAGTAAATTCAATGTTTCACTCAGAAATCTGGTCTAAACGATTGGAAGAAAATATAAACAAACACCAACATTACAAAAAAGGCCTTTGACCAGATTTCTGAGAGAAACGTTAGGTTTCTTTAGAATTCAATTGCTGAAATTTTACAAATATATTTTTTCTCCTTAAAATTATGTAGAATTTCAAATTAATCAGTCTAAAAATATACACATAATCTTTTGATATTGTATGTGGTTATTAAATACCCTTAAGCAGTTAAACCATTATCTACTATTATTACATAAAGTATTTAATGAAAATATGACAAAACATTGTGATACTGTTATCTTATATAATAAGATATTTGATTTCAGTTTGGGATAACTACAAAACGTATTGTATTTTACCACCATTCACCCTCAAGCTGTAATCTAATTCGTATAAACGTCTGTCCGACCTTAAAATTCATATGTACAGGTGGAAGAGACATCAGAGTAGAAGAAGTAAATTGAATGTTTTTCCCTAATCAATTACTGTTCTCCCCAAAGGAATAAGAAAATATTACCGTTAGAAGTTATACTTGAAGATATCTTTTGCTGAAACATTTAATGAATAATAACACTCACTTTAACAAATCATTACAAAAGAAGATGAATAGAAAATATTTTTTATATGGCAAGGTAAAGAGTAGAGCTAAAAGTGAACCTAAGTTATAACAGAATCCAAATCCCAAACTTTACTTATCGAAATAGTGTTCTATGAATTGAATTTCAAAATCTAAGTATCCAAAACACCTCAATTTTATTTCAATTTCAGTAAAAACATAACTTCACAATAGATCTAACCAAAGATATCCATGTATTGATAACATATAACCTCGTGAATTTGAATCCTACAGTTTATAAAATCGACCGTGATCCTTTAGTACCAAAATGATATCCTTATTCAGTATCATTGTAAGAGACACTATCACCTTGGTGTAGATGAGTCAGTGTCATGACTAATATATCATGAAAAGCATTACGTATAGAGTGGACAATAAGCATATAATTACTAACTATCTATATGTATCTGATGAGATCCTTTATATGAATTCACAAAAGTTCAGATAAATGACTAGAGTAACATAGATTCGTGGATAATAATTAATATTTATTATTCAGAAGGGGTTTGTGGAGATTTTAGAAATTTCACAGATTGAAATCATGAGTTAATTGAAGCTAGACAACCATGGGAAACCTGGAAGCACTGAACGGTCGTTTCGTCCTGGCATGGAGCTCCTCAGCAATGCGCATCCACGATCCCGCACCCCGCGAGATTCGAACCCAGGACCTATCAGTCTCGCACCAGGCGCTTAATCAACTAGACCACTAAACCGGCATCCAATGGTATTAATGTCTAACTTCAACCAATCCACGAAGTTGCGCCACCGTATACCATTGTCTTCAGTGAGTTGATATCTCAAAACAGACCTGGTTATTCACTCAAGAAAAGTAAACACTGGTTATTATTGGCCATTTACTTGAACTATAATTTAAATCAGATTTTATTATGGATTTCAGAAATCATCCTTAAAAACCATGATCAATTTATTTTAGATAGATTAATTAAGCACATTCATTTAGTTCTGTCCAACTTGTCTGTTTTTATTAATTTTGATAAAAACATAATTTTTTTTGGGTGAATTGAAAATCAAAATAACCAACAGGTTTATTGATAATTACTCAGAGATAAATTATAGTTCTTGCACATTCGATATTGATATATTAAACGATATCGATTTATAATTTGTTGTTGTGCAATCAATTCACTCTTATTATTGATTATAGCTATAACACCAAGTTTGAGTGCAATCTATCTATAATCTACCGGTCACTAAATGTCTCTTTAACATTCAAAATAATTGTGTTCTTCTTTGTATGTTTCACTGATTGTTTAAACATACCTTATGTCAACAAATGTTTATTATTAATAGAACTTTTTATTTATGATCTCATTTTGAAATTCTCAAGGTTAATCGATTAATAAACTCTGAAGTTCACACTAACCATGATTTTATTCACTGTCATACAAGTAGGATAATCAGGTTGAAAAAAATGAAAACGAATGATTCTGATGGATTTCTGAGTGTATGGAATACAAAAAAAGATAATTCTAATGAATAAACGAAACATTTAACTTCATTCGTATTGAGTGACGTTTTCAAAATCGATCAACCACTACTATTTGATATCTTTTACCCAAATCACTATTACTGTCAAATTTTGAAACTAGTTATTAAGTCAATAACTTTTGTTTAGAACCAAACGTACATGTTAATGGTGACCACTGAAACTAAAATGTACATTTTCGATCTGAAAACTTCTGATAAATGGGCATGTTTATTAATGATACCTGTTACTACTTGAATTTTTATTGATCTAATTTCAGATGAAAATCAGAGTAAAAATACAACAGAGGGAAGAAGAAATTTATTGAATACTAATCGTCAGTTGTATCCGATTGAATAAGTCGATAAATGTTTTAAATTGATAGTAGGGTTCTAAATACTTTACCTAATATAAATTCACTTGTGTTGCATTGGCTTTTAAAACTAAGTTTATATCACATTTTTGGGGGTTATATTATTCGCTTGCAGTTTAACATTAGGACAAAGAAGACTATCAACTTTAAATTATAAAACTGAAGCTTTGGATTTTAAAAAGAGGCGGGGTCGTGGACGAGCACTGCTGAGGAGTCCCACAATAGAACGAAACGGCCATTCTAGGTTTTTCATGGTGATCTAGCTTTAATTGACTCATGATATCAACTATTTGAATTACTACAATCGTCACAAAACTCCTTCTGATAGTAATTTTTATCACCCTTTTAAAAAAAAATATCAAAATGTGTATTATTTTAGACATGAACTTGTTGTGACTTCTATTAAACAAATATCACTTCAATTCTTCCAGTTGATAGGTTGTACAAAACTTTAACTAAAAAATTCCTATTCACCCAAGCTTTACTTAATACTTTCAGTTTTCTTTCTTTCTACAAGAACAATTAACTGTACCTCTAATCCAAGAAGGTTAATATTTCCAAAAAAGAGAATAATTGTCTTAAATTTCTGATACATTTTATTGATGATTGTGATATCAAGATGTTAGTCTTCCTTTAAGTTAATTACAAAATTCAAAAAAACTATTAATCCTATTGTAATGTCAAGTAAATTACTTCATTTGACAAATATAAATGATTGAAATCAGTTAATCAACAGTTGAGAAGTAATCAAGCTGACTTACTTAGTTACTAAGTAAGTTTTTCTTAATAATTATCGATTTTCTTTAAGAGAAATTAAACAATGTCCTTATTTGGAATAAGTGATAGTTTTTTCTCTTTGAAATTGACAATTTTATATAAAATTTTTTTACAATAAATATCTTAATTTCAGTTTTCAATCCATGTGAACATCCTCCTAATGGTGATTGTGAACATATTTGTACAAGTTTACCAGGTTACAGATATATGTGTTCATGTAAACCTGGTTATCATTTAGCTGAAAATAAAAAACGATGCTTACGTAAGTATTATATATAAGATTTTAAAATAATGAATGAAATTTATACATGGTAAAATTTTTCAAACATTTATTTATATCACTTATTTTTTTTTAATCAAAATGGGGGTTTGTGGAATCTCATACTAGTGTAGTGAACGAGAACACAAGAACGTAAAATTACATAATGTCTTAGTGAAATCTGAGAACCATGTAGTAAATACTTCATTAGTAACCTCAGACTTCATTGTTCCTGCATTTTTGTATCGACTGATTTCTGTTCCCATTCTTCCCTCCTCAATTTTCTCAACCTTCTGTTGCCAGACATTCTATTTCTGACTAGTACTATTTACTACTTATGTTGACATAAGGAGCACACACTACACTAAATACATTCGATTGTCTCCACTGTGATTCTCGTTTACTACATTGGGACGAAATGTCTGTCCAGTGCTTCCAGGTTTTCAATGGTGATCCAGTTTAAGTCGACTCATGAATTCAACTATTAGAAACTATTGTTTTAATCTGGAAATTTACAAATAAAGAATGATTACAGTTCCACTTAGTAATTAATGTACTATTTCATAAAATCAATAGCTACGATAGAAATGAATTACTCTTTAATGTATGTTAAATCATGTTTTAATTATAGTAATATTAAATCATAAATAAATACAGGAAAATTTAAAGTGAAATTAGATGGTGATTGGAGGTAGTCAACAGGAAACCCTGGACCCGGGTTTCATGTTACTTGGCACTCGTCAGCAAGGTGTAACTGTAATCTTAAGGAAACTGATGCTCCCTGGCGGATTCGATCTCGTGTCACCCAGCTTTACAGTCAGAGACGTTACCACTGAGCTATCCGAGCCGTGACTAACCTCCTGTAGGACTGAGATGTAATCACAATTGATTGGTCCTTCATAATTTCAACGAGAGTGACGTCCTTGTTTTGCATATGTGACGTTGTCTTTTTCCGAAAAAACGGTGATTTTGGATGGGTAACAATGACTAGGAAGTGTAAAGACAGACGACCTTGATTAGCAGTTCACTTGTCTGAGTGTAATATGTTTTAGGACTTTGGAAAAAAACTTCAGATGGGTTATTTTTGGTAGTGTCTGTGATGGCTTGAAATTACTGACCGATATCACATGTTATATTGCTCAAATGAAATTCCGACAGCAATTTTGTTGATCTCGTGCCTACTGTTCCATCTATAGCCTCGTGACTTAAGCTTGGTCATTTAAACCTCGGATCCGCACAATTAGCTTTGTCTTGATTTAAGCTGAGGTTATATTTATCCGCTATCTGGAAGCCCTTCTTTATCTTCTACCTTCAGTCCAAAAGATTAGTCAACAGCCAGCTTATATTATTATTCTATTTCAAGCATACAAACACACTGAACCAAATCACATCATTAAAGTAGACTACGATTACATATTAACCAAATGTAGCTGTGAATACGGAAGGCTATAGGAAATACACTATATAGAAATTAGGAATAGTAAGTCATAAAACAGTAGTTAGTGGTTTACATAAAAGCTTATTATATATGAAATATATAGACATAGTAATCCATTTACTCAGTAATTATACGATACAAATATAAATCATTCGAAAAATAGTTTCTAAAATTCCAACTTTTACATTATTCGTTTCGTTAAAACAGTATCCTATCGAAAAAAAATTACAACTAATAATGATATTTTTAAAAGTTAACCCAACCGTGAAGTACCATTTACATAACGTTGTTATACACTGTTATTTTTTTCGGACCTATCACACGAAAGTATACTAACAATTTGGTTAAGCTTAAAGGACTATATGTATATTTATGAAGGCCAAAAGGTTATCATGTGATTCTGATCTAACTAACTAATCTCTGATAGTAATCCAGACTAATGTTCAAATCTATTTATCAACCTTTGTTAAATGTTTGAAAAGGCAATCAGTCCCTTTGATAAATTTCGATAATGTAATAAGAAGATGAAGACTATCAGAACTATGTGATATATTAGCGCAATACATTTCAAACAATCTGATCACACATTAACTTGTTAAGAACCTATATATATATATATATAAAGATAAAAGATCAACTAGACTAGAAATGGAGAGTAAGAGCAGACAAGGATCATAATGAAATAATGTGAAAACAATTTGAAACCTCATCACTGTAGATAATAGGCTAATATTACCAGGGTATGTTTAAGGTGAGAACATACTATTTTTGAATGTACAAAGGGGGTTTAATTTTAGTCTAGTTGACCTTTTATTTTTATGTATAAATGTTCGTAACAAGTATATATGTGATCAGATTATTCGAAATGTATCGCGCTAAAAAAATAAAATAAAATAAAATACAAAAACCGCCGTGTGTTTAATGATATTTACGCTAATATATCACATAGTTTTGGTAATCTTCATCTTCTTATTACACTGTCGAAAGTCACTTTAACCAAGTTCATATTTAAACTATAGTAAACATCTTGAATAAGATTAAGATTAACTGATACGTTTAAACAATAACCTTTTCTAATGTAACAGATTTACCGAAAACATCATCATCATCAACAACAACGATAACAAATTTGAACTGTTTAACTAATCAGATTGTTTATGTTATATAAACAAATTTATTTTCAATTAGATAAAAATGATTACATGTATTGTTAGGTAAAATAGTTTTACTTGGTAACATGCTGTTTGTTTGTTTGTTTTTTTTGAAAATGTTTATTTAAGTAATCAAGAATAAATAGTTTTAGGCGAAGATTTTCCGAAGAAAAAAAACAACAAAAAAAAACATTTTTTTCAAATCAATGAATCATATTCATGATAATTTGCTGCTGTGATTGTTTTTGTTGTTGTTACCATGTCTTATCTCTTTGAATCTATTACAAATTTAATTTAATAGAGTTTTGTTCTCTGAGCTGGATGGTTTGCTTAAAATCATCCATCTGAGCTACAAATCTTCTCCATCATTATAAATTTAATTTATTTACTTATTTATTTATGGTTACAATTTATATGGATTAAAATTAGAAGTTCATATATTCACAATATTGATTTCTTTAAATAATATAAGTAAGGTGTTCACTAAGTGATTCTAACTATTAAATATGAAATATATATACCTTAACAATAGTATGAAGTGATTATAAAATAATCAGTAAAAGGTTTTATTTATGATTTTGTTCTTATGAGTAATTTTCTTAATAATATTGAAATGAATAATCAAGTGTAGTCGGATTATACTTTGTCTTCAAAACTTCTCATCTTCATTGTTTCTCACTAAAGTAAAACAAACAAATTTATTTCAATGAATTTATATTGTTGTTTAGGACTATAAATGATCAGTCTCTTGTTAGCATATGTGTATCTTGTGCGGATTATCTTGATATTGTTGAGTGAATTTAAATTTCATTTCATTGCACAAGCGAGTAGCCATCAGGACTCAGTAGCTAAGTGGATAACACAATGGCGTTTAGAGCGAACGGTACTAGGTTCGAGTCCCAGAGTGAACATGAACTCTGAGATGCAACTGACAAGTCCCAGATAGGATAAAACGTGCATTCTGGATTCCATTGCTAGCCACTATCCATCTTTGCTTAATGACGAGCAGTGACTGAACCAAAACATTTTTTTATTAATATAAGGGATTTATGGAAATTATAGAAGTTTCAATAGTCATCAATCGGTTTTAGGTAGACCGAAATTGAAGGTTTGGAAGCAACTGACAGGCATTTCCACTCATTATAGGACTACTAAGCAGTTATCATTCATGACCCCATACTCAAGAATCTAATCAAAGATCTTCGGTCTCACACATGCATACTTTATCTTCAGACCACTGAGCCGACATAGAGTGGTTTTAATGCCTAACTTCAACCAATCGACGATATTGTGCAACCCTCATCTATTGCCTGATGTAGATAACTGGGTCACACTCGACATGATTGTATTCCACTGGTCACCGCATCTCACTAGGACTCCAGTAGTTGCATCTTCAAGCTAATCACTGGCAAATAAATGGTTATTATTCATATATGGAGATTGTAGAATTGTCACAGTTTGAATTGCAAGTCCTGTCCTTTCTTTTAATTTCATTTTAATGATACAATTGACCTGTAAAATCCATTTGAAAGTCACTTTGTAACATTTCAATATAGAGCATTTTTGGCAGTTCCATTTTTTGATCTCATCTACTAACCCACAACTTGTAAAAGTAATACATTTAATTATAACTCATTTAAAGTTGTTGTTAAGGTAGTTCATTTGCACTTATCAATATTAAACTGGTGCCAGAAATTCTCATATCCATTGTTCTATTCTATTCCTTTCATTTGATAGAAATAATATCAGATAAAATATGATCCATAATTAATCTTCATTATAATATTCTGAATATATTACAAACTTATTATAATTTTTCTATGTTTGTTTTGTTTTACAGCTGACAACCCTTGTCAAATCAATAATGGAGGCTGTCAACATGAGTGTCATAATGTGAACGGTGTAGTTCATTGTAGTTGTCACGATGGTTACCAATTAGTCTCTCATGATTCAAAAAAATGCACCGGTAAGAGTAAACACACGTATATTTAAATAGACTGTTATACATAATAACTTTGTGCAATACATAAGTTGTCTTTTTTTCCAAAGGAAACGCTAAGCGTCGTGAACTCTTTTCATATATTATATGCTTTATACCCTGTTTATTCAATTGCTGAGAGATTCAATAATGATAAAAACCATTACATCCTCATCTTATGCTCAATTTCCATCCTTATACTTCATGCTAGTGCATGTATTCTGGTCGTAGAAATATAAGGATTATCGTTTGAATCACCATGTATCCTATCACCGGCGTTTATCTGTCAGTTTCACTTATTCCATTATGTTGAAAGCAAAAACGGACTTCTTACGTTAATATTTTATAGATGAAGCTTGATTGCTAAGTTACTGAAGAGGTAACTAGTTAGTGAGATTTAGAAATACCTTGTAAATCCCGACATTCATATTTATAATGAGTTATTTGACGAGTATTGTAAAATTTTAATGTGATAATATTGATAGATTGACTTTTGATAATCTGTACATTCAAATTTAATAAACAGCTAGATGTAAGACAATGATATGTGAATGTTTTGTTGAGAGATGTGTATAGTTCGAAGATGTCCTCTGTCAAAAACTAATACCAACAGAAAAATCAATGGAAATTAGATTTTAAAAATGTTTAGGTGGTTCTATAGTCTAAAAAGATCTCATGCTCTTCCAGAGTTTCGCCTGTGAGGTTTATTTGTGAACCATGTTCAGTAGTTCTGGATCATAACAAGAGAACTATCCAGTACTTCGACTTTTCATTAATTCTGTAGATGATATTAGTTCATGGAGAAAACTATCTTTAAATTTCGGAATTAAGTTCCTCAGGAATTTCAATCATCATGTTTTGTATTAAAAGAGAATAAAAGAAAATCTATAAACTGAATTCATCATACAAGATGTGGTACATGTTTTCCAGATACAAGAAATGTAAAATGAGCTTAACAAGTAGTTCAAAGAGAGACCTTGTTCCGAACCTCTGAATAGTTCTTATTATTAGCTTACAATTATTCGATACTATTTGAATTTACCTCAAATGTTCATCAGGTAGGAAATCAATTACCTATGATACACCAGCCGACTTTTAGAAAACTTTACATTCTGGCAATCTATGAAGAGAATATATTTACAGGTTCATTAAAGACCTAAATCTCTACAATAGTCGTGTGCTCATCATTTAATATATACCTTATTTCAAATGATCATCAAACATTTTATGCTCAACAGCAGTCTAATTTGAAACGGGTTACCAATAATTTTCATGTTTATAACCGTGCATGAAGATAAACAAACTAATTGTAACGACAACTTATTTGTTTGGTTTGTGAGAGATTATTATTCAGAAATGATACTTATAAGATAATCGAATCTCGCCAGTTTTATTTATTTTTACATTTAAAATATATTCAGCCAAAAGAATGACACCCAGATCCAATCTTTCACAAATGTTGAAGTGTGATTTTCGAATCTAAAATGCTTTTAATTAAAAGTTAATGTTACGAGTAAGAAAAGTAGGAATAAAGTATTTTGACCGATTAGCAGAAGCAATAGGACAGTTCAAAATTAATCAAATTTACCTTAAACTATACTATTTAAAATATTAAATAACAAAATGAAGTATGTATACAGGTTTCATTGACCATCTACAGAAAGATTGCTTTCAGGTTTTCAGTCGCGGTCTAACATTGATTAATTAATGATCTCAATAAAAAAATTTAATAATCTCTTCACAACAATATACTAATAATCATCATGTGCTCGCTAGTGACTAGCTTTGAGAAGGAATTCTCGTGGTCCTAGTGAAAAGCTGTGATAGGTGGAGTTCAACAATGTCGAATATGGGGCAGTTATACACCGAAGAAAATAGGATATATTTGTGCGATGTACAATGAATGGTTTAAGCGTCTGTATATGAAATAGAAGGTCCCTGGGTTTGATTCCCACGTACGGATCATAGATATGCGCTGCCAATAAGTCCCATACAAAGACAAACTGATCGTCCAGTGCTTCCAGGTTTTCAGTGGTGGTCTAATATTGATCTCAATTAAAGCTCAACAATCCCCACAATTCTATACTGAAAAAGATTATAATTGAATATTTCTTTAATAACATTAATGACCAGCTGATAAACGATATAAAAGGTAAAAGAAAAAGGGATTTTTAAAAACAAATTAAATAAAATAAACAATAAATATCTCATTGTTTATAATTTGTACAAATTAAAACAATATGCTGGAAATGTACATAATCTATTAAATGGATAGATTTCACGTCCAGACTTAATTGTACCAAAGTGAACTATCTCACAATGATGGATGTGTCGCTCAATTTCATGGATTAGTTGAAGTTAGACATTAACATCGCTGGATGCCGGCTCAATGGTTTAGAGGTTAATCGCTCGCGCGCGAGACTGATAGTTCCTGGATTAGAATATTGTGAAGTGAGATCGTGGATTTGCACTGCAGAGTATATATTGTTTAACAATTCTTTTATTTAAATTTTTCACACTATTAACATTATCATTAAATTGTTGAGTGTAAAAATTCCACATATCGACTCATTCATTGTATATTTTAAATTTACTCTTTATAATATTTAGTGTGCATTTATCCTTAATTTGTAAATAAAACACATTTACCGAAAACTGACTTTCATATGAATGTAAAATAGTAAAGTTTAATTAAGTTTAATTACATAGTTATCATCTATCAACAATATATGAAACATTTAAAATAAAAATTTCATTCACTTCTTTCACCTCCACCGACAATACAGAAACTTTAATGAGAATGAATGACCAGGTATTGTAGGATTTTTCATTTACTTCGTTTTTTAAAAAGTAGAATACAATAGAATACATACATTCATTAATACTAACTAATGATTTATAGTGCACATTCTGGTGTGATATTTATTTTATTTAAATAGTGTCTATTGAAAAACTATAGTGAATTATTAGTATATCAAATAGGTCACATTTTTATTCTATACGTTTCTATATGGTTTACTTTCATTTCGTAGCTCAGTATCTGAAAAAAAACACTACAAATATGGTTTTAGGTGGTGATGATGATGATGATACCGATTTTATCCGACAATTTTCTGTTGTTTCTTTCCCTTACATCAAGTGAATAGCTATGTGATTTTGGCAATTAATTTGAATTTGATGAAATGATGACGATTATAATGATAATAATAATAATAGTAATAATAATAATCGAGAACTACTTTGAGAAACTAGTTTGATTGCTGGTCGTTTATGAGATGGTGGAAAAGATTTGTAACTCAGGTGGATGATTGTGATGGGGTTTTGTTCTCTGAGCTTCAAGTGGAATTTTGTGCTAATAATATCGTTCAGAATAATCCTTAAAGCTCCATGACCAAACGATCCAGCTCAGAGAACAAAACACCATCAAAAAGCTTATCAATTAGTTTAGTTAATAAATTGTAACAAAGATCTTAATCTGAAGTAAAAATTATGAACATAGATTAAAAATACTATAGTTAAATATCATCAGAGAATATCATCAACTGTATGTTGTATGAAATTAGAATATAAATGAATTTTAAGTTCACATGAAGCATAAAACATTTTTGACACAAAACAAACCTAATAAATTTGGTTAGTGTATACATAGTTAGACTATACATTAGAATAGCTGGAAAATATATGCATGTTGACATAATCCTTACCAGCTTTGTCAGAGAGCAATTGCATGACATTTTTTTAGTTTAAAGCTTTACAGTCTACAAACTTAAATTATTCTGGGAAAGATTAAGAGAAAGAACTTAACAAGTCAATGAGATTTGACCTACATTGAAGCTTTAATACATTAAAATAAGATAAAACCGATAGGTCCTGGGTTCGAATCCCGCGAGACACGGTCGTGAATGCGCACTGCTGAGGAGTCCCACTGTAGGAAGAAATGACCACTCAATGCTTCCAGGTTTTCCATGATGGTCCAGCTTCAATTGACTCATGATTTCAATTATTGAAATTACTAAAATTCCCACGAAATCCCTTTCTGATAAAAATCAAAATTTATTTATTATTCGAGAAAACGAATTTTGAAGAGGAAATTCATTGACTTTTAACATTTAGTCAAGTTTTTTTTCTTCTTTTTTCAACATCAACAATATCAATAACATAGATAGAAAAGTTAAATATAAAACTGTGGGAGAGAGGACAAAAAAATAGACAGAAACAAATCAACCGCAATTGTGAAAACATTTTCTATCACTTTTAATACTACACATTTTTTTGAAAATTCCTTTATAAAGAATAGTCATAATTAAAAGAGTTCATTAAGTTGTGCATTCATATGGGTGTATGTATGATGATGTGTGAAAAACAGAGTGTGAGAGAGGAGGGTGCCGAAGGAAATTTACTTGTCATTTCAATATCTCAACAACAAGTGTGTTTTCCTTTATCATTAATTCAATGAAGTGATAAAAAAATCTGATGATAATTATTCAACCGTATGATGAATAAATCTCAATGTCAAACTATTACACCCTTATCAATTATTTGTATACAGTTTTTCCACAGATTGAAATCACGAGTCAATTGAAGCTAGACCGCCATGCAAAGCCTGGAAGCACTGAACGGCCGTTTCGTCCTAGTATGGGACTCCTCAGAAGTGCGCATCCATGATCCCGCACCCCGCGGGATTCGAACCCAGGACCTACCAGTTTCGCACCAGGCACTTAACCAACTAGACCACTGAGCCGGCATCCAACGGTGTTAATGTTTAACTTCGACCAGTGCACGAAGTTGTTCCACCGTACACTATTGTCATCAGTGAGTTGATATCTCACAACAGACCTGGTTGAACTCCACTGGTAACGGCATCTCACTAGAACTCCAGGAGTATCTCTTGAAGTCAGTCACTAGTGGGCAGATGATTATTATCAGAAGGAGTTTGTGGAGATTTTTAGGAATTTCACAGATTGAAATCATGAGTCAATTGAAGCTAGCCGTTCAGTGCTTCCAGGTTTTACATGGTGGTCTAGCTTCAAATGAGTTATGATTTCAATCTGTGAAATTTCTAAAAATCCCCACAAACCCCTCCTGATCATACAGTTTTTGTTCTAAATTTCAAAAAAGAGTACGAATTTTATCTTAATTTTAAAATACATTAGTAATAATAATAATAATGTACTAATATGAAAATAACAAAACACTACATAATTTCAGATTATTTTTTTATCAATAGAAAATAGAGAGAAGAGATAAGCAAACTATTTCGTCACCATTCACATGGTATTGTTTGCTTGCATATCCCCATTGTTATTTAGACTAGAATTGATCATTCTCTTGTTGGCATATGTGCATCCCATGCTCATTGCCTCGATATTACCTTAAATCAAAAGCATTAGAACAGAAAAATGGATAGTGGCTAGCAGTGGAATCCAGGATGCACATTTCGTCCTATTTGAGACTCGTCAGTTAGATATACCTGCATCTCAGAGTTGATGTTCACTTTGGAATTCGAATCCAGTACCGTTCACTTCAAACTCCACTTAGCTACTGATTCCTGATAGTCACCTTCTTGTGCATTGGGGTGAAGTTTAAATTCACTTAATGGTATTATTTCAACAAATGTAAGGAAATTTCTTTTGTCAAAACGTACTAATTTGACGAACGTGTATTTTTTTATATTGTACAAATGAATTTGATTGGTAAGATATATATTTGATCTATTCTATTAGTAATTAGATCATCTAATGACGATTATATATTGTAGTGATTATTCAGGAAATTGTTGAATACGTTCTTTAATTCATTTGTACATTCTATCAAACATTTTCCAACTGATTATAATATTTATGTTGACTTAAGAGTTAATTATTCTCACCTTCCATATATTCGTCTTGAATCATAAATTTACTTTATGATCTCATCTTCTATTTTTTCAAATGTTTATTGGTCTTTTTTTCAATGGTCACTATTATTGTATTTTGATTTACGTGAAATCAAGGAAATTAATATTAATTACTTATGAGTAGTTGAACTGTGCTATTTAAATTATAAGAATGAAATTAATTCTGATAATTTCTTTTATTTGTTTATTTGATTTTTCACAGATATTAATGAATGTAGCATAAACAATGGAGGTTGTCAACAGCTGTGCAGAAATGTCGATGGTTCTTACAGCTGTGATTGTAATCCTGGTTGGCAAATAGGAAATGATGGGAAATCTTGTTATCGTAAGTTAGTTCATAGTCGCTTTTTTATAGTTGAATACTATATAGTTTATAATTTTAGGAGAACATGATTTCTTCATTGAATTTATCGGCGCGTAGAACTGAGATACGGTATCTAGTGGAAGTGTTATACAAAGCATATCGTTGTAAAACCTTTCACAAATTCTACTCCTTATTTGAGCAAGAACAAAGATTTTGAAGTAAATTTCTAAAATGGATTCTTGATATCAAATTAGTGAACGTTTTACATGTTGAATTATAATCTCCTTTTGTTAAAGATCTTATGCAAGTCCTAACTTCGTTGTAACAATTACCGATTCATCAGAGATAGAAAATGATGAACTTGTTATTTTTAATTAAGGTGTTTGGATAATCACGCTAATTTTTATATCACCGAATTTTGAAGCTAAAGAAAATGCAGGAATTTTCAGCTTCCAATGATCACTTTCGTTATGTTGTTTAACAAAGATGTAAATATGAATATGAGTAATTTGTTTGGAAGTAACTTCATATAGTTGACTGTATTTGTAAAGCTAGATTTTTAGTTTTCAAGTTATTTCCTCAAAGAAAGCTAGTATTTTCACTCTTCAGGTAATAAATGCGAGTGGTCTAAGTCTTTCGACTTAAATGACATCTCTTGACAACGGATTACCACATAAAAGGTAACAAGTAAGTAAGGTTTCTTACTTTAGGCACTTCGAATTCCATTCATTCAGATGTTCAAACAGCTTTTCTTTTTAAATTGCATACTACACTTATAGGAAAACATAGTTACTTCCAAATAATACTCTAACCCTTTATTGATTTTTATCACTTAGGTGTTGTCTTAGAAGTAAGCGACCCATGTCGATTTGACAATGGTGGATGTACACATATTTGTTCAAGAACAGATTCTGGAACAGCAGAATGTTCATGTAGTCCAGGCTATGACTTGCAAGCTGATGGTCGAACTTGTTCAGGTTAGTTAAAATCTTTTCTCTGGTATATTACTAAATAATTTATTGTTCCATTCAGTGTTTTATAACATATCTATAATTTCAATAGTTGGGATTATGAGTCAATTGAAGCTACATCATCATACTTCCAGGTTTTCCATGGTGGTCTAAATTAATACTTGAAGTTGTTAGATATAAACTATTCCATCTTCTCTCATAAAATTTTGTCACACATTTAATACTAATTATCAGTTTTGAAGAGGATAATTTTATCGAATCTTCTACCACGTGAAAGGATGAGATATCTTGTAAAATATAAAACTATCGTCTAACATTCAAATGATAACAAAGAAAACAGTAATAAAAAATAAACACTAAATTGAAGACATTTTCACACCATCCATACAGTGAAACTTATCTTGTCTATTATAACACTACATAAAAAATATCTTACTAGATTACCATAAAAAATATAACATTATTAGGTGTCCATTAATGCGAAGTAATAAGTTGACAACTTTCTCTATAAAGGAGTTTTTAAAAAAGATCTGAAAGATATGTTTATTTTGAAGTTAATTTTAAAAAGTTTCAGACAATTTTTTTGATTACATTTTCTCTTTGAGTGTAGAATGTTTTATACTTTAAACTTTTCTTTCAAAATGACTAGATCGTGATGAATGTGTAATTGGTGAAGCTAAGTGTTACGGTCAAGCTGTGATTTGCATTAACGAACCAGGAACGTACCGTTGTGAATGTCAAACAGGATTTCGTATCAGCCCAGATGGACATTCATGTCAAGGTAAATAATTGTTACATGTTTAATACTAATACGTTAATTACATCGTCAATGAGTGAGATAACTGATATTAAATAATTTCGAAGCCGATACCAATAGATTTCAAACATGTTCAAAGCTAGACATATATCACTGATTATAATCGACGACAGGTTTAGAATATCGCCAACTGACCGACTTAGAAATTATAGATCAATTAATTCTGTCTCATCGGCTTAAATGTAGCATATGAATCATATGGCTAGAAGGACCTAAATCTGACTACTGGCAAAGTTATGAACAGACCCTATTCAAAAATTCCAAACTAGAATGAAGCAAACATCTACATACACAAGCGGCCAATCTAGAATTTTAAAAAAAGTATTTACACAATTCTGAGTGTTAATATTTCTGCAAATGATTTCAATTTACTTCTACGATTACTTTTAAAATGCTTGTGATTTAATGGCAACATAGCGGAAGTCTGTACATAATGCGCATAAACCAGAAGAAATCTATCAATAGCAGTCCTTAAAGTAAACAATGGAATGATCCATCCCTTTTTACCATGTTTTAATGAAAAATTTAAAGAAAGTTCATTTCAACAGTTTTAATCCATACTTAAGTTAGTTAAAATTAAAAATGATTTTTAGATATTGATGAATGTTTGGATGACAATGGTGGATGCGAATTTCAATGTGTGAATACAATAGGTAGTCATAGGTGTTTGTGTGATTTTGGTGATGAATTAAACCCAGATGGAAGAACATGCTCACGTAAGTGAAGAACATTTCTACTACTTTTAGTAACTAACTCTATATTTTATAATATATGAAGAATAATTGAAAATCAAAGCGGATGTACACTTATCACACAGTAATATACTGTGTTCAATCAAACTAAAAAGAATAAAGTTCTAGACAGAAAAACATTGACAATCTTTGTAGAATAAAATGCATTTATTTAAATTTCAAGGCTACTCAGTAGATATAGAATACCCAGTTACAATGAATTGTAGAATGAGACAAAAATATATATAGTTTGGTAAATAAAACTGAATTCTGGTTAGCATTATTTTTAGCAAAGCTGGTTTCAACGAGAAGGAGTTGCTCATCCCACACCCAACCCTGCTTTTCTACCCGAGTTTAGGACTGGCAGTAACCTTAGAAGAGCTCAAGGCGGCCTACGCCCCTCCACGAGGGGTAATAGGAGTAAGTAAGTAAGTAAGTAAATGAAATTGAAACGAAAGTAGATGAAGAGTGAGACAGTGACTTAGAAGAAAAAGACATGCAAAAATGTGGCTATATGCTCTGTACTTGAAAATGTTGGATATTTTTATAAGAACAACTGATGTGTTATAGTTTTCACAAAGGATAATTTTATATTGAAAATCTAACCTTACAAAGGGTGGTAGAATCACAATTGATAAAAATGATAATAAAAAATTAATGGTTACATATATGGACAAAAATAATTTTGAAAAATAAACATTAACTCAGTAAAAGTCATGAAGTTAACGTAAAACCGAAATTCTTCCATGATGACTATGATTGTCAAAACACAAAGCAGCTTCAATCACACGTTTCACTTTTGAATGCATAAACATGATCTTTATACGTTACGATTTCACAGAAAATATAGGACATTTATTCAACCGATGTCAAAGTAGACACTAACACACATGTAATAGACTTAAGAAATTACTGGAATAGCTCTATGTTCCAATGTTCCGATCAATACAAAAGCTAGGCAACCATCCTGTACTTGGGTCACCCTTGAAGGCTCCATACCTTAAGTGTGATCCCTTGGGGAAAAACTTCTCTCTCCAATGTTTCATTTTCACAAACTGCCTTTGGCATTGCGCCGATTTCTTATGAACTTTTCCTATGTTTCTGTAAAAATGTTGTGTAGCTTAGTTGACGAACTTATTAGAAAAGTCAAATATAAGTACACTATTACCTGAATAGTTATACTAATTAATGCTAATTTTATTTGTGATATTTCTAACAATAAATATATTACTCATTACTGTGTCTAATGAAATTATTACATATATTAGACTTTATTCATTCATTTAACAAGTTAAATCTTTACAGAGAAATATTTTCACATCGACCTAAATAGTTAAAGCAACAGATCGAGTATTAGAACATTTGGGAAGGTATCCGGATATTTTCACGACTTGTTTCCTATATTTATTCTGTTATTTCTTTATTTTCTTCATTCTAGGTTCGTCCAGTTATGTACGAGATGATTCTAGTACGTTATTCACCCCGACTAAACAAAATCGTAAACAGTTGAATATGAAGCCAACACAACGAGTTGTCATAGGTGATGTCCATCAGTTTTCGAAAATACGGACATCATTTGATTCAAGTTAGTTATAAAATAAAATAACTGTTATTGTTTTTGTCCAATATATCTAGAGGATCTTGCTTGAGGAGCAATTTATACATACCCAAATATTTGTAATGATGGTATTAGTTGTTCTCCAAGTTTCAGCTCCGCATAATAGAACTATCTTGACGTTCGTATAGGAGATTCTGACCTTGATGTTGGTTGACAGTTGTTTTGAGTTCCATATGTTCTTCAACTGTAGAAATGCCACTCTTGCTTTCCCAATCCTTGACTTCACGTTTGCATCCGATCCTCCTTGTTCATCGATGATGCTGTCCAAGTACACGATGTTTCCACATCTTCCAGAGTTTCACCATCAATTGTGACTGGGTGGCGTTCTGTGTATTGTATTTAAGGATCTTACTTTTTTCCTTGTGTATATTGATGCCTACTAATGCAGAGGCTACTGCTACACTGGCTGTCTTCATCTGCATTTGGTGGTGTAAATGTGATAAATGAGCTAGGCAATCTGTGAAATCCAAGCTGTCGATTGTATTCTGTGCTCCCCCTGAAATATCCAGGTCTTCATAATCCAGTCAAGCACTGGAAGAAAGAGAAAGGGAGAGAGAGAATAAGCAGTCTTGTTTGCCACCGGTTCTTACTTGGAACGCATCTGTCCTGCGCCCTTCATGAAATTCACAATGCAGTCCATCGTACGAATCCTGTACGACGTTGACTATCTTATCAGGTACACCATTGTGTCGAAGAAGGTTCCACATGATTCTCCTATCTACACTGTCGAATGTCGTCTTATAGTCAAGGAAGTTGGTGTATGGTGACGAGTTCTATTCAATCGATTATTCAATAATGATCAATAGTGTCGCGATTTGGTCTATAACAGACCGATCCTTATGGAATCTGACCGGTTGACCTCGAATTTTGTTGTCTACTGAACCCTTAATAGAATTCAATAACACTCTGTTTAAAACTTTTGATAGTACCAATAGTTGTGTGATGCCTTTTTAGTTCTCACATTTGCTCAAAACTACTTTCTTTGGTATTTGGATGACTTAGCCTTCTTTCCAGTCTTGTGCACTTACTCTTCCTTAAAGTAGAACGTCGAGCGTGTTTGCGGTTATTTCTATGTGTGATTTCGGTGCTTCAGTTGGTATGTTGTAAGGTGCAGCTGCTTTCTCACCCTTGATTTGTCTGATGACCATGATAATTTCTTCGATCATTGGTGGTGTGACAGCTATAGGGAGGTCTGAAGGGGCTGGTCCGATGTCCGGTGGATTCAGTGGGGCTTGTCCATTCAAAGGTCCTTCAGAGTGCTCTACCCACCTGTTCCGCTGTTGTTGGGTCTCAGTGAGTGGCTTGCTCTCCTTGTTCTTAGCCAGTCGCTCTGGTTTACCATATTTCCCAACCACTTTCTTCGTCGTGTCATATAGCTGTCGCATATTTTCTTTTCTTTCAGTTTTTTCCTCTGAAACACCGAAGGGACTGAGAAACTGATTATTTCTAGTCTGAAACTCCCCAGCGGCCTCCAATGACATTGATAGCTAATCAGTTAAGAAGTATACTGATATACCATCTGCAAACAAATTGTTTATTAATCAGGTATCATTGAAAGTCACATAAAAACAGTATTCTCTAACTGGACTAAATAGTTTTTGTATAAATGTTTGGTGGCCCGTTGATCTGACTCCTATTTAGAGCGTATAGAAGATAGCTGGGAAGCCAACTCCAATTCAAGCCGGGCATTACTCAATATTTATAGGCAGACAAAATAAACTACAGACATGTGATGAGTCATGGGACATGAAGTGTACACACATATACGCTCATGTGAAAACAGTCAAGGCTAATAAGCCAATAATTAACAAGGTTAAAAAATGACTCAAGTAGAACGAATAGAATGGAATGTCCGGAAACTAGAATAAGATCTATTATGGGCTAAAATTAATGACTAACACTACAAATGACTTGTCAAACTTCACAGATTAAAAGCATTACTGCTTTTATTGGTTTGGGCTATTTGTTAATGAATTAATACATTTATAACTTTAGCTGCCAATAATAGTTATGTATTGAATAAAAAGGGTTGCATCACTTAGCAAAGTAATTAAAAATCAACTTTAATCACATTGTAATAACACCCTTCCATTTATCAATTATTATACACAATACTTGAAATCTCGATTGGATTATGCAACACCATTTCATTTTCACTAACTTCCACTTAAATGAGTTTGACTATGTTTGATAATTTCATAAGGAAAATTTTCTTCACCGAAACATCTTCATTCTTTTTAGTATATATATATATATATGCAAAACTGTACGGTATTACTGATTTATCTGATTTCGGTTGAATGAACGTTTACTTACAGTTTTTAATCTCGACTTATCTTGTTTTTTCCTTTGAATTCCACTATTTCTCACAACAATATGTCCGAAATGATTTTGAGCATTACTTATTTTAACATAGCATAATCACACCAGATTTGATAATCAAAATGTAGGATTCTGAAACTAGGCTTTCGCAAGGAATTAAATTATATGATGCTTTACATCACACAAGCTAATTTCGAATCAACTGAAAACTATTATAATCGTATACACAATTTTAAGATTAAAATAATAATATATTTATAAGCAAAAATAGATAATGGCTAGCAGTAGGATCAGGGATGCGCGTTTCGTCCTATTCGAGATTCATCAGCTGGATGTGCCTGCATTCTAGAGTTGATGTTCACTCTGGGACTCTAACAAAGTGCCGTTTGCTGCAAACGCTATCGTGTTATCCACTCAGCTACTGAAACCTGATAGCCACCTGCTTATTGACAAAGTAGTGGGTATCTTTTCACCAATTCTATTACGTCTACATTTTTATTATTTGATAGTTTTTTCAAACTATTTTATGTGTAATATACAGTTGCAACGAGATTCGACTGTCAAGTAAATCTCCTAACTCAAAACTATTAATGAATGCGTATTCTTGTAACCACATAATTATTATACTTAACACTTATAATTAACCGTCATACACTGATTATCTAGACCCTTATTCTAAAAAGAATTTCATACACAGAATAATTTTGAAAAGAAACTAAAATTATGTAAACACGAATTTTAACTATAAGCTAGTCAGTTAAGTAATAATGAAGTGAACAAGACCAGTAGTGGGAACTGCCAAATATGTTTGAATACAAAATTACAGAACGTCTTAGTAAAATCTGAGATGCATACAGTAAATACTTCATTTGCAAAATGTCAATCAGTTGTCTCAGACTTGATTGTTCCTTCGGTTTCGCACCAATCACTCTCTGTTCTCGTTCTATTCTCTTTGAACCTCTTAAACTTCCGCCGCCAGGTATTCCACTTTCCATTGGTAATATATACTACTTATATCTGCTGTCATCAGTAGCACACACCACAATAATATCATTGATAAACGTGTGAATTGGAAATATGTTTTGGCTAAAAATCTCTATAATTACAGATATAAAAAAAAGAGTACTGGTCGTTACATTGTTAGTTTTTTGATCGAAAAAACTGTGAGACAAGAAACCAGATTTAATTTTACATTTGAAATCATTTCATACAAATGAAATATATGAATATCAGTTTCCTTGTTATACACTAACTTTTCAACCAGTTCTAACATCAAACAAAATAATTAGTTACTAAACGATTATTCATTAGAATATCTGAGATAATCAATATTATTAGAAGCAACACGTTTATGATGAATAAAGGAAATTGAAAATTCAACTATCAGACAGGCTTCCTTATTGAATTGGTAATCGGAAAGTCACCGGTTCAAATATTCGGTTATTGAGCTACCTATAGAACTGGTGCTTTTTCTCAATAAAGCCAGTATGGTCTATAAGCTTGATGCATTTTAAAAACCTTATCAATTAAATTTTTAGTTCCCTAACGAGAATAACGTCATCTGATCTATTTATTTCAGTTGTCAGTTAATATGTTCCGTAAATCATAGCTACCAGTAACAAACACATGACTGATTATTGTAGAAAGAAGTGTGTATTTGAGAATTCTTTTCAAAGACAACTCTTCTCTCAATCACTTTTTCTCGCTTAATGTATCAATAAGTGCTTTTCAATTCACCTATAATCTGTTTGACAAGATTTAGATGATTGTTTTCAAACAATCATCGAATGTTCCTTAAAAACTTATGTAAGTTTACATAAAGTGAGAAGAACAATACATGCAGGATAAAAATGGATTCACTCTATTTCAAAGCTTCTTATTAGCCGGCTAAGTTTTCATGAGTGGTACAATTACGTATTACTACATACCATAATCAGTTAAGCTTAGTACTAAATGATATAGGAAACAAGAGAGAACCATATGCTTGACATATTAGTTAACATTGATTCGTAATTCTGTGTTAAAATCATAAAAAAGAGAAGGGGATAAAACTTTAAATGATAGTAAATAGACAATGATAAAAAACAAACTATTAACAAGTGAATGATAATTAAGGCATCTATTTAAAAGAAAATTAAAGATGACATCGTAAGTGAATGTCTGTGGGAATTTATACTTTAAGTTATAAACAATAATAGAGATAATTTACTGACAATCGTTACAATATAACTATCTAATCATGCCGACGAGAGGTTTACCACACTTACTTTCTGTATATAATGGTCAGATCAAAAGCGCTTTATGTCAGTGGTCTCTGCAAAACGGAGTAAAAGAGATGTACGCTTTCAATTTAATTATTTTAAACTCTTTTGAGACATCAACGTTGTGTTTACTATCCATTAAATGTTTGGTGTTCACCCTTGTGAATATTTTGCATCCATAAAGACATAACTTACAGGGAATAAGTTCATAACATCTTGTAAATATCCTTCTTTTAGTCCTTCCTGTGTACTTCCTTTCACAAGCACATGTAAATTTGTACATGCATTTAAGGATGATATTAGAAAAGTACTGAGTTACTTTTGTTTGATTTAAAGAATATCTGGTTTTATACATCAAAAATAGTTGGGCTGCAAGAAAACTTCTGTTTGGCGCTGCCTTAATCGTTTTTTCGATCCTGCTTGAAACTTCCTCATCTTTAAATTCGAGACAGAAACAGACAGATTTTCTGTTAAAAGTTGAATGCTTGAGACCTTCCTTAATCATTTTTTTTATTTCATAGTAAATTTCTTTGGATATTCATTCTCTTTAAGAGACTATTCCATGTATTCTACTTCTTCCTGTGGCTTTTCAATCGAACGCAACCTTCTAGACGTATTAAATAAGGTTTTGACCAAACAATGGTTGTAACTAACCGTACAGAAACCATTATAATTTAAGTATTGCCTTGTCCACGTTTCTTTTCTGAATATGATATTCCTGTTCCTTCGTTATATTCTTAGGTCTAAGTAATTAAACTGATTAGGTTTATATTTCATAGTGAATATAATGTTAACACATGCTTCATCAAACCGGTAAACCAACTGTGAGCTAAAACTCAGATTATTACAAACAACAAGTGTATGATCAATATACATACTGTATAATGCTACGTTTTCAATTTCTTGCTTAAGTTTCATTTGTCTAAGATTAGCCATAGAGATGTTGGCCGACATAGACACCATGGATGATCTCATGGATATCGTATCGATTTGTCTGTATAACTGGTTATAGAATTTAAACTGAATCCCTTTAATGTATGCTAATAGTAATGTTCTGAACTCATTTTGAGGAAAAGAACCTAATTCGAAATACTGATACATATTATTGATAATTTCTTCCATAAGTACATTTGTAAATAATGAACAAGCATTATAAATTTATCTGATATATCCATATAATCTATTTCTTTAGTAAATCAAAAAGTGTTTTTTAAAGTATTAGTTGCCATGTTTCTGAGATCTGATTCCAATAACTTGTATAAGTGATTAACACATTGTATAGCTGTTATAATGATGAAATAGAATTTATTCAATAAATTCATATCAGAAGGGTTTTGTGGATATCATAGTAATTTTAATGGTAGAGATCACGAGTTAACTGGATCTAGATCACCGTGGTAAGCCTGGAAGCACTGGACAGCCGTTTCGTCCTACCGTGGGACTCCTCAGCACTGCTCGTCCGCGACCTCGCCTCTCGAGACTCCAACCCAGGACCTATCAGTCTCGTGCGCGAATGCTTAACCACTAAACCACTGAGCCGACATCCAACGGTTTTAATGTCTAACTTCAACCAATCCACGAAATCAAGCGACACATTCACCATTGTCATTAGTGAGTTCCTATCTCACAACTAACCCGGCTGAACTCCACTGGTCACTGCTTCCCATTAGAACTCCACGAAAAACCTCTTGAATCCAGCCACTAGTGAGCATATGTTGATTTATATCAGAAGGGTTTTGTGGATATATAAATACACATTTTTAAATCATAAAAAAGCAACACTTAAGAATAATTAAATTAAGGTTTTTTTCAGTTATTCGCTAATTATCTTAAAATGTCAACATGTCACTTTATTTTTGTACACTTTGTGTTTCTTTTCTTGTTCAGTGATGCAACAAGATGATTCGTCTATTTATCAAAATAATTTGTATATTGGTTTGTTTTCATTGTTTTGTTCATTCTTTCTCTAGTTCATGGAAATATTGCATGTCATATATTCAAATAATTGGAATGATTGTTGTTTAGATTATTTTGAGAATTAATTCTATCTGAATTACCTATTTAAAAGTATCAATATCATAAGAATTGGATTCCTAGTCCAACTGTTATTATTCATGATAGCAGATTTGAAGTATACAAATTTAATCTTGAATAATACAAATGAATTATGATTCAAAGAAGTTTATTACTACTTACTATTAACTGATTTTAAGTTTTAATTCAGTTAGTATTAATTCTCAACCTTAATCTCTATATATGTGTTCAATTACAATAACTTAATGTTGTCTGTTACAGTAATATCTAGTCTTGTAAAAGTGTTGTCTTAAAAACTGTACATAATTAGAACATTGATAAAATTAATTAATTGTTTTCTCTCCAATATTACACTCTAATCATAGGAGGTAATTTATGTTTACCTGGACGATTTGGACATGATTGTAGTTTAACATGTTCACATTGTGAAAATGGTGGTCGATGTAATCGAGATTTAACTGGATGTGAATGCCCATCTGGTTATAAAGGAATTATCTGTGAAGAACAATGTCCAAAGGTAAAAGAAATAATTTAAACGTATACAATTATAAAATTTATTTATAATATAATATACTCTTTACCATTATAACATTAGACAGTTAAATTCACTTGGTGTTGTTTTACTTGTATCTTTGAGTCCCAGAGTGAACATCAACCCTGAGATTCAAGTACATCCAGCTGACGAGTCTCAAATAAGACGAAACGCGCGTTCTGGATTCCACTGCTAGCCACTATCCATCTTTGCTTAAAAATCTTGTGATTTCAGGCAATATCGAGGCAGTCTGCACAGGATGCATATATGCCAACAAGAGACTGATCAATTGCAGTCCTAAATAATAATGAGCAGATACAAATCAAACAACACCAAGTAAATTTAAACTTCACCCCATTGCACAAGCAAGTAGCTATCAGGACTCAGTAGATAAGTGGATAACGCGATTGCTTTTGAAGCGAACGGTACTGGATTTGAATCCCAGAGTGAACAACAACTCTGAGATGCAGGTACATCCAGCTGACGAGTCTCAAATAGGACGAAACGCGCATCCTGGATTCCCCTGCTTGCCACCATCCATCTTTGATCAGACAGTTAATTTTAAAGTGCCTTTTACTGAGTAGAATTATTTGTTTAATTAGAATTGATCTAAGTTATAAGTTCTCATTCGGATTGATTACTGTGGAAATTTTTATATAAATTAAAGCTAATTGTTTGATGTATTCTTGTCGTTAGTTTAAAGAATCTTTTTCATTTAGTCTCGTAATTTCTAATGAACAATGTTTTCTTGTCTAAATATGGAAAGACATATTGAATAAAAATAGTTAGGAATGTTGAGTATAAATTGGCCAACATTTTATTAGCACCGTAATTAAAACATGAGCGTTGGAATAACATTTAGTCAATATATCTGGAATTTGTTAGCCAAGAGAGTAATTAATTCTGGAAAACGTTACTTTTTCTATTGCTACAAGTTAGTATAAATTAAATTACTATTAAAACCAATAACTGTGTCAGGTTTTATTCTGACGATTTTAGCGCTATACATTATAACTGTGAAGATACGTTGATGACAGTATTTGTAATACAACATGAAATATGATATGAATAAATGTGTCTAATGTTTAAAAAAAGTAATAATATAATACACTTACTGTTCGTAAATGTAAATGGTACATAGTTTGTTGCATCTAGGTATGTCTTAAAAAGACTCTATGTAAGTACTTTTGAGGACTTCAACGAAATAATGGCAAATCATCCAGTATTATTTCGTTATGCATGTAACTGTTAAATGGTGTTTATTTCACTAATTTTACTCTCAAACTAAATGCTCAAATTTTCACTGGGATAAACAGAAAAATTACAAACTATTACTTAAATTTTTTTCTAAATTTCCCGTAGCTACTTAGTCTAAATACTTTCTCTCACTTCTTAATCACTTTTTTCATTATAGGGACTATGGGGTGTGGACTGCAGACAGTACTGTGATTGTGCAAATGACGTTGACTGTGATTCCGTAACTGGGGTTTGTCAATGTCCTTTAGGTCGTCATGGTACAAGATGTGAACTATCCGGATGCCAAGCAGGGTTTTGGGGACCTCAGTGTGATCGTCTATGCCCAAATCATTGTGCAACAAATCAATGTGATCGTGAAAAAGGTCATTGTACATGCTCACCAGGAATGTATGGGTCGCATTGTCACTTAAGTTGTCCGGAAAATACATGGGGCGAATTGTGTAGTCTGAAATGTCCAGCTGAATGTTCAGAAAGTAGACGACATACAAAGGGTTGTGATCCTCAAGTATGTTGATTAGAAATATAAATATAAAACGTTTTGGTAGATTAAGTAAGAGATATTATTTTAAAACTGTATGCTTATTATTCGCGTCCATAGGAACCAATTAGAATAGCCACTCCAAGTCCAAACATAATATTATCACAGTTCCAGAAACGTTGGCGTTTATTTACGATATTATTATGCTGCAAACCACTCCTTATAAGATAAAGATGAAATCAAGTATGTGTAACTGGTTGTACATGAATATGACTACAAACGTTTTCTTTGGATATCTATCACATCGTTAGGTCGTTGAAATGAAATCATGAAATACTGTTAAATCAAATGGACTTCTTTGTTGATTCAAATGATTCATGTACTTTCCCAATCTCTCAAGTCTGTAAAATTAGTCCATAATACTGACATAACTTTTCAACTCATTTCACATCTTCAATTTGTTGCTACCTTACTTTAAGAATGCCATTTTCAAGGATTTCACCAACCGTTCGATGAATCGTTTAGTGTCAGTTAAATTAAAAGCTTTCTGTAAAGTTCCCTGTTACAAATATCTAGACGTTCGAGTTGCTTAAACTGATTCTTAGATGGATAATCTGGTTTGACTTAATAACTCTTGCAAGTAGTCCATTTTAATATTTCTAGTAAACAAGTAACCTTTTATCGATCAAATTTGAAGTCATTATAGCTTCCAGTCACATAAACAATTTCATATAATCATGTATCTCTTATTGTTATATTTGTCACGTTTTAGTGGCCCAAAATCGAACTTCCATAATATCGTATGAATGATTGTTGCCAAAATATACATCCTGGCTATCCTTGTATATAATCATCGACTTAAATCGCGTTAGTGGATAACGGAATTAAATCAGTCAAATATGAGAATGAATCTTGAATATGTATATTCCATGCACTAATTGATTTGAACAGGCAATCGAGAAATGAAGCGAGGCGAAATGACGCGCAGTGGAGAAGGCATGTGAGCCAACTCCATTTAGTCAAGCCTTAATCAATATTTATAGTCACTCAAAAATAAGCTACAGATATGTCGGGATTAGGATAAGTGTACACATACGCTTACATAAAAAAAGTCAAGTGAATAATTAAGAAGGTCAAAATGTGACTCAAGTAGAATGAATAGACCAGCCTGTCCGAAAGCTAGAATAAGATATATGGGCTTAACATAATAACCGATACTAGAATGGTTGAGTATCAGAAGTAAAAGATAGAGAAAATTTACTATTTTGAACTGTCATTTGTGTGCTTAAATCACAACAACTAAGACGTAGAATTGACAATGCATGTAAATAAGCTTTAACTGTTTCTTGTGCATAAAGTAATTTAACCATTTTATTCTAAAATAATTCTCATCCATAACACATTTAATAATTACTTTTCTTATTTAGACCGGTGAGTGTATATGTAAGCCTGGCTATCAACCGCCTGACTGTATTCTACCATGCCCGTCGTCATATTTTGGTTTCAATTGTAAAATGACATGCTTTGATTGTCAAAACGGCTGTGATCCAGTGACTGGACGATGTCTAGTTGAATGTCCACCTGGTAAACATGGATTAACGTGTGAACAAGGTAGATAACATTATAAGTAAACCTAGAATATTCATATCTGTATTTGTCTGAATAGAAACAGTCTGTGGGATTATTCCCACTTTATTAAGATAATCATTCAAAAAATGTAACGATCTGTCTGTTAGTTTAAAATACTCTCTCAATTACGTCATGACATTCTGTTCACATTTTGGTGTGAAAATCATCCTAGAACATTCATAAGTCACATATTATCTACAAACATCCTAGACTAGATTTTATTTTACTCTGAATTGGTGAATGGATATAATTATGTAGCAAGAATATTACCGATATAAGATCTAACCGATTATCACAATGGCGGTTTGTAATCTTAGTTGGTAGAAAACTGGAATAATTATCGATTCAATGAAGCAGATCAAGATCATGAAGCGTAACAATGATGTCTATTAAGTTTACAATTTTCTAAATATTTTATAAAAAGAACCACTCAGACTAATTCATACTTGTGATATACGCCATTACTGGGATATATTCCAATATATATGATGAGATGCTCATTATTATTATTACTTGCTGTACTAAGTAACACATCAGAGATGTAGATTTATTGTAATTTTCATTTTCATTAGTACTATTGAGTTTACCCTTTCAACGAGCGTACACTATAACAAAAGAGGATTAAAGAAAATTTGATCTATATGAAGTACTACGAGACGCAATTCCGTCTTCTCCGACCACATTCTGTAAATCTGACTCCCTTCATCTTCGCCTGCACAAACATCAATTAGCGGTCAAATGCCATGACATATCCTCACTTATATCAATACATGTAGACAACTGTGGACACACATTCGACTAGGAAAACGTTGAGATCTTGTATAGAGGTAATTCTAAAAACACCAGGGAATTTTTAGGAGCTTGGCACTCAGGTCAATCAGCAATCAACAAACACATTAAAATCGATCCAATTTATAGACCAATTGGAAAAATTATGGACAAATATAGGACCAAGAATCAAATCAGTTGGAGGTAAAATCAAATAAAGAAGTAAACAATAACAGGTTAAAGGTTGACATTAACCATTCAAGATCGAGGTCTACAGGACAAGCTAAGAGTCAATTGTGGAGAAACTTGAACACTTCACTTCTACTTGATTTCGTTCAGATTGACGATGAAAGCTTCACGACCAAACCATCCAGCTGAGAGAACAAAACTCCACCGAAACCTTTTTAACTATCACTGGCATTATTACTACTACCTCCGATAACTTGGGATTCACTTCATCAAGATATGGTAAATTGGTAAAGTAAGATGGGCAGTTCCATACCTGTGCCAGACCCTAAATGGCCTAAGACTAAGTTTGTTTTATAGGCATTTCAAAAATTTACAACTGTAATCGTTTTCATAACTAACTTCTGAACATTTAATGTCTGCCATGTACACTGAAATCACTTCAACTACTTGTTTCAGTTTTATTGACTTTAAGATTTAATTAACTAGTTTTAAAACCAGTATGTTTTCGTTGTAAAGTAAGAAACCTTTCGTTAATTGTTTCATTAGTGGATGTTTACAATTAACTTCACTTTAATAGGTTGTTAATGTATATTTAGAGTTCGAATTTCATCTTACATCGAACTAACTTTGTGGCTACGGTCGGCCGAAAGAAGCCATAGTAACAAATTAGTTATAACCATTACTCGGTAATATAATCTATAAAAAATCATATTACTTTATTTTATTGGTTACATAACGAACTGAAGTTAGTTAACTCACCAACTCAGGTTAGCCGCCATTGTAAACTACGAAATTCAACAATCTCTCTATACCTCTAAACTGACAGTAACCTTATGTTCACTAGTGACTTATTTTGAGAAGCAAACTTAAAGATTTAGTGAGAAGCCGTGGAGTTCAGTAATATCGAACTTGAAGCAGTTGCTCACAAATAGTTTCCAAAGATTGCTATGCAGTATCAGAAACTAACTGTATCTAAATATGTATAACATTGGACCCCAGATCAGTGGCCTAGAGGTTAGACGCTCTTTGAGTTAGTTGAAGTTTTCTGATTCAAACCCTCACTGTCGAGAATTCCCACACTAAAGCTATCCAGTGCATTCTGGTTTTCAGTGATCTTCAAACTAAGGTTATTCGTGATGTAAACTATGAATTTTTACCATGTCCATAAATCCTTGTACTAATATTATGGAATTACGTGTTATTTATTGATAAAGTCGTAGTTTAGTCCAACCGGTCAAATTTGTTTTCTAGTGTAAATTAAATTTTTTCTCCATTTTAGACTGTCCCCCAGGGTATTGGGGCAAAAAATGCTCTCGACATTGTCGATGTGGTTATGACGAAAAAGGGAATCTCAGGACATGTGATCCAACGAGTGGTACATGCTCATGTAAAGCAGGTTATCGAGGAAAGAACTGTGATGAACGTAAGTGTAATGGAATAATCGCTTTTAAAGATCATAGTTTTTCGGCTTCATTTTCTCTTTTTCTACAATAAAAGTCTTAGTACAGAGCATCAATGACACAAAAAAACAAAAGATTAAGAAAATTAAATGGAGCCTCTAAAGTAAATAATATTGCTATTAAATATTGATGCTACTAATGATTAGAATAATTCGTTTAGTTTAATAACTAGCAAATTAATGCGGTTTGTGCTGATGATGTCGTTCAGAAAAAACGATGAAAGCCCCACGACCAAACTATCCAGCTCGGAGAAAAAAACTCCATCAAACTCATCCACCTAAGCTACAAATCTTCTCCACCATCTAGCAAATTAGTGGTTACCTTAGAAGAAACCATAATACTAAGCAAAAACTAACCCATAAACTTAGTGATATATAAAATGATGTAATACAAAGTTTAAATAAAAAATGTAGACCATTGCTTATTATCACATTAAAAGTAAATCACATCCATAAAGATCCCACTAAACAAGATTATAGAGTGATATAAAAGTTCCTTATAACTTCTTATCTAACAATAATGTTTAATTTGGCCAACGAATGATTCTCAGTCTTGATACAATTTTATCGGTCATTTAGTGTGCTAGTATAACAGGCATAATATAGTGTTAATGTCTAACTTCAGTCAACCGGCAGCATTGCGCGACCATCTTCCATTGTCTTCGAAGAGTAACTTCCTCACGCACAACAGAATTTAACTCCATTGGAGTTAAACTGTGTTGGGTCTGAAGCAGTTACCCATCGAAGACAATGGAAGATAGTCACTTAATGTTGTCAATTAGGAGAAGTTAGACATTAACACCGTTGGATCCTGGCTCAGCAACCTAGAGAATAAGCGTTCACACACGAGATTGAAGGTTTTCGGTTCGATTTTCATGTGCGAGGTTATAAAAGCCCACTGTTGAGGAGTCCCATGGTACGACGAAACGACCGTTCACTCCTTCCAGGTTTTCAGTGATGGTATAACATTAATCGATTCATAATTTCAACGAAATTCAACAATTTCCACAACATAGTGTATAAAATGGTTAAACCCTTATATGGTCCAAGAATAAGAGACTTTAACTAGCCGTTATAATTTACACCTTATATTAGGTGCATACAGCAATATCTAGAACGATTAGAAATCATTGGCTGGTGCAACAGAATTCAAATTTAAATAATAAAATTAGTTTAAAATGATATCAAAAGTTAAACAAGTATGGTTCTAGAAAGATGCTGCACTAAGAGTTTTCCCAAAGTAGCGAGTATCAATGTTTACAGGACAGTATGATGTGTCTAAAAGTGTTGGTTTAAACTGTGTGCTTATCCACACAAATTCGATTTGCTCCCATAATCTTTACTACTTGTTTAGCGCATCCTCCTCCCTACTTGTACTTCTGTTTTACATATCAATGTTTGTAATCAAATGATGTTACTAAACGAAACTATGGACATTCCGCTGTACAATTTATAAAACTGAATCTCTGTGGCATGTGTCTAGTAGTTCTCCCGATCCATATCTTCAAAATAATTCTGTATTCTCTACGTAGAATGATGACTGCATTAAACTATTAAGTTCTGTTGCGATATTTGCTACAGGTAAGAAAACTAAAGCTACTAATTAGTGGATCTCCAAAGCAAAATCCTCATATGCCATATAATATTGTTAAAGTTTTGCTGATTGATATGTTCTCCACCCCATATATCGATTCAGATACGATAAGCCTTTTGTACTACATTTGAATTTACTTGTACAAGTACCAATATTTCTAAATCCTCGTAATCAGTTATGATGGTTGTTGAATTTAAAGTCATAGCTTGTTTTCTCAGTTCGTTGAACATGAACAAAAATGTACTTGTACATTCATCGTTCATTAAAATGTAAACCACTTGAATAATCGTACTGAATTTCATAGCATGGATTGTGTAGATCTGTTAAACAATACTTTTCTAACAATTTAACGTAATTCGGTTTACAATTCTTTGTAGCCTGTGAAATTGGTACTTACGGTCCAAATTGTCGATTGAAATGTCAATGTGGGATAATTAATATGGGATGTGATCCGGTTACTGGTTTATGTCAATGTCCGAATGGAATTGTAGGACATAAATGTAGTATGCGTAAGTGGTACATTATTAATAAAGTCACTAATGGTCCAATAATCTCTAGTTATTTTATCAGACATTTATTAGCATTATGGGATCTAATGTATCACGATGTTTGAACAGTGACGTCACAATATACTCTTAGGTGTCTTTTATGAAACTGTTCAAAGCAAATCGCTTCAACTTTTTTAAACTGTAGTGCTCAACTTTTCGATTCATTGCCTAATATATGCTTCCTAACACTTGCCTAACCAGCTTAACATAGTAAAGGACTGAGAGTGTATCGGAAGCTTTATTTTTTAGGTTGAATTAATACGTACATACGTGTGTTGGGTTAAATCACATGACAGTGAACTATTCAACTGTATTGACAGGAGAGAGTTTAGATTCTAGTTCAAGTGAATTATCATTTTATTTTTTGAGTATACACAAATAATACTGGAGTGATTCAAAAATATGTGGGCTGTGACTGTAATCAGGTTAATATTCCACTCACTCATAATAATTCTGCTCACGCTTAACTTATTACTTATCCTTAATCATTGACGGAGTAAATGATCTGTCTGGATTTATCTGGCTTATCAGAAATCATTTCACCGCTCTCTGAGTATACTTGGTGAGGATTGAAGTGATTATATTAGCAACTAATCTGTATTCAATTTCTTTATTATCACTATTTAATAAATCAACATTCCTATTGTATTTTACATATGGTCTTGTCTAAACGAACATTGTTTTACAATTTACCATTATTCAATTTGGCTTCAGCTAACGTACAAGATTTGAGCACATAAGCATATTCTTTTAAAATGATTAATCTCGAAACATTACAGAAATCAATCAGAGTCAAGATTATTTATGGAAACATAACATTTTATGATAAAATTTTGGAAAATGACTTTTGAAACTGAACTCAATATTTCATCTGATCAGTTTTAAAAATTTAGCTATATCCACTTCATAGCATTAGATTGTGGTGGTCGGTATTCGACATAATCCTTAAACTTCGTATACAGTTCGTCTTGACAACCGTTCTATATAACGTCCCAACGGTATGTTAATCAGAAGGCAATTAGGAAGTGTTGATTACGTTTATTGAGAGACCACACATATATCCAAATGTACAGATGCGTTAAACAAGCATAGAAGAGTTGTGCCGAAAGGCAAGCAAGCGAGCGAGAGCCAGGGCAAGAGCGAGACGAGAGTGTGTGAGTGAGTGAGTATGAATAACATGGACATATATATACCATGTGAAATGAATGAGTAATCGAATCAAATAATCAGTTAGTAGTAAGACTAGCAGAGTGAATAAATGCGTAGGCCGTAAGCAATATTCAAGCATACGTATTTCATACAAGCACAAAATAATAAGGGTACAATAAGTTGTTATAGTGCGGATGACTTTGTCCGCTAAATGAGTTAGCAAAAGGGCTTAACTGCGTTAGACGAGACTAAACTCATTTGCACGTGAGTCGCTATAAGATACACAAACAGTATAGCCAGAATCTACTTAAGTATACAGTAACGAAAGTTTGTTCTGAAGAATTTTAAACCCTCAATTCGTTAACAACTTCATTTTTTCGACACTAGCAGCTAGTAATAATCTTTAAAGGAAACTAAAAGGTCTACAATCTGACAACAGACAGAAGAAACTCAACAAACATACAGCATTGACTAAATTATGTTTGTCACTGACAGTAAATATGTTTAACATTCTAAAAACTTTTACGCCCACAAAGTTTGATTTTTGGGGGTTAACTTATATTTTTCAATACGTACTTTCATCCATGAACATCTGTAAATCAAACTTCAAATCTCAGTCTACACATACATATGTAAATTCAGTATTTGGCATGACAACAGTAAAAATGTTCCCTGTTCACAATGCAGTAGGAGAGGATTATAGACATCCACACTTATCTCATTGATGGAGTGAAATTTTTAACTCTGTCGTCTGTGTATGCAAACATTGGTTTTATTAATAAATGATGCTCATCAATAGAGTAAATAAAATTACTTTGACTGCAATTGTATCTATGTTCATGCAACCCATTAATAAAGATGCTTGCCAGTCTCTATCCTGTTGTATCATGTATTTTTTAGCTTGATGTAAAGGCGAGACTATAATTTATGGACGGATCAATCAGATATAAGATAACGAGTCTTAGATTTTGGCATGAAAATCATTCATACACTGGTTATCTAGCGTATTGGCATTGTAGCCGATGTCAATTCGTGATGAAAACCCTAAATCGAATTTCTAACCCTAAACACCAACTGTATATCATAATCCTGATTCCTCTTACTAGTTTATAACCCTCATTTAGTCCTAGTTAGTAGGTGGACACTCTCAAGGTCACCTTAGCGTTGCTCAGAGGCCGTTCATAAATTATAGTCTCACCGATGTAAATATTCTGTGCATATGGTAATAACTTCCAGTAATCTTTCTCATTTCTTTCTTTAGAAAATGACATTTATTCACCAGATGATGAACCATGTAAGTATATGAATTTTCAGTGAAAATGACTAAGATAGAACTATTCAGTGATCAACGACGAGAGTTTAAAAACCATATGTTTTTCTAATGGCTGAAGTTAATAGCAGTATGCTTAGTGTTTATTAAGTGTGCCATATGCAATACTTTCGTCCATTTAATGAGATCGTCGCATATTGTAGTATGATTTTCATTAGCATTTAATTTCATGTGGTTCGAGTTATTGGGAGTGTTTACAATGAATTTTTCTAGTGTAGAGCAGTCCAACACACTTAATGGGGAATACGAATTTAATACATTTTAGGCCTTAAATTGAAATCTTTAATTTAAATCACACTAATATGCAGCGTTTGTACATTAAATGAATGGAAGATTGATGTAAAGGGTTAGGTATTGTGGAATGAACACTAAATACATTGCTAATAACTTCAGCCTTTACACCAGAATAAGTAGAAATTTTGATATTTCTCAGCTTTGTCCAAGTAATCACTTTATTTCTTGTAATAAAAGAAATGTTCTACTTGATATCTTTTGAAACTTATTATTATGTGAACCAGTTTGGGTATGAATGAGAAATAGTAAATATGAAATTTAAAGAACTACAATGTGGTTTTAATTTGAAAGTGAAGTAAAGTATGATTTTCAATAGAAAAAAATGTGACGTTTTGGAAATAAGGTTAAAGTAGGTAAAAACTTCGTTTTCATAAAGTGCAGTATGGGTCTAACATTACACAGAATGTTTCTACTATTCGTCATTTTTATAATTACAGAATCTTTTTAGAGTTATTTAATCATCCCCAACATCGATATGACATTTAATACAAGCATAAAATACATTATTTCTATACAAAGTCTAGAAGACCAAAGTTCAGAACAATGAAGTCTTCTTCTTGAAGTATCCACTTATTCTATGACAAACTAATAAAGAATAGAAATCATGCCATATATAGAAAAACAACTTTTAATTTACTTGTGATTCTTATCTTATAGGCTGTCATATAACTGCAATTTCTCGGCTAACTATCAATGCAAAGAATAAACATTTATAGGGTATTTAAATTAATTATAAGATAAATATAAATTTCCGATCATTCGCAATAGATTTACTTCATTAGAAATTTCATGCTAAAAGTGAATGTTTAGTTGTAATAATACTGTATTATTTTACTTCATTACAATCCAATCCAATTTCTTCATTACTTATTATAAATTTTATTACTAGGATTATATACTACTTCTGTTGATAGATATAAGTAGTATGTAACATCAATCAGAAGTTGAATGTCTGACAGAAGGTTGAGAAGATCAAATTGAAAAGAACAGGAATATAAACAGAGAGTAATTGTAATAAAAACAGAAATGAAGGAACGATGAAGTTTCTAAAAGACAATTGATGAATGATGGGCAAATAAAGTATTTAATGTATGATGTTCATATTATACCTAAACATTCTGTTATTTGTGTCTACCTGGTTGTCAACACCTGATTGTTAGTTCATTCCATTACTAATTACAAAACAGTGATTCAACAGACGATTTTGTGAAGTTATTCAATTGAAACCTTACGTTTATTAACTTCATATTATTCCTTATATGTAATCTGATATTGAAAATCTTCTCAAACCTAATCCTATCATTATGTTTAAATTTAAACAAAGTGAGAACAAGATTTGTAAAATAAAATAAACTCATCCGTCTACAACTTAAAATTACAATGCTCAATGTAATTGTTAACAATTGTTTAGCATACTTTAGTTTGTGAAGTTTAGATAAATGTTCGAAGCGTAACCAAAATCATCATAGTAAGAAGAATACGGATACAAAATTTATGAATAAACATAGTTAAGATCGATGTGCATTTACATATTGGAAAGTAATAATTCAGAGTAAGCTAGGCATTATAATTACCAGTAATCATAACCAAGGTTATGTAAAGGTAATGAAATTAATAAGTGGTCGCGTAATCACTCAACATGATAAAAGAAAACAAATATGTGGACACCAACAAGAATAATAAAGCTAAGGAAGTTGGGGATAGGGTTGGAAAGAAAGATTGAAAATCAAAACTAATGAACGTTATTAGATAAACATCCGACTATCATGTCAAATGAAAGTTAATCACACTTCTCTTCTTTATACATAGGTCAGGTCGGGAACGTTTTATGTCGATCACCTCTGCCAAACGCAATAACCTTGGTGTTTGTTGTCTGTTAATTATTTTGAATGCATTACTTACATTCACCTCGTGTCCACTGTCAAAAAAGTGTCTGACAATAGCACTTGTAAACACTTTACTTTCTTTCAGTCGTACGATCCTAGGAATGTGTTCAGAAACCTAGTACACGCCCTTCTATCTATCATTCCTGTATACTTTCTAAAACAAGCACATATAAAATCATAGATGCGATTTCGCGTGACGTCGGAAGGGTGTTGATCTACCTTGGAATGATAATAACAAATACTTGGTATTTGGTATACCTATTCTTCTTACTATTATGATTTTGGTTACGTTTCGAACATTCATATTAATTTCACATACTAAAGTTAGCTAAATATTTGTTATTAATATGATTAACATTTGTAATCTTAAGTTGTATACAACTGATGAGAAACCGTGAAATAGATGGATGAATTCGTTTTATTCTACAAATCTTATTGTTTTTGCTCTGCTAAAATTTATCAAGGAATCTAGTTGTACGAAATATCCTAAAATTGTTATCCTATTTACTGCAAAAATCAATCAATAATGCATTTCTTCTTTTTCTAATTTCCTTTCATTATTTTAGCTTGTCCACCGGGTAGATGGGGTAAATCTTGTACAGAAATATGTGATTGTGAAAATAGTGTTGAATGTCATAAAAATACTGGATTATGTATTTGTTTCCCTGGCTTCATTGGTGATAAATGTGATCAAAGTAAGTGATATATCTTGACATAAGAAAAGTATATATTATTTAAGATTAAAAATCATTATACAGATGGTTTACGTTACTGATCGACATCAGTTGATGTATCATTGAAAAAAGTATGTATCAGATAAATTCATGTCAATTGTAAGGATCTACTAAAAATTAAATCAATGTACATAAATTCTCTCAATTAGACTATAAATTATTTCACTGATTGAAATCATGACTCGATTGAAGCTAGATCACCATGGGAAACCTGGAAGCACTGGACGACCGTTTCGTCCTAGTGTAGGACTCCTCAGTAGTGCGCAGATTGTAAAGAACCATTCCATAGGATTGGCATATTACACAAGAATAGCTTTATTAACCATCTTGCTTATCGACTTGAAATTTTGAAAATATAATAATATGCACTATTGCGAATGATATAAACGGTATAAATGAATCAATCATCAAATACTACAATCTCATTTAACATAATGACTTACTGTTTATGCAATTGGGACCTAGCCATCCTGGTCAACAGTAAAAAATTCCATGATTTCAGTCAGCGAAATTTCTAAAATCTCCGCAAAGCCCCTTCTGATAATAATCATCTGTTCACTAGTGACTGACTTCAAGAGATACTCCTGGAGTTCTAGTGAGATGCCGTTACCAGTGGAGTTCAACCAGGTCTGTTGTGAGATATCAACTCACTGATGACAATAGTGCACGGTGGAACAACTTCGCGCACTGGTCGAAGTTGGACATTAACACCGTTGGATGCTGTCTCAGTGGTCTAGTTGGTTAAGCGCCTGGCGCGAGACTGATAGGTCCTGAATTCGAATCCTGTGAGGCGAGGTCGTTGGTGTACACTACTGAGGAGTCCCGCAATAGGACGAAACGGCCGTTCAGTGCTTCCAGGTTTCCCTTGGCGATCTAGCTTCAATTGACTCATAGTTTTAATCAGTGAAATTTCTAAAATCTCCACAAAACCCTTTCTGATATAAATTATTTGTTTGAATAACTCTACTCAGTGTCTTTTAAGAGTTATTGAGTAAAATTTAGAAGAAGTTTTTAATGTCAAATTATGTCAATTGAAAAATCATTGAAATTCGGATGTGTTCCAATTTGTTGATAAAATCAAAAACGCAAATACGTTGGGACTAAAGATGATGTCATTGGATGTAACATCGTTATTCACAAACGTCCCACTCATAGAGACTGTAGAATATATAGGTGAACAGCTGATAGAAAATGAAATTGAAACTACGGTCCCTATTAGCGTCGTGAAAGAGTTATTACTCAAATGCACCATGAATGTAAATTTCAAGTTCAACGGTGAAATATATAGACAAACAGATGGTGTTGCAATGGGTTCACCACTGGGCCCTTTACTAGCTGATATTTTTCTAGCCAAACTAGAAAATGGTCCACTGAAAAAGATTATTCAGAACTTCACATTTTACTGTAGATACGTGGATGACACGTTCATCCTCTGTAAAGATAATACTTCGCCGCAAGAGGTTCTTAGACGATTTAATGAAGTGCATCCAGCCATTCAGTTTACATCTGAAGAAGAGAATGATGGCCGAATAGCCTTTTTGGACGTTCTCTTGACTAGGAAAGTAGATGGATCGTTAAAAAGGAATATAAACAGAAAAAGTACTTGGACTGGGCAGTATACGAATTTCCTGAGCTTTGTACCTCTACAGTACAAACGAAATTTGATCAAAAACCTTAGCTACCGTATTCGCACTATATGTTCTGCTGATATAGTCGAACAAGAGCTTACCACCTTGCATAATACTCTCAGGGAGAACGGCTACCCTAGAAAGTTTATAATTAAATATATGGTCACGAAGGCGAAGGTAGGCGAAATACAAACAGTGAAGAAGAAATCCTTGTTCATGCGTCTACAATTCAGAGGGGATGCGGCTAGCGAAATACTAACTCAGAGACTACGTAGGACAATACAAAAGTCGTTTAACGCCGGAGAACTGCGATTAGTATTTTCTACGCGCCCAATGGTTACACCGAAGCTAAAAGATGAATTACCTAGAATGACCACATCATTTTGTATTTATCAGTTCAACTGCTCCTGTGGAGCGAGTTATATTGGTCGAAGTTCTAGAAATTTACATTTTCGTGCTCGTGAACACCTTCCAGCGTGGTTGAACAAAGGTTTGATGAAGAAGGTGAACAGCTCAATATTGGCCCATTTAGTACAAACCGGTCATAGTGCCAGTATAAACCAATCTTTTTCAATTATTTATAAGGTAAGTAATTTTTTGCCAAAACTGGTCAGACTGAAAGTCCTTCAAACGGCTGAAGCAGTAGCCATCCGAATGAAGAAACCGGAGCTATGCGTACAGAAGAAATATGTTCAGCCACTCCTCCTCCCCTGGCCAACATCAAGGCCAATTAATCTATCGTAATCTGAACTATTGAATGACCCAATTTGACTATGACCTTTCGTAGTCAATTGTAATTGTCCCTGTTATCTTTATTCATAAATCTTTGTATTATTATTATTATTATTATTATTATTATTATTATTATTATTATTATTATTATTATTATTATTATTATTATTATTGGTTAAACATCATTAATCTCCCCTATACATGATTCATTCACTTTGCATTCATCCCTCTGTATTACGTCTTACTTATTTGATCGAATTGTAATTGCACTATTATTTCTCTCTCACCCTATTTGACCCATATTTATTCTGATCATGGATCTTAAAATTTCATTTAACATATACACAGATTCAAGTTAACATTTTATATTAGTCATATTAACATTAACAATTTTATTGTATTTTGTTTATCACAATCCCAAATTCACATGCTCTAAACGATGTACTTTACCCTTAACTTGGCCATTTTTCGGATTAATAATTTGGATATATAATTGTAGAACCTGAAGAGAATTTATCGAAAAGAATATTCTTCGTTCAAATATTAGTCTTTTAATGAATAAGTACTTTTCTCTGCTTTGAAACCCAACGGTGTATACTGTATAACCATAATCCCATCAGGAATCGAACTCAGACTATTCAGGTTTCGCGACGAGCTTTATGCCTTCAGATTACTGATTCGGGATTTATCGATTTAATGCTATCGGTGATTACTGTTGTATTTTGACATGACTTGATCTTACCAATCTCGACTTCTTGCCTAAAATATATGTGAATAAGACGATTATGCACTACAATTTAAGCTGGATGTTATAAAAATGAGACTAACTTCATGAACGTATCTAAAAATAAATATTACATTATTTCACTACACAACTAATATCAGCATAGCATGAGAACAGAATTTACCAATACTTTATGAGTCATTTATTACACTGAGATAAATATGCTAAAATGTTTGTACAGATTTGTGGACAGTATAGTTAACTTATTTGACTGTGAAAAAGAATTAGCAATGATGATACTGTTCAATGACCGTCCAAAACTTCTGATTAAATATAGCTAACAGAAATGTAGACTAATATATCCACTTCGGTGACTGAATATTATAAGTGTTGTTGCGTGGTTATAACTTCAGCTTTCTACCGCGGATCTATTTTGGAGTTATATTCATTAAAGAGTCACAGACAAGAATGAGACAACTATTTAGTAAGTTCTGTTGACCGATGGATATTCATCTGATCTTCTCATAACTGTAACTTTAGTAAGTAAAAAAACTGCTCAGTCTATCAACCTGGGAAACATAGCTTGATTAGTCAGTTTCTTACGAGTTAGTTTGCAACTAAATTTCTGGTTTGGATCATTTTTAAAAATTGTGAACCTACTGTTTTTAGTTCGTAAAACTAATAACTAGCTAAACAACATTTGTTGTCCTAAAAGGTGAAAACTATACCATTTTACTTCTGTTCAACTGCATTTCTCATTTGTACTTTGAGCACTTTTGTTAGTTTTGCTTTCTGCTGGATTTTTCGCGCGAATGAATTCGTATATTATTACATCACCTTATAATTCATTTGATTATCCCACAATAGTTGCAGTTCAGAGAATTATTTAAAATATATGCTTTGCATTAAAGTGTGTATATGTTAAATTCCTTTTTTTTCAAATAATTTGTTATTACAGAATGTGAAAAAGGGAAATATGGACTTAATTGTACAGAAACATGTGCTTGTGTACACGGTACTTGTGATCATCGTTCCGGAGCATGTGAATGTGAACCTGGTTGGAGAAATATGCTGTGTAATAAACCATGTGCACCAGGATTTTATGGTTCTGATTGCCAACATAGATGTTTATGTACAAATGGTGCTGAATGTGATCCTGTTACCGGTAACTGTGAATGTAATGAAGGTAAATATAAATTAGAGAATAATTCTTAAGTGTTTATTCGACCTCAACTTCATTTATATACCGGCTCAGTCTATTTTTACTAAAATATTCCTCAAACGAATGGAACTGTTTCCTTTTTTTTCTAATCAATCTCAACATTTTTCTAAATGAATCGAGACTATGAACATTCTACAACTTTATTTCAGAAACAGCTAATAAACAAAATGACACAGAGTATCTCTGATTATTTAAAAACCCTTACTTCTTATAGAAACCTGATAATTTACTCAAGTAAAAAGAATTAACATGTATTTTATACAATTTGCATTACAATAATTAAACATTCGTATTATGCCACCATATTACGATACAACAGACTTTATCTTTAATACATAGATAAAACTTCTAGTTAATTACTCAAAAAGATGTTACCGTTGGTTCGTATTACTTTTTGAATTCTGTGTCAACATTTAAAACTCACTATTATCAGCGTGATTGGTTCAACAGTGCAGTATAGTTTATATATATATATATTAGAATAAACCAGTGAACTAAGTATCTAAGTGAACTAAAAACCACAAGTTAGTTAAGGGTCAGACTATAACGACATCAGTGAAAGGCTACATAAATCAGTAAACAAGATTGAATGAGGTTTCTTTTGGATAGTTAAAGAAACATTCAGAACAATAAACAAGTAGAAACTTCTAGTCAGTAAAATTTAAAACTTGTTTTAATGCTTCTGCTTTCCAATTTCTATATTTCTAAGATGATTCTTTGCTTGTATTAGGCTAATATCAAAAGCTTTCATCAGTAAAACCTGCCACGATAATCATCCATTCGTAAAACATAACCCTTTTTTCTTTTTTATGTCCGTTTTATTAGGTTGGTATGGACCAGCATGTGACCAACCTTGCTCTGAAGGAACATACGGTAAAAACTGTGTCAAGAAATGCAACTGCGCAGATGTTCCAGGTGTAAGCTGTGATAAAGTCACAGGAAGATGTATTTGCCCACCAGGACGTACCGGTAACAAGTGTTCTGAATTATGTCCTAGTGGATTTTGGGGGGAAGAGTGTTCGAGAACTTGTGCGTGCCTACGTGGAGCTACGTGTGATCCCATAACTGGCAAGTGTCGTTGCAGTTCAGGTTGGTATGGTGAAGCTTGTGAGTTGCCATGCCCAAGTGGCCACTGGGGCGAAAGCTGTTCTGTTCCATGTCAGTGTTCAGCAAATACTCGGAACCCAGAAGGAGGTGAATGTGACCGGTTTACTGGAGAGTGTCGATGCCCACAAGGTTTTACTGGACCAAGGTGTCAAGATAGTGAGTGTTTTTCAGTAATAATTCAATTGAATTGTGTCCATTCATGGTAAGTAGTTACATTGATCACTTTTTTTTTCTTCTCTCAGAGTGCCCACCTGGGCGTTACGGATCAGATTGTAAACTGAGTTGTCCATGTCAAAAACCGGGTTCTAGATGTGATCCTGTGACTGGAGCTTGTGAATGTCCACCTGGTTGGTTCGGAGAAACTTGTGAAAGACCATGTTTATTGGGATTCTATGGAACAAACTGTAAGCAAAGGTAAACGTTTCATTTCATTTGTTTAGACAACAAAATGTACCAAGAGATTTTTATGTGCATAATGACAAAAACTGCCTACTTTTACAGATCTAGGTTAAAAACGTAGAAAACACATCGACTTCTAGTTGTTTGTGAATAGGGAATGGTTACAATTTCAATTAAAGTGTACATCCTAATTTTGTCTAAATTAATTAAGACAACTGAATGTGAAATCCAACAAGACTATAAATTATGTCAATTTTTACTTAAGACACGGTTACAGTTTGGTAATAAAAGGTGATACTACCATTTTTTTAGCACTAATAGAATAAACAAACTTAAATGAAAAATAAATGAAATCGCCATGATAAACTTATTGAAAGATCCAACCAGAAAATAGCAAAATATAAACGTCACATTCACTAACATCTATCCAAATGACTAAATCTGGTCAACTAAAGGATGTTTTTTTTCAAAAAACCATGTCAACTGTTAGTTACCTTACTATCGAATATACTGATTATTAGAATTTCTTCATCACGCAACAGTTAGGGTTAGGCGGTAAATTTTCCAGTTATACACAGTATAAATAATTAAAATATTACTAAGTAGTTGATTTGTTATATATCTTAGATCTGCCTTGTTGATTAAGTTATCTTATCATATAGGAAAAGACCATTAATGAAATGCTAATTTATTCAGACAGTTTGATATGTGTTGTTGCTAACAGCAGTGATTAGGATACAATTATTCAATGAAATGAAATGAAGATCTTACACGAAATTCTATTATGATCTGATACACATTGACAAGTCAAAAGTTAGTCTATAAGAATCGACACTCCCGTTAGTTAATAAAATTGTTTGGGACTTATGATATGATTATCTAACATTATATGTTTCAAACGAGATCATGAATCCATCAACGTTAGATCATCATTGAAAACTTGGAAGCACTGGATGACCGTTTAGTTCCAGTATTCGACTTCCCAGAAGTGTGCATCCACGATCCTGCACGCAAGATTCGGACCCGTGACCTTCGGTCTTGCACGCAAACGCTTATCCTCCAGACAGCTGAACCGCTATTCGATAGTTTTAATGTCTGACTTCAAATAATCTGCAACATCGCTCAAACTGCCGAGGATTTTACTACTGGGACGAAACGGCCGTCCAGTGCTACCAGGTTTTCTGATCGGTTTGTAATCCCAATCAAAACAAAACAATCTCCACAGCCCTATACTGATAATAATATGTTTATCGAATTTCGTTGCATGTAAAATTCAGTGTTCATTAGACTAATTTGTGATTTGGAGTCACGCAATCAACTTTTATATTGAATCACGGACCAAAGTAATGTATAGAAACTCGTGTTTAATGTGTTTATTCGTCAACGATTCAGAGGATATAAATTTTACAAGTCTCATTCATATAAGTTAATCATATTTGTGCATCAGTTCTCAAGTTTATTTTTTGCATTAAACGGGGAAAAATAATTAAGATATTTAATCTTATGGCTGTTACTTATTTTCAATTATACGATATACTTGACCCCACTAATCGGTTTACTGAAATTCAATAAAATTTAATCACTTAAAGGTTATTGTAAATTAATGTAGTTCGTACAAAACTTTATATCTAAATAATCTGACTTTCATTATTGCAATAACTGGTTTCTAATTGATGATTGATACTTAATGCCTTAAATAATCCGGTGAAAGTCATTCTGTTTCACAAAATTGAAAGCAGATAGAATATAACAAAATAGATTTAACTAAAATTCAACTTTCTCATACTGTAGGCTTTTTGACTTTGTACTTCCATTTTCAATACTAATTTAAACTTTGTTGTATTTTGTTCCTCTGACTGAAACCACTACGTCATACTTCAAGTGAGCGCATTTTTATATTGTTATATCCTCTAGACTAATAGTGCTTCGTTAAAACAGTTACTACTTTCATTGTCTATGAATGAATATTCATTATTACTGTGAATGTTATGAATACACATTTCATTCAAGTGAATTCATGTTTTGTATTCATAATCTTAATGCTTTCACTATGATAAAATTCATTATCCTGGAGTGTTTTTTTTGTATGAAAATTAAGACATTTCTTATAGTTGGTAATGATTAATGATTACAAAACGTTGCCAACTCTGATTTGATTAATGACATTGTTGTAACAGCTGAAATTCATGTTTATTTGCCTTATAACTGACTACTAACCTGAATAAATGTTAGTTTCCAATGTTTTACTGAAATTTTTGTTTTGTTTTTTTTTCATATGAAATATCTGAAAAAATCTTTGGGAATGTTTACGGAAATGAATAAAGATTTTGTTGGTTGACTAATTAAAAAATATACAATAGTGAAATTTTCATTTCATATCCCATTAAAGTTTGTTTCCGATTAAATGGATTCAAGATTTATGGGTGTCAATATAAGTATTTTTAGCATTGGAGAAATGAATTCCAGTGATTTAATTTATCGGTGATACTTTTCAAGGAAACTTTGATCAAACAAATAAAAATACAGACTAAATAATTTAAGATTCTTAGTTATCTGTTTGATGGAATTGGAATTCTTTGTAATGAATGGTTTTTCTTAATTTTTATGGTATTACACTACTTTGATTCCCAAGTAGTAGTATAGTGAACAGAATACGGGTGGGGGACAATCGGATGTATTTAGCGCAAAATTACAGAGTTACTCGGTAAAATAGAAAAGCAATATAACAAATCGTTAATTCGCAAAATATCAATGCATCATATAAACCTGGACTGTTCCTGTTGCAAACATCAATCCATTGTCTCACATTTCATTGTCCATGCGTTTTCGTATAAATTGCATTGTGTTCCCGCTCTTCCTTTCTTGATCTTCCCCCATCTTCTGCTGCCAGACATTGCGCTTTTAATTCGCGTCATATACTACTTACATCGATATAAGTAGCACGCACCACAGTAGTAATATGAACAAGTCTTAATAACTATAATAAGAGCAGAACGACTAAATAATAACCCCAATTCTAGTAAACATGTATTGTCCTCGATCATAAGCAATTTACTGATGTAATATGTAAGTTCAATGTTATAAGAGTAACTGGTAACTTCAAGGAAAAACGTTTCTCCTATAAAAGAAAAACATTTATGAACAAAACTAGTCTTTTCGATAATGAAATAAGTAGTAAAATAAATACCTCCACAAAGTTGTATAAAAAATTCTTATACGGTTGTACACTAAAAAAACAAATATTAAACCAACTTTTAGGTGTTCTTGTCCATCTGGTCAACCATGTCATCATGAAACAGGTCTGTGTAGTTGTCCAGCAGGAAAGTATGGACCACAATGTGAAGATACATGTCCAGAAGGACGTTGGGGTGAGGACTGTCAACATATATGTGACTGTCATTTGAAGAGTAATAATATGTTATGTGATCCAATCCATGGAATTTGTTATTGTCGACCAGGATGGCTAGGTCCCAATTGCATAAGCAGTAAGTCATTATGTTAAATGAGATTGTAGTATTTATTGGTTGATTCATTTACACCATTTATATCATTTGCAATAGTGCATTATTATATTTTCAAAATTTCAAGTCAATCTATTCTTCTACAATATGCCAATCATATGCAATGGCCCTTTACAATCTGCGCACTACTGAGGAGTCCCACTCTAAGACGAAACGGTTGTCCAGTGCTTCCAGGTTTCCCATGGTGGTCAAGCTTCAACCAACTCATGATTTCAACTATTGATATAACTTAACGTTCCAATAATAACAAGTTTATAAAAGTAAATAATATTTAGACAATATCAAGTCAAAACAGACATACTTTGGTCTCACATAAAATTCCTTCTATTATCAATTAGACTTATAATTTCGATAGATATCAACTATATGGATTGAAAATTTGCTGTACTTCATTTTCAAGTACTTGTGGTTTATAAAAATCCTTATTTTACCAAATTATCAGTCATAACATTAAAAAAAAATAGTTATTTACGTTTATATGGACTATTATTAAAGTAAATCGATAGTTCGAGAACCCTGAAATATCATGATAATATGCGAAATGTAATCACATTCTTACGGTTGTTCGCAACTTATCTTGCGTACGTTAGCCAATTGCAAATAAATCATTCTCTTGGACTTTTTGTGAGTTCAACCGATCTTATTGTAATAGTGACCCTTATCTCACGAGATATTCAACTTTTAAAATGATGTAATTAACTAATTGATAATCCTTAGAAAATAATAAGACGTATAACAATAGTTAAAAGGTCATCTGGAAGCTTACAATAAAGAGAGTATAGAAGTACAATGAAAATATAGATAACAATAGTCCGAAAAATATTTCTGAAAGTTCCAACTGTCGCAATGTGCGTCTCGTTATAGCAGGTTTTATGGACAACAGTTATCTGACATAACTGTTTAAATGTTTAATGAAATAAAGGAAATACTTCCGTGTTGCATACTCTTAACTGTCATATTTGCTTTTTACGACTTTGTCTGTCCCAATTAGGCACTACACTAACTTTCTAATGAAAAATACATGGCTATATAGGGCTTGATTTAGGCGACAAAAACTCGAGGAAGACAGGCCAATGGTCATATCTTAGTACACTGATTTTGTGGACTATTAGTAACTTACTGATAACTAGGCAGGATTTACATAAACCCTAAGTGAGGCACTGATAGGTCAGTGACTAAACATAAGAATCCCATTAACTGGTTTCACAAGGCCAAAAATGTCACAACTATAATGACTGATTGTCGAATAATACGTTTGACCTTTTTATTGAGGTCAACTTCACCGAATTACGACCCAATAAATCCAAGCTACATATTGCCTTCCCTTTGATATTTTCACAATTTAAGTATTGATGTTGAAGGCGATAGACGAGTTCTAAGTTTGCATAGATTATTCAGTGTCATTTTTATTCCATGATGACACATTAACCTTGGCACATAATTCAAACTAGAACAATTAAGTAACCTATGCTAAAATGCAAAAGCCGTTCTCATAAGATTTTAGAATGGCACTTAATTAGATTTGTTACATTTACTGAAGATGAACTTTTTTAATTTTCTACCCTATTAATACAAAGATTTATGTCGTGTTCAACTGACTGGTATGCTGTTGCAATTTACTTATTATTGGTACAGTGTTTGTTGTCAAAAAAAGTGTTTATTTTCGTGTTTACTGACATTATTTTAGAATTGAACATGTGAGGGATTGCCATCTCGTTTTTTCTGTCTCGTTCAATTTCTAGGATGTCCAGCTGGATATTTTGGTATAAACTGTCAACATGAGTGTAAATGTGAAAATAATGGAGTGTGTCATCCTGACAATGGAACATGTATTTGTCAAGCTGGTAAATATTTATTCAAGTGTTTTATATTTGAATTGGTTATTTGAATCTTCCCACTGGTGTTTAGGACTGCAATTATTCAGTCTCTTTCTGATATATGTCCATCTTGTGAGGATTGCCTCAATACTACCATTAAGTTACAAGGATTATAAGCAGAGATGGATTGTATTCAACTGATGAGTCCCAAAATGAACAAAACGCGCGTCCTTGGTTCCATTCGTAGCTACCATCTATTCATACATTTTATTTATTAGCATTTTAAATATCGAAATAGTAAAGCATAACAACTTAGCTGACACAATTATTTACCGTGATTATGATTGTTAATGTCATTTCCAACTTCGGTGTTATTATGACTGCAACTATTATAATTTGAAAGACAACTGGACAATAGTCGAACAATTTCAGTTACTAATACTGAGTTCATTTTCGAAAGCATAATTATTCCCGAAATAAAGATGTCTGTTTTCCCTGCAGTTGAATAAACTCATCTTAGCACCAGCCATTGTCATGAATCATCAACACACCAAAACAACAAAGTTAAATTAAACAATGTATGTACATGAAAGAACAAAATGTGTAACATTCAACTCGTTTTGCTGTTAACTGCTCAAACAAATACAACAACTGGATTGGTTGATTCATTACTATATTCTACTATATTTCTAGTATTATACATACCATTCTCAAGAAGTTGTCAACTTAGGTATGGTATTTTGTGGCACTCAACAAGAAAGTTTTTCTTTAAGTCTAATCAAAATCTTTTTCCTTTAACGACAGAAACCTATCTCATCCAGTACTACAGTTGGAATCATTACCACTAAATATTCATCTTCTTATCATTTTGCCATAAAACTCGATTATTTCAATAGATTACCTATCTAGTGATTACCACTGTTCTGCTCTCTATGAATTGACTTACTGTTTACCAACTAGTTATTATTTCATTCGGTTTAAGGAATCAAAAGTGAGTCATCTATTAACTAGAAAGTACTTTTATTTGAATTATAACTAATGTGTAGATTGCCATTCCACAACTGTTAGAAAATTCTACATTCACAAAAAAATATTACACAATACTCAGTTAAACTGTTTATTAGTTCATTATATTATGTAGTGCATTATGCATCAATTTTTTATATTTTTACAGGGTATTATGGTGAACGTTGTCAACTCAATTGTCCTCCTGGTTTTTATGGTTTACAGTGTAAACAAAAATGTGGATGTATTCATGGTGAAGCATGTAATGAAGTAACTGGTGAATGTTACTGTTCAGCTGGTTACCATGGGAAAAAATGTGAACAAAGTAGGTGATTTTTGATTGTCATTTTGCACAGCAATGGTTTTTATGTCATATAAAATAACTATTATAATCTACCTCAAACTATCAGTGTTTCCAAAAATATGTTGGTCAATAAGTACAATGTTTCATCTGACACAGTTGATTCAAAATCATAGATTTATATGTCACTCTTTTGAGGGCTTATCAGTCAATTACACTTTCAGTCTCCATCATAACTAATATATATATATATATATATATATATATATATATTTGTTTATAAATAGTTCATTTTAATCAATGTGGAACGTTACATAAAGAAAGAGGATAGAAAGACCATTTACCATTAATAATCACTAACATAAAAAGTTATTTAAAACGATTTAAATGAGACTATTTTATTACCAAAACTTATAGTTCTCAGTAATATTCTGTTTGAAACTTTTCTCATATAATTACACATGATCTATGTACCTATTAATTCTTACCAACAGTAAAGTCGGAAGAGAAAATTACATAAAGATGAAATCATCAAATCTATTTTGTACAGTTGTAGAAAATAAAGTAAAAAGTCCGTATATCTACTTATTCCATGGGTAGAACTCTAGTGACAATTCAGATTTCAACATCATATTTGTAATTTTATATTAATAATTAATGCTTTTTTTAAATATAACTTTTTAGCTTGTCTTCCTGGTACATATGGACCACAATGTTCATTAATTTGTCCTGTATGTCATACTCGAATTGCAGATTCAAATACACTGGATAGTTTATTACTTTCAGATATCTCATCAATCCCAGATAATGCATTTCATTCATCACAATATCATTCAGAAGAAGTAATGAAAAATACTAAAGTAGCTATATTGAGACGTTTAAATCAGAATCAACATAATCCTACTTGCCATCCTCAAACTGGACAATGTCCATGTCCACCAGGTTCGGAAGGTAAAGATTGTAGTACACCATGTCCGAAAGATCGGTTTGGACCTGACTGTGCTCAGGTAAGAGTGTTGCTTTAATAAAGTAAAGGACATTCATGAAAGCATTTAATAAAACTAAGTAATTCTCATTGAAACAATTCGGGAACCTGTTATGGCCCACAGCTTTCCATCTTATTGTTAACTAGTAACCAGCTGGATCTCATATCGATCGTCTTTACAAATGCGTATAGAGTACACTAATGTATCACTTCCTATCCTGGAAAATCCAGTTATTTTTCGTCTGGCTTAAAATTCTAGGACTTGTTACTCACGAAAGGGAATTTCAAATTACAAGTTAATCAGTTACCTGACTTTGAAGAACTATACGACAATTACCATAGTAATCATTCTTTGATTCTTTCTTTCATACCGTTCGAAGTGATTATTTTCATAGAAAATAGTCCTACATGTAGTAGAGGTCTCATTATTTTAAGGGTTACATTTAGTTTATACTTCGTGTAACAGCTGCCTTAATTACACAAGCGGTGAGCTATCTGACTACTTTACAGTAGTAAAATAATAATTTCAGTCAGAAGCTATCGATATTGCACAGCGGTACCAAGAAAAACAAATTGAAGACAATAGTCGTATAGAAAAGTTGTATAAATCACAAGGATTTTATTATGATTGTAGAGATCGTGATTAAGTACTAATAATGTTAATAACTAGTGAAAAAACACATATATAGCTGTATCATAAAATAGAACCAGACACATCAACGTTGATACTCAATTTGTTGCATACCATAGGACTTCAAAGAACCCATTTTCCTATTTCTGTCATAGACTTCTATTTTAGAAATACAAATGATGGATGTTTTAGAGAGATTGTCAAATTCTTGTTTATAATAAACATGACTTATGAGTACCAATATCAGGCAAGAATTTTTGTAAACCTTTTTGTAAGGTATAGCGTGTCAAATATGACGCTAATAAAAATCATAAAATTCCTACAAAACTGTACACTTCAAGAGTGTTTTTTTTCTCTAAGAGTATTTAGGCATGATGCATTGTTCACGTTTTCAACTACTTACCAAAAAACGAATTCATATGATGTAATTAAACAAATAATAATTCTATTGTAGTGAACGATAACAATAGTGAGGACAATCGAATGTATTCTTTACAACATCACAGAATATCTTAATAAAATCTGAGAATCACGCAATAAACACTTCATTTACAAAATGTTCATTAATTGTCTCAAAATTCATTGTTCCTGCATTTCCAAACCAATTACTTTCTGTTCCCATTCTTTCCTCCTTGATCTTCTCGACCTTCTGCTGCCAGACATTCTATTCCTGACTAGCGTTATATACTACTTATGTGGGCATAAGTAGCACACATCACACTAATATTATTTCTCGTAGAATTATATCAAATAGTAATTAGATTGATTACCATTCTATTTCGACATTTTCTTCTCATTTTCCTTAATTCATAAATCATGAGTCCATGAGGTGGAAAGTAAAATTATACAAAAATACATTTATCATTAAACTAATCACAATCAACAATAGAGAGTATAATACAAAGCAATGATTCTCACTGATTGATGGACTGACTTGATAATTCATTAATCATTGATTAAGAAATGTTCAACAACTTTCATATCTCCTTAAATTACTTTATGTTAATAACAATTTATTCTTGAGTATGATAAGTAATTAGTTAGTTGAAATTCAAACGAAATGTAATAAAATATAAAATTTATTTATCACGTAGGCCAAAAACTTCCTATATTTATTGTAATAGTTCCATGTGATTCACTCTAGACAATGTTTTCTTCATATTAGATTAATGTTATCTAGACACGTTTCAGTCTTTCATAATGATAAATAGTTTCCATTGTTTAAATAATGAACTAATTTTGGTTAGACCAAAATTGCAAACTAGATTATACTAGACAGCTGTCTCGTTTTACTACGGGATTCATTATCAATATGTATCCATGACTTTGTCACAGTGGATCCAACACATTACTTTTGGTCTCACCGGCGACCCCTTAACCTCTAGATCCCTGAAACAGAATCCAGTTGTCTACATTTGCTTGTGTGACTAAATTTATAGATGTATACGCATGCTTTTAGTTAGCTTGTAAATCATAATTTTACGTAGTCTTTATAATTTGGGGACATAAACGATTGGGTTCTTCAATTCACTTTCTCTTGTATATGCGTATGTGTGTATGTATGAAGTAGTAATAGTAGCAGTACGAAGAATTCTATGATTCCATTTCATTATTTTTCTAATTTCAATTGATTCCTCTTTATGTAAACAAAATCTATTAATTCCTTGTTAATTATAATTATTTCACATCTACTACTGTTGTTTCTCATCTGTCTTACTTTTATTTGCAATGTTATCCATATATACATTGTCCATCGGTCATTTAGAATGTGTTAAACGATTATATATTCGATTATTAAGATATGTATTACATGCCCCGGCTACATTTTCGATTTAGTTCCTCATGGCCGAATTGTAAATTGTTTTTCGCAAGATATTGCAACATTGGATAATCCAGTATTGGTTTCACTCAGTAGTACATTGAATTGTGTTCTAACGTGTTTCTTGACTCTATGTCTTGCTTGTACACTTAATGTTTTCATGATTATTCCTAATTGTTTATTAACAATTTTCTATTTATATATTCATATATTTATATGTTACTACATCTAGACAACTGAAACGTTTAGAATCGATTAGTTTGTCATCAATATTTTCACATTTCTCAGAAACCTTATCTGGTGTCGATAGTATACGAGCGTATAAATTAATTTCAACCAGTTCGTAATATTATATTACACAACATCTATTGATTAAAATAAGCTCTCATATATATATAAATATACTCCAGTTTCATAATGTAAGTAAATAAAGGAAGGAACTCAATAAAGAATTATTGTAGCACAGTATATATGAATGTAACTAAAATGCATTTTAGAACAAATTGAAGTCGCAGGATAACATTCAGATAATCGGTTAAGAAGAAAACAATTCTTCTACAAATAATTCCATTTATAAATTGTTATAAAAAATTACTAATAATAGTTATATGGTGTACTATACCAATCTCAAGTTGTGCATAAATTAATGACATATTAAAAGAAATGTTTAGATGAAAACTATTTGGTGATCTAGGTCGGCTAAGTGGTCTAGAGGTTAGATATTCGCGCGCGACACTGATAGGTTTTGGGTTCGAATCTCGCGAGGCGGGATCGTGGATGCGCACTGCTGAGGAGTCCCACAATTGAACGAAATGGCCGTTCAGTGCTTCCAGGTTTTCTATGGTGGTCTAGCTTCACTTGATTCGTGATCGTAACTAATAAAATTACTATAATATCTACAGAAACCCCTTCAAGTTTAAAATCAGTTGAAAATTTTTTATTTGCAAGTAAAAAAAATAATAACATTTGGATAATAAAACTTGTCTTTTTGTTCAAAAGACAATTAAAAAACACTTGTTTTCATAGGATTCCGTAAAAATAATCTGTCAAACTTATTTTGATGGAGTTTTGTTCTCTGAGCTGGATGGTTTGGTCGTGAAGCTTTCATCGTTCTTCTGAACAACATCATCAGCACAAACTTCAGATAAAAGTCTATCTGGAGAACGATGAAAGCTTCACGACCAAACCATCTAGCTCAGAGAACAAAACTCCATCAAAATCATCCACCTGAGCTACAAATCTTCCCCACCATGTCAAACTTACTGTCATGTACAGTTGACAAATAACTGAACTGATAAAAATTATGTAATTTTCATAAACAGATTTTTGAAATATTTTTAAACGATTAATGAAATGGATTTGTCTAACTCATTTCCATACTTTCTACACTGCTTTATTTAAATTCATACGTGAACAATTTGTTAATCCAACTTGATCGGTTTATATTGTTCTAAACTGGGATAAACTTAGTCATAGTGAAGTGTAGATGTTAATTCATTCAGCTTAGTCCTTATAGGAAAATAAGTTTCACATTCAGACATAATTTTCAATCGGGATATTTGAAAACACAAATTGAAAATGTTTAGTTTTCTCCAGAAAAACTCCATGTTCAGACATATCTAAATCAAAAATCGCACTATATGTGACTTAGATTACCTTTAGTGAGTCATTTATAGAAAACTGTTGAATATGAAAAGAGGTTGTACGAGATGATAATCATCTAATATTTCCTTATGTGATTTGCTCTATTACCGAAAAGTCTATTTAATCTCAGAAGTGAATAGATGACGATTCACTTTATTTGAACTGTACATTTTCTATCCCAAACTATTTTTACTCCTACTACTTATGGATTCTATATATTGTTATCATTGAATAGAACCTTTAAAAAAAGCAGTTACGATTATATCGTCACTATGCAAGCATCAATATAAGTCCCGTTCACTATTATTTCAATATCAAATCGGTAAAATACATAACAAATTTGATTATTTTTACCTTCGCACCGATAATCTGACACTTTATTTTGATTAATTAATTATTGTATATTCATCACTTTATTCTATTTGTGGTCAAAACATTGTTTATTTGATCATTTCTATGTGTTTACAAAACGCTCAGTTAACATATTAAGTATATTTAAACATATAGACGATGATATGATTATCATCTTATCAATCATTTCATTCTTCTATCTATAATCTAGGTCATAGTGAACAATATTATCATAAAGTATGAAGTTCGACCACAAATTTTAAGGTGATAGTCAATCATATATTCATTTAGATTAACATTAATTATTTCTGACCTACTTCGTTGTAATGAGAATGTTCTCTGAACTTTCTATCTGAAGTATTCAATTTGAATAAACCGTAAACTTCATTCCTATGATACTGTTCAATATGTCATATAGTCTGAAACATTTTTTTCCTATTCAGTAAACTGTAGATTAATTTAAGATTATCATAATTAAGGGTAATAAGAATGATAGTAACCAACCTACAGAAATAAGTAACATTAGTTTGAATACCTTGTGGTTAATTCATTAACTAATTTTTCTTATTCCGTCATGTATTATTCTCCTGCTATGAAATTATAAGATATTACGTACTTCGATTTTATAGTTATCAATGAATGCTTTCTACTTCTATAATCTGTTGATGTAGGTATGTACATGTCAAAATGGAGCAACATGTTCCTCTATCACTGGCACATGCAATTGTCGACCAGGATTTTATGGACCATTATGTCAACACATATGTCCACCTGGAAGATGGGGAGTGGGATGTGCTTCTGTGTGTGATTGTTATAATTCACAACCATTTGGTTGTGATCCTAAAACCGGGAGATGTAGATGTAAACCAGGTTATACTGGTGAACGTTGTGAAGAAGGTAAGTTTCATAAAGCATAATTCCTCCACGAAATCTATGAACACAGTCACTAATACTGGGAAGTCGTTTTATTCCTAATTGAATTAGACTGTCGAATATTAGATCTCATTAGGGATGATCCCCATTCATCGGGAGATTCAACAAAAATACATGAAATTTTTCAACATTCATTGCAGATATTATACTTAATTAGAGAGTTCTTATTCGGGATTGGGAAAACTCTAAGAATAGCAGAGAATTTCTTAAGGCATTTCGTTCAGATCAATTAGCAATCAACAGACATATCGTCACAGACCTAACCGATGAACCCACAAGGAAGAAGCCAATCAGCCGCAAGGTCAGAGGTCGACTGACAAAGAAATTTAACGTCAGTAAGAAGGTTTGTGATAACATCGAAGTCTGAGAAGACAGTCAACCACAAAGAAGGCCGTTCAAGCAAACTGAAATACCACCCGTAGAATAATTGAAAAGATCACGTCTACATGAATTAGGAGTTAGACATAATGTCCAGAGTGACAAGATGTTTCATAACTAGATCATCTAGCTTAGAGAACATCATACCACCATTATTACGAAGCGTAAATGTCAATACTAAATTAACAGAATGACTCTTCAGTTTTTCAACCTAAAAAACAGTTGCATTGAGTTTTAAATTTTACTCAACTTATGAACATTTGTATAATCTAGGATCCACAAAACAATCATTTGACTACTCAGGTTGTTTGGTTTATGATCCAAGTAGGAGAAGCATTTTATTTTCATAGTCAGGTATAATTTGTTTTAGTACAGTACCTTTTCTAATTATTGTTTCTATTATTTCCTTATTGATTTTCTTTTGTTAATAAAAGCTTTATCTAAACAAAATAAAATGCCAAACATCACGAGTACTTGATTACTAGTCTGAAGTTGAAGCAGTCCGTTTAATTTAAAAGATTACAACTGACTTCTCAGCAACATACTAACCAAGGTTATTGGTTTTTAGAAACATTTTTGATGTCACACATTTGCATTTGTGCTCATATTCAACCTCAAACTCGGCACCGCTTGCTGCAATTACTGGAATTTTAGCCAGTTAAATAATGAGTTAGATAAAGTATTGATCATGAATTCGATACTGACTATTATTAAAAGTTTACCCCCCCTTACTTAAGGTTTTATGAAGCCAAATTTACTGAATTTCTATTCAGAGCCTTCGCTCCCATATTCAATTGCATTTCCATAGCACTCCTTCCTTTCAACAATAACTTTGGTTTGATGAACTAATGCTTTCCAAAATACGTGACACTAGTCACACTAATCATCTACAGAAACCTGGTAAATTAATTGATAATCACATAGTTTTCATTAGTCATGTAAACAACAAAATAATTTCTAAATCTATATTCACAAACTATACAAATGTTGTGCTATGCATTAATACATGTACACATTTTTTGTTGCTGATAAATAGGGTAAAATAATAAAAATACTACCAATGTATGGTGTATCTAGCCTCTCTGATTGGCCAATCGATTTTATAATTCGATTTTTCACGTACCCTTCACTAGAAAATAAATTCCATTTATTATTAGGATAAACAAAATATGTTACTGAAAAATTTTGAACAGTAGAAAATTGTTTAAAACTAGTATGTACATTAGTTGAAAACGAATATAAATAACTAAATTTTTTCCAGAATTATAGTTATTCGAAGGTAGTGTTAATCAACGATGTATATGATTTGTGTCAATAATTTCCGGTCTACTCGAGTTGAACGGGAACCATGTGATCTCCCAGCTCACTTCGATGTTACCCCTTGGGGTTAATAAATCACCTGGATTATACTGACGTGATAACCAGGTGACTGACCAAAATGAATACTCCTAATAGACTACAGAAAATGGTATTATCAACGGTTAGCAGAAGTACAAGACTGAACAAGTACCACATGCTCCTATCCATGGCATCCGACTGATTCCTACTCACCGGTTGTCCTTGACCTAGGAAAGAGTAGGCAAACTCATCGACACTCAATGACCTACCTGGTGAATGATCTGACTAGGGCCCACTGACATTTCACAGGCACTGCAGTAGCACTAACTCTAACATTCATTACAAAATCATTTAAAAGCAAAAACTAGTTCAGAATTTCCTCAGTATTGCATACTCATGACCCCATATTTGATTGGATTTACGAACTTCAATTCACTTAGTCATCAGGATATAATCCATCGGCTGAATCAGAATAAGTTGATTAACATTTTTGACCATAATCAATTATTGATATTATAGTTGCCTATCATCAACAAGTAGCATTGATCAATTAGTGTCTCACTAGTAAACTCAGTTAACGCAACGAATCATAACTTTTAACTAGATGTTTAGAAACTTTTCTCTCGAAACTATTCACCAGCAATCATGTAATTGCCAATATTTGCAAAGGTGTTTGATGGGTGCATACATTTCGAAAATACTTTTCATCATAAACAAGTACCAGATCTTCTACTGCCGAAATCAGAGGATTGCAAAAACATCTGTTCCTTCTTAGTCTATGACTCCTTAACAATGTACACTTGACGACCTCAGACAAGATCAAGTTCAAAATTTTATGGTTTCACAAACAACATGATATTTTATTTAGTTTTCTCCTTTATTTATGATAAACGTCTGTCGCTGGCAGAAATTCTGCTAGGAACCAGTAATTTATTATATAATATCTTATATAATGTTCTTGTTGTTATAATTTTGGTTTATTAAACTTAGGGAATAAAAATTAGGTTATACTAAATACATTCTATAACTTAGTCCAAGTTTTTTAATAGACACTAGATAAATCTCAGTCATACTTGTTCTGAATTGATATACGCTTACCTTTCTAAGATAAATAAAATCCACCTTTATCAAAAATAAGTTAAAACTATCGAAGAGCTCAAACTTAAATTGCCTGATACTACTGATAATAATAATAATTTTTTCTATAAGTATGGTCAATAGAAATTTTATACTTTGATTTTTTTCTTGCCTTACTTTTAAAAATATAAATAATCAGTTTGTCCTCGTGGTTATTTTGGGGAAATGTGTGCACAAGCTTGTCAACATTGTGAAGAGTGTCATTTCGAAACTGGACAGTGTCTATGCCCTTTGGGACATTATGGAGAAACATGCGGCAGTAGTAAGCAATATCCGCATACTTCAAAGGTTAACGAAACAGAATTTTGGTGGATATAACACATTGATCACAACATTTTTTTCATTAAATAGGAATAAATATTACTGTTTCTTTTAAGCATGTTTATGTTTGTGTCATGTCTATTGTGAAGATAGTTACAATCATTTATCTTACACAAAGATTGAATTAAGAGGAATGATAGATTTATATTTAAATAACTGATTTTGATATGATGAACTTTGAACGACTGACTACTTACTGACTCAGTTCATTATTCAACACCTAAATTTTATTGATATGGGCTTTGAACAATCCCTCTTAATTAAACCGTCATTATTCAGTTAATCCAGCAACTTATGATGACTGAAGTCGAATCCGAATAAGTTGTTCATTTATTTGTTTCAAATTACTGTAAACTATCAACAACCATATAGCAATGAAAGCCTGCATGAGTGGCAACACGGTAGATCAATGGACAATGTAGAATAATATATTGTTTAGAAGGTATGTACAGTTAATAGTCCCACCAACTATTAATACATGTCTATAGAAGACCAGATGAAATATTTGTAAACACATAGTGTTTAATTTATCCCTGATTTATCCGAATAAAAAACAATGATAGCAATAAAGTGAATGACTTGAGCTTGATCAAACGCATTATTTAAAAAAAAATGAGTCACTAACCTGAACGATATTAATTTCGACTAAGTTATTCTAATGGGCATTAAACAGATAAAACTGGAAGATTCTGTGACCACTAAACTAGCTCAGAACAACAGTCTATGACTTCACAAATTGATCCCATATTTCGGTTTAGTTCACTAACTATTTCTTATTCGAGCCTACATTTCGTATCAAGTAGGTGGTGATTAAACATATATAACACACACCTCAGTCATTTCAATTTATGAAAATTTACTACTTCGTCAACTGATTTAGCATCTCTCCCTGTTATTCTTTTCCTAACTTTTGGGCTAATCATTCAGTCGTTCAATGTTCAACTTCTGTTTCATGTTTGTTGTACACTAACAACATTGTCGTTGTTTGTCTTTTTTATTACTGTTGTGTTTTATACTTATCATCAATCTTAACATTATTATCTCTGATAAATAATATGAATCCTTTAAATGTTGTGATCAAATATGTGTATTTATTCCCCAAAATTATATTTCGTTGTTAATTGTTTTTATTATTAACTATTACAACTATTGATTATCAGTGTTACTTTTTTTCTATGCATGATTTTGCAATGTAGTGATTTATACAATATATTGTTTAATTGGATATATATTCACAATCACTTTTATAATAATAATTCACTCATTACTACTCTTAATATTGTATATTCAAGTTTTATGCTGAATTCCAAATATAATATCTAAATAGTAATAATATAGAACAATTTTCTAATCTGTCCATATATGTGAAGGATCAAAACGTGTAAACTCTCCAACATCCATATACATAGGTGTAAACATCAAAGAATGAAGTTCAATTATCATACATAATACAATTTAAATATGACCGATATAATTTATTTTTATAAAATGAATGAATAATTAGATTAGATTATTGTTTAGTTGAATTAAATGAAGACAAATGATAAGTTTGTAATGTTATATTTTATTTTAAAAATGATAATTTACTTAGAACATTATACAATCAATCGTTTAACAGAACATGAATACTGAACATTTATGTTTAATCAAAGCATGGCACTTGCAAAATTATGTTATATCTTGTGGCCTTGTGCCCCATTAATGTATAACGTAATGATATTGCCAATTAGACCGGATCAATGACGTACAAACCTGTACAAGCAGTCAAGAGTCTTTATCGATCCTTCTTCCTGCTTGTTAAGTCCAGAACACCAATCTCAGCCTACGCAATATGAATCATATATTTCAAACATAGTGGGTTTATATACAAACCAAACAGACCGCATCGTAGCATAAAATAGAAAATAACATTTGTACAAGGTCTACCCGAAATTGGCTATGAATGAGGGAGACCGTAATTAACAGACTGAGTAGAACTCAAGAACAGTAAATCGTATAGTAATAGTATATGAGTCAAAATAAAGCTTTAATAAGAGGAACATTAACAGGCATAGTTTAACTACTTAACAATTATACAATAAAAATATATGTATCGTATTGGTCCATAAATAGATCAGAAAAGTTGCCATTCAATATTCTCGTCGGGATATAACACAAGAGTAGCTTGACGAATCTAAATCATGTTGTTAAGATTATTGTGATACGTCGACATACGAATTCTCTGAATGCAATCATTATGAATTTATTAGTCACGGGCATAATAAAATCATAAACTTCAGTGATGTATTCCTGGTTTTTTTGTTGTTACTTATATCTGCATGAAATAAACAGTATACATCGTCCATGTAGTAAAATAACTAATTCACAGACACTCCATCCACATTCTAGAAATTACGAGTCATTACCTTTCTACAGATACTTCTAATGTTACTTTCTTTGTAATTGTTCTTATTGTTATACATTATCAAAACGTTATCAGGACTTTACAACGGAAATGTGACGGTTACCGCACTATGACAGGTAGAAACCATTTCACTAATATCATTTGAGCATATAAAAAGCTGGTGTAATATTATGAAGGAAGATACGAATAAATTGGAACCACACCTGTAAAACAGAACAAATAGGCCATAGCTTGAAAAATCCGGGACAAATTAAACATGGTACTGATATTTAGAGGATGGAGAAAGAAAATACTGGATAGAGATAAATTAAAAACACCTACTGATATTCTAAGCTATCTTTAATGTAGTGAACAATAACAAAATAATTACCTGTAGTTGCATTACAGCAATATTTATGTACAATGATAAATTTTGACCTGAGCTTTTTCAAAATGGGAAGTTTTTGAATCCTTATGCTTTGTGTTTTGACTACTTCAACCATTAAATCATGTAGCCGGATGAGCATAATACCATTAGAATTATCATGATTTATGAATCTTACTTTGATCCGAACCCTCACAGTTTTATATTAATGTGTCGTCAGGGTTATAACTACCCTACTGTTTTATGCCTAATTACGAACAAAATTATAAAAATCCAACCTGTTTTCCATGCTATCAGGTATATTATAATATTGGATGAACATTTAAATTTCCAAACACTACTGATTAGGGCAGCAATAAGATACCAGTCAGTGAGATATCAGAAGTGATGAAGAATAATTGGTATAATAAAGGGAAAAATAGGTTTCTTTATTCAACTCACCAAGTTATTATAAGGAATACTTTAACTTCATAGGATAATCAAACGGTGTAAAATATTTAAAATGTCTTATTCTACTGCTAAATGATATAATAAAATTGTTGTTCCTAACATGTTCCTGTAATAATATTTTTTTACTATAGTATGTCCACGCGGTCAATATGGGGTTAGTTGTTCCAAACTTTGCTCATGTCAAAACAATGCAATCTGTTCAGCTAATATTGGGAGCTGTAATTGTTTGCCTGGATTTATTGGACCTGACTGTTCAATAAACAGTGGTGAGCAGTATTTAAATTTGAAAATAACATTTTGAAGTTTGACGATACAATCTAAGATTTTATTGTTAGGAAAACATACATATTTGTAGGGATGTTTGGTTTTCAGTATTACGGTGATATTCATTTTCCATATGCGTCACTGACTAGTTCTACAGTACAGTTAATGAATAAGAAATAAATTTCCATGTGCTCTTTACTAATCTCATTTGACTATTCAAACATATCATTTAAAAGGATATGTATTATATACACTATTATACCTTAGTTTTAATTATGCTGATGTACCGCTGGCTAGTTTACTGGACAGTAAAGTTTTTACTTCGGTACTAAACATAATCATTGGTGTAAACGTGATTAATAAAGACGGTTATTCTGAAAATTAATATTCTCATTAGGTATGGTTCGCCTGTTTGGACTCTAATGTTTTATTGTATCAATGAGTATGGTTATTGATTACCTTTTCCGCTATTATAAGAAACAAAATGGACGAGAATATAATTTATGAACGAGCCAATCGGGTATAACAGGTCTCGGATTTTGGCGCAAAATTCATTTGGCTGAATTTCGGCATTATAGCTGATGTCAGTTCGTGATGAAAACCCTGAATTTAATTCCTAACCTTAACCATCAACTGTAAATCATAATTCTAATTCCTCATTCTGGTTTATAACCCTCATTTAGTCCTAGTTAGCAGATGGACATTCTCACCGTCACTTTAGCGTCGCTTAAAGGTCATTCATAAATCTTAGTCTCACCAGAAAATGCTTTGATGATCATAACTTTTGTGGAGCGCACAAATACGAGAACTTTTACATGTAAAGGTGATAATGGAAGCACCTACAACTGGAAAGCAATTCATTTTCATTTACATATATTCGTCAATGTCAAATCCTAATGAAACTTTGAAAAGTAGACTTATGAGCAGCAATAATAAGCATAAATTTATTAGAATAGATTAGGATTACATATCACTGATTATTCAATCCCTATCCTGATTCATGATAACTTTGAAGACAAAATATCATTTTATCTCGTTTGTTTTGTTATCTATACTACTTAAAACTTGAATGTAATTTTGTTGGTAATATATTGGAACTGTGTACTACAACTTAGTAATGCTGATCCTAATGTATTTCTATTGCTTATCAGTTGACGTTGCCAAAATATTAATAGACAACACCTTTTTTCCTCGTAGAACTTTCCAGTTAACATGAAAGCTTGGAATATAATCGATCAAACCACCTCCAAACCACTGAAACTAAACAAAATTCTGAATCAACATTAATATAGCCTCTGCTACAAAATAATTAACTGGAAGATTGTCATCTAGTGTTAATCATTGGCTTATATTAAAATGAATGTTCGTTTAACCATACCCCCTAAAAAATTTCATACAAGCTAATAAGGTCAAATAAGCCTTGAATCCCATCAATAAAACAATAACTTACATTTTATTCCGAAATTAATACAACTAAGAAAATGTAAACATATCGACTGAATAGAATTCGGTTTACAACAAAATATCTGTTTTATTCTAGTAAACAAGTGAAATTGTTACAATGCCTAGAAAGAAAGAAATATTCTGTTTATTGACTTTCAATACTTTTACGACTGTCAGCTTACAATGCATTCGATCTTGGTTCTAAGAGATCCTCCATAAATTATAATTTCATCTCTCTAATAAAATGTGTTAGGAATGGTAGTATAGCTCGATGCTCAATAAATATGAACATATAATTTCCGATCACATTTTAACAATGCTGTTAGAAAACGGTTCAAAAATGATGAGAACTGATGTGTATTTTAAGACCAGCTAGTTATCATGTGATATATTCGCCAATCGAGATATGACTTATTCAATCGTAGTACTGTGTTAAACCAATGAGGTTCGACCGGTATGAGTGACCTAGCATCCTTAATGGTCCTTTGTTATCCTATACCTTCCATTTGAATTCAGAACACTAATAGTAACTTCCATTATGTGAATCATTTATTTCAAATATACTCAGTTTATCTATCAGCCAAACAGACTGCATTACACCATAAAATAAAGCCAAAAGTGGCTGTAAACGTGGAAGACGTTAATCAAATAACTGAGTATAACTTAAGAACAGTAAATCGTACAATAATGATCTATAAGTCAAAATGAAGCTTATAATCAGCGGAATATGGATACACAGTCTAGTTACTGAATAGCTACACAATAACAATATATATAAAATATTAGTCCATTAATAGTTTATTTATTATTATTTATTTGAACACATAAACATTGGTACAAGAGGTACCAAATAGATATGCTCCACATAAATCATTTGATTCGTGTGAGGGCTGTGATACTGCCCGCGTGCCCAGACCGAAGCAGGTGTTTTTCTTTGACCTGAAGGTCTGACCTACAAGGCAGTGGAGCATCGTAAGGAGATGCAGTCCCATGGTAGCCGGTGACCAACGATTGGTTCATACGCCATTTGTCCCATCATGATACTGGAACCCATGTGCACTATTGGTTTGGAATCCGGTTAAAACACCGGACATTCTCTTTTCGTCCTCTCAATTTCATAAACAAAACCCCTGCTACGAGAAGTCAGTGAGTAGGACTTCCCTGGCAGAGGCTGTATACGCGTGGTCGTGTGAGAGCATTTCGAGAGGGAGGGCGGGCCCACTCCACTCTCGACCATACCAGGGCATTTGGGGGCGTCCATGAATAGTTCTCAAAAGTTACTCGTCATTTAATTTTCACTAAGATATAACAAAAACCTCTCTTTTACTTTTTTTTCTTTTAATTTAGAAATGAATTATATAAATGAACAATCAACATTAAGTATGAAAATGAATAAATAATGATAAGTTTCATTTAAACTAGTTAATTAATTTATTAACTATATAAATTGAAGATTTATTTTCACACAGTTTAGATCAATCTATTTCATATTATGGTTAAAACAATATTTTTTATTTATTTTGAACAATGAAAACAAACTCACAAAACAAACTAATACAACAAATGAAGAAAACGATCTATTATAATTAATCAATTAATTAATTAATAATAATCAATGTTACATTATAATTACAAAAAAATAATTACAATAAGTAATAATGATGTACACAAATGAAAATATAGGCATGTTATTTATTATATAATACCAATTACTCTTCAATATTTTAGGCAAAATATCACAAAAAAATTCATTATAGGTATCATTACCCAAAATTTGATTGGATAATTTTAAATCAATTAAATGAATTGCACATAATATTCTTATATTGTTTCATTATATTTATTTTAATTGGGTTATTTGTTGATTCTGAAGAAGCGGCTTACACTAAGTGACGAAATGTTAGAAACTTTAATTTTTCTTACTTATTGGGATATTATAAATATATTAATTTATGTTTACATAGGTTTTTTTTAACAAAAAATCTTATCCAGTCTGTTTTCATTTTCTATGGTTTACTTTCAGTTACTTTTGAAATTATTTCTTCTCAGTATTTTATGTTGTCATTTAATTAATGAAAAAGTTTATATACGAAGATAATGATAAAATATGAATAAAATTAGCATTACATAACTGTATTTATGGTTAATCTGTTCTTGATACGTATTATGCACTTAATTACATGATTGATACAACGTAATAATTTTATCATAAGATAGTATGAATTGTTCTTGAATAATATACACATGAATCTACGCCAAAACGTACATACAAATACTGATTTGTTTAAATAGAGACTTAAGATAAAGGACTGTTATACAATGAGTGATGCTCTGAAATCTCAACTAGTTAAACGTACATAATTCATATTCTGTTTATAAATTGTACATACACTGTAATCTATAACGTTAGATTTATTTCTGCTGTTATTCGTATTTTCATGTTATAGAGTGTTCCTTCTGTTCTATTCCTTGAAATAATTTATATTTCAACTCAAATTATGTACTTGTTATTGTCTGTTAATTATACCGAATTTTCACAAAAGTATCTAACGAAACTCAGGCGGCCGACTATTCTCATTCCACTCAGAAGTATAGACATTTAAACAATTGAAAATCGCATATTATCTATGAAATTATTTCGTGAAAATCAGATAATGTTTAGTCAACATGAAAGAGCGGTGAATTAGGTGTTGGATTTTCAACTACCGCAGGCTCACGACTTATTCGATCCAACTTCGACAGCCTGATAATATAATTAGGAGTACAACATAAAGTCATACATAGGAAGCTCCAGTTGATAAAGTGGTTGTATTATATTTTTATTTATACTTCTGAACATGAAATAAATTAATAATTGAAAAAGATTAGGAACGAGAAGGCTAGTAAACGCGTTTATTCAGCAATATAAAAGACCCTTTGAAGTCAACCGAATAAACAATCTCTAGTAGACTTATTGTAATAAAGACGAATCACAAAGATACTTGAAAATATGTCGGAATTCAGATAAATACGTCCAAAACCAATTACGGTCATACCTTCACTGGATGTTCAGAAGTAAGATACATAATTTTACGCATAGTTGAAGCGCTAACTTAATTTTCTCAAAGACTACAAACTTGACTAGTAAACAGTCAGTAAAATGTTTCAGAAGATGCTTTGCAAGGAAGGCTATTCAATAAGTACTCATAAAACATTCAGTCACAAAGTAGCACCTCTACGAATGTATATTAGTCCAAACTGTCAAACCCCGTTAGCACACAGATGAAATTATCAGGTGAAACCCTAGAATAGTAGAAGTAGTGGTAGTATTGGTGGTAATAGGAAAAATTAGGCATCAAAGATACAACTTGAGAAGATAAATTAGTGAATTAAAAACAAAAAAGGTATGAAAAATTTGAATTCTCAGAATTTGGGAGAAGACAAAGGGTGGATACACCTGAGCAATGCAAACAATTTCCAGCTATGTCATTTAAAGTCTCTAGCGACTGGTTATGATAATCATGCAGACGCCAACCAGCTTATACCTATTAACAAGGCTCAGTGCAATTGTCTCACGAACTGGCGTCATGTTTTGGTTTGACCGCCATAACTTTTTTCCAGCCTACTCCCACACCAGAACACATCACTAGTAAAGGTAATTGGTGGTTGGGCATAGGTAACACACGTCCCAACCACCTCAGTTGATGAAGATTTACTGCCTCATCAACTGATTTCCCATTTCTACTTGGTAACATGCTTGGATTGCTGCTTAAGGCGGTCAGAAGACTACATCTTGTCAGCGCCCTCACCAAACAATCATCTGCGTATTCAAAGTGAACCTACTGGTAGATAACCAATTCATAAAAAGTCAAACGATGACAGCGTCTCCTTTAAAACCATGTCTGTGAAAAATGTAGATAAATATGGAAAAGCGAACAACCTTGAAGGGAACAACTACGATGACAGTTTGCCATAAGATCAGACTCGACCAGAAGTATTCGAGTAGGAAATCTGTACAAGGTCAACGTACTTCTTTGGTACGCCTTCCATTGACGGACATTGTCACAACCCCTCACAATCGACAAATTCGAACCATGTCTCAAGGTTAAGGAATACAACAACAGTGAGATGTCAAAGAGAATGTCTATGTTCTAGAATCTACTGAAGAGTGAATATTTGGTCTATACATCCACGTCCAGGTCTAGAACTAGCTTGGTTCTCTGGAGTTTGCACTTCACAAGCTCTAGTTAGACGTCAAAGTATTATTGAGGCGAACATTTGATATACCATAATAGTCAAACAGATTCCTGTGATTACTATAAGAGGATCTTTATTCTTTCTTATAAACTAGGATTACCAGCAATTGAGAACACTCGGTTGATATTAGGTTGTTTTAAGAATTCAACTAAGATTGCAATCAATGTAACTGCTAAAACTGAACCATCATCTTTAGAAATCTCCCTCGATTTAAATTTCTTATAACCTTCCCAACCTCGCTAAGTGTTGGAGGACTTTCATTGATTTCCCATTCAGGTCGCTTGACGATAGTGGGTAATAAATGTGGCTGAAGGCCACTCGAACTGTTCTCTAAAGTGTTCCGCTCGTCAGTCCAATCTCCCGGATTGAGTGAATAATAGTCCCGTACTTTTCTGAGATAGCTTTACTAACGGCCGGATTATAATTCATCCTCTGCACCATTAATCAGATTATAACTTTCGCTTGAACCTGCATAAACACATTGGTTAAACTGAAAATAAATACACTCTTAAAAATATGGTCGTGGAGAATTAGTATGTTATTTAAACAAGTAACTGCTTCTCGTGATTTCACTAGGCTAATTTAAATATTACCGTATATTAAATAGTTATTTCCTCAGTTAGTTCCCGTTATTAGGTGCACACTCACTGTTGATGGTGCTACTTAAACATGGATCCACTAAGCAACCTCAAGACAATGAACCACACTTGGGAAGATCCCATAACATACAGATGTGGTGAAACAAACAACTGTCCCAATTACGTCTCAAAATAACAGATTGATACATATAACAGTAGTGACCAAGGGGAGACGGTAAGCAACCATTTAGTTAACGGGGTTTTGCAACGATTATTTTAATTCATAGGCTGTATCCATTACGGCTTGGTCTCGTTTAGGATGCCGCGGACAACGCACGTCCTGGGACGATTCATTATAATAGATTAATATGCTGGCTTCTGTAAATTCTGAATATCGAGAAACACTGCACAACATTGAAAACTAAGACTATATATTGTTCTATTAGTTACATGCAGATCTAACATAAAATCATGGTCCAGAAGTCTTAAAGCAGCGATTAGTTCAATCAGGGAAATATTTTCACGGAATTTAGTGAGATTAATTAGATCGAAAATAAACCACCAAAAATAAGCTTTTTCATAGCTAATAATTCAAATGAAGACGGAAATCCTGTATAGTTGTTAGTGATTACTATCAGGACGGATTATTAGTATGTAGCTACAACACATTGCTAGAACCAGAAAGACATTAGATGGATCGCGGTGACGCAATCGAAGTGAATATCAGAAAAAGAAGCTTCGGTCGATATGTTGAACGAAGTGGTGTGACAAAAAAACAAGTAGTTATTAACGAAACCTTTGAGTACTATCTTGTGAAAGCATAATAAACTATTCACCAAATCCGGACAGCATTAACCCGCTAATATACTCCAAAGATATAAGAAATGAGATATTTTATTCTTAAACAACAGTCTACATAATAAGACAATAAACTAAATCAATTTAGTTCTCCAAGTGAAGTGTTAATTTTATTAATTATTCTTATACTTTAGGATGGCGGAAGTTTTTCCCGGCATATTTTGCTGCTGCTCCCAACTCTTCTTCAATACGTAAAAGTTGGTTGTATTTGGCCAAACGATCAGAACGACATGGTGCACCGGCTTTTATCTAAAACGATAAATAAAAATTACTAATTTATTATTTATTTATTTTAACACGTAGATATTGGTACAAGGAGGCACCAAATACATATATGCGCCACACAGATCTCATTTGATATGTATGAGGGCTGTGATACTGCCCGTGTGCCCAAACCGAAGCAGATATAGGTATTTAATCAATATGAAATTGAAGCACTTAAGAGTCATTGTATAATTACAGTAATGTGGTATTTTACTTTAGTCGTTTAATAACGAATCAACTGGTGTAATATCCACTTTTTAATTAAAACAATAACTATACGTCATTTAAACACTTGACAATTGTAGTCGTTTGGCAAGTTGCGTATAAGCAATTCGCTCTACTGTTATTAGCGTAATCCATCCATGTGACTAGAATTAACTGTGAAAGAATAAATTATTACAAGGTACGGAGTTTGAAAAGAATGCAACTACTGAGATTAATTGATATGCTTTGATGTATTCAGTCTGATATCATATCCGAGTGAATACATTGTAGTGTTAATTGACATGAAAATACTTAATCATAATTGACAATGGAATGGTTTGTATAGTGTTTATATCGTATATTAACAAATGTTATGGAAATGAAAAGGCATACCTGTCCAGTGCAAAGGCCAACAACTAGATCAGCAATGAAAGTATCTTCCGTTTCACCAGATCGATGTGAAACCATGACACCCCAACCTGCGTTTTGTGCTAACTTGCAAGCCTCAATGGACTCGGTTAATGAACCTATCTGGTTTACTTTCAAAAGAAGACAATTGCAAGCCTTTGAAGAAATGGCCTTTTTAATGCGCTTTGGATTGGTAACAGTCAAATCGTCTCCAACAATCTGAAAAATAAGCCAGAATAAAAGTTAAAAATACACCTACAAATATACAGATTAGAAAATATTTGATGAAAGTTATCTGATCCACTAGAGTTTTGGGTACTTGTGTGGTTGCCATACGATTGAACTGTGCTATTTAGGTCCTAGTGTAAAAGCCTGGGTGATGTGTGGTTTTCCGGTGAACCAATGTATTATTCAATTCTTGGGGAGTATATTTATGATTGTGAGAGAATACGGTTAAACAAACATCAAGGTGTTACGATTATAAAAATATTAAATACTGGGACAAGTAAGGAAGGCAAAACAGGTAACTACCCAATGAAACATGTAATAGTTCATTCATTTACTTGAACACATATTGGTACAACGTGGTACCAGATACATATACCCCACACAATAATAATGAGAATGGGAAGAGATAAAGGATGTAAGGTGCGTGTAAGAATAAAAAAAGGAACAATAACGACTACAAATTAGTGTATGGTATGAACACAATCGAAAGAAGACTTATTCCACGATAGTTCTTTAATAGGTGACGTGAACCATTTTTAACGATAGGGAGGATTATCGACTCATTTCATGTTGTTGAAATACTCTAGCTCCCAAAGCTTTGTGAACAACGCAGTCATTTCCTCAACCAGAAGGCCGCCACCACCTTTAGAAAGGGCCGGAGGTAAGTCATCTGGGCAAAGTGATTTGTAGAGCTTCAAGAGTTGGAGTACCGGTGATAGAATTTTAACAGAATAAATCAGAAAAGATACAGGTACTAGTTATTCCTGAAACAAGCTAGATTTTGATCCATCAGAAAGTGTGCAGGATTTCGGTTTCATCTTTAAGATGTCATTAAAATGGTGAGAAAAATCGCTTGGGAGCAGAAGAGAGGAATTTAATCTCAGTATTACAACTGTCGCTTGAGGAATTCTTTAATATTTGTTAGACAGAACTGTTACTTGTGTGGATAAGTCGTAACACAGAAAATGCTAATCCCGAAAAGCGTTACCTCCTAAAGGACGATAGCAAAAATAGATTTAAAAATGAAATAAAGAATTCCTGACAGACAGGATTTGACGTTACCAATTCAGATAATGTGCAATTTGGTCTGATTCAACTACTAGTATTCGAATAAAAAGCTTTGGTGAGTTAACGCACCGTTTAAGAGCATATTTAGTAACACACTAGAACAATGATCGATGTAGTTGAATGCCGGATTTGGACCAGGGAATACAACTACATTTAACCATATGTCAATGACGCGAAACCTATGGAAGAATGAATATTTGATCAATTCCTTCACGAAAAGTTTTAGAGCCTACCTGGTTTTTTCTATTTCTATTTAGACATTTGACGACCACGGAACCTGATACTTAGTCAACCATATTTACTACGTCGACTTCTGCGTTTATCATAAACCGAGACAATCAAAGAACAAGATAGGGAAGATGGAATACAGTCAAATTTCCATACTGATTAGTATCCCAAATATTCTAATTGATAATGATGAGGGACCAAACTTAAAGACTTTTGGAAACATGATTTCTAAAAGTATTAACAGCAACTTGTTGAACGCAGGATATCTGATAGTTAAGAAATAAACAAAACAGTGACCGCTAAGTTAAGAAAATAGACAAGACGTGAGTTTAGTTAGGAACAATACTATTACTTGAATGTTTGTTGAAGCAGTTAGTTTAGGCCATGTTTCCCAATCATCCTGATCAACTGGATCTTCAATGCTCACTATTGGATATTTGCTTATCATTTCCTTGTACACATTTGTCATTGCATCAGGACTAAGCCAGGCAGATTCTGCAGAATGAGGGTTCTTGAAATCCAAATCATACTTCCCATTCTTGTGAAACTCAGAAGCCGCACAATCCATACCGATCTCTACTTTTCCAGTATAGCCAGCAATTTTTATGGCTTCTTCAAGCAGCTGAAGACCTGGAAATATTACAGCTCTATGAGTACAAACAATCTATGAAAACTATAGCTAAAAGAAATAGGCATGATTACTAACTACCCATACGAGTAATTGTACGAAGTGTCATGTCTTTACTATCACCTCTACAAAGAGAAATAACAAAACCATCCTGCTTCACATACATTATAAATAGTTGCTTCGAATTAATAAACTATAAAGATTTGAAACTTCAATTTCTTACCAAATCCCGATAAACCATTTGGTAGTTTATAGAGCAACTATTAGTGAACTTACGTTATTAATGATTAAGTAACCTAACCTAACATTCCAAAGAAAAATTACTAGTTGGTCTGTGCTGTCGAGTTAGTTACTAGTTTTGTAGGGAGAACTATTTTATTAAGTAGTATGGACGGTTTACAGAACAAGTTCCAACCAATGCTGTAACCAAATGGTTCTTACTCGACAGGAATGGACAGTGTTTAGAATCTTGAGTGAAGTCTGAAGTTATTGATTTAACCTAGATAGGCTTTACGGTTGAAGTCCTAAACAGTTTAAAATAGGATATGGTTCAAAACTGATTAGAGATGAGAAGTCATCTAGCCGTTTCCAAAAACAGTACATTTTACCTTACATTTAATTTAATGTTTGATTGTTACCGATTTTACTTTTTACTGTGTTGTGAAATGTGATGGGTTGATCAGACGTGACTCCATAAAATAAAGCATACAGTAATTTAAGCTTGATATATTGAAAAGAGCGTTTTTTAGTGAGTTAGTTTTCTACGGGATGGGGACGCTAACCACATGCCCAACCCTCCTCCTTTACCCGGGCTTGGGACCGGCAGCAACCCTATAAGAGCTACAGGCGGAGTTTAGATAGAAGCAAACAAACAAGTGAAGAGGAGCACTAGAGCCGACAAGAAGAAATACGTGGAAGAAATAGCAACGACGGCAGAAAAAGCTGCTAGAGAAGGAAATATGAAACAGCTTTACGATACAACGAAGAAACTATCAGGGAAATACAGTAAACCAGAGAGGCCGGTCAAAGACAAAGAAGGCAAGCCAATCACCGAAATTCAACAACAACGTAACAGATGGGTAGAATACTTCGAGGAACTCCTGAATAGGCCGGCTCCAATGAATCCACCGGACATCGAAGCAGCACACATAGATCTTCCTATAGATGTCAATCCACCAACTACGGAAGAAATTAGAATGGCCGTCAGACAAATCAAGAACGGGAAAGCAGCAGGACCCGACAACATACCAGCTGAAGCATTGAAATCAGAAATCGAAACAACCACAAGCATGCTTTATCTTCTATTCAAAGAGATTTGAGAGGAGGAACAAGTGCCGATGGACTGGAAAGAATGACACCTCGTCAAGATTCCAAAGAAAGGAGATCTGAGCAAATGTGAAAACTACAGAGGCATAACACTACTGTCAATACCAGGGAAAGTCTTCAACAGATTGTTGCTGAACCGGATGAAGGATGCAGTAGACGCCCAACTTCGAGATCAACAAGCTGGATTCCGTAAGGATCGGTCGTGCACAGACCAAATTGCAACACTACGGATCATCGTCGAACAATCAGTTGAGTGGAACTCATCACTATACATCAACTTCATTGATTATGAAAAGGCATTCGACAGTGTAGACAGGAGGACGTTATGGAAAATTCTTCGACACTACGGAGTTCCTGAGAAGATTGTCAATATTATCCGGAACTCATACGACGGACTACAGTGCAAAGTAGTGCATGGAGGACAGCTGACAGATGCATTCCAAGTAAGGACCGGAGTCAGACAAGGCTGTTTACTTTCTCCCTTCCTTTTTTTCCTGGTGGTCGACTGGATTATGAAGACCTCAACATCTGAAGGAAAACACGGAATACAATGAACAGCTCAGAATTAATTAGACGATTTGGACTTCGCAGATGACCTAGCCCTCCTATCACGTACACACGAACAGATGCAGATGAAGACAGCCAGTGTAGCAGCAGTCTCTGCATCAGTAGGCCTCAGCATACACAAAGGGAAAACTAAGGTCCTCAAATTCAAAACGGAGAACAGCAATCCAATCACACTTGATGGCGAAACTCTGGAAGATGTAGAGTCCTTCACATACCTGGGAAGCATCATCGATGAACAAGGAGGATCCGATGCAGACGTAAAGGCGAGGATCGGCAAAGCAAGGGTCGCATTCCTACAATTGAAGAACATATGGAACTCAAAACAACTTTCAACCAATATCAAAGTGAGAATCTTCAATACGAACGTCAAGGCAGTTCTACTGTATGGAACTGAAACTTGGAGAACTACAACAACCACAATCAAGAAAGTACAAGTATTTATAAATAGCTGTCTACGCAAGATACTCAACATCCATTGGCCGGATACCATCAGCAATAGCCTTCTGTGGGAGAGAACAAACCAACTTCCAGCTGAAGAAGAAATTAGGAAAAGACGATGGAAATGGATAGGACATACATTACGCAAATCGTCAAACTGCATCACGAGGCAAGCCCTAACTTGGAATCCTGAAGGGAAGCGAAAAAGAGGAAGGCCAAAGAACACATTGCGTCGGATAATAGAAGGAGATATGAAAACGATGAATTACAACTGGACGGAGCTAGAAAGCATTGCCCAGGACAGGGTTGGATGGAGAACGCTGGTGAGCGGCCTATGCTCCTTCACGAGGAGTAACAGGCGTAAGTAAGTAAGTAAGTAATATTGAAAAGAAAACGAAGAAACTAACAAAGGTTACCGAATAAAGTGCCAAGCCTACCTTTCATATTATCCTGTATATTCGGTGCAAAACCACCCTCGTCACCAACGTTGCACGCATCCAATCCATATTCACGTTTGATTACAGCTTTTAAATTGTGGTACACCTCAGAACCGATCTTCATTGCTTCAGTGAAAGAGCTGGCCCCAGTAGGCAGAATCATGAATTCTTGCATGGCTAGCTTGTTGCCGGCATGGCTGCCACCATTAATGACATTGAATGCTGGGACAGGCATTATAACATTTTCGTGCCCAGCTAACTTCGCAATATACCTATAGAGAGGTAAACCCTGAAACAAAAGAAACCGCAAGTAAAATTTATGAAAAACACAAAGTAGGAGTACAGAACTGAAGTCTCAATAACTGGGCTTATTGCTTAAGTTTGTAGGTCATATCTAATATTTAATGTGCAAAATAAACTAAAATAAATTCAGTTTCTATATATTGATTAGAGAGTACAACTTAAACATAACTCACGGCTTCAGCTGCACCAGCTTTGCACACAGCCAAAGATACTCCCAATATAGCATTGGCCCCGAGTTTTTCTGAAATAAAGGATTATTTTTATATGAAAAATCTCAAATCTACAGAGCCTTTATAGGCGATACTATCGGTTTCATAAGTTACTATTGATATCATTAAAAATACAATTGATCATATATGCTAAAGTACCTGAAGCAATCAAAGATACATGAATACTTTATAAGTACTTCGGCCCTGGTACGGCCGAAGGTGGAGAGTCCACTTTCCCTCTCGAAATGCCCTCAGATGGCCACGCGTATACAGCCACTGCCAGGGAATTCCTATTCAGCCTTCTTGTGGCAGGGGTTGTTTACAAAACTGAGAGGACGAGAAGCGAGTGTTTGGAGCTCTAACCGGGTTGGTAGGCACAGAGGGTCTACCTAGGGGAGTTGGAAGACCCTGATTCCAAACCAACGATGGACATCGGTCCCAGGATCCTGAAGGAACAAATGGCGTATGAACCAATCATTGACCACCGGCTACCATGGAACTGCCCCCTAAGAAAACCAACTGCTTCGGTTTGGGCACCCGGGCAGTATCACAACCTACACACAAATCAAGCGACTTGTGTGGCACCTATCTATTTGGTATCCCTTTGTACCAATATTTGTGTTCAAGAAAATAAATAAAACTACCCCCTCAACGGTTGTGAGGCATATAACTTTGGTCGGTTGAGATTTTTGGAAGAGCTTAATTCAATATGTTACCCAAAACTTATTGTTCATAAGCAGGCTGATATCTACAATTCTTATTGTAAAGATCCACAAAAACTCAGCAGTTATAAGTTCTCCAAAGTAGGAAGCAACTTTACGAGCTATTTTATAGTTCTCGAAATGAGACTCATTTGTATTTATGCTTTTTAGTCGGTCACCAATTAGTTTTAAAACTGGAAAATGTATGTTAAACCAAGTTACCATGGAAAATCAGCATACAAAAGTGGAATAAAGACTATTAGTGCGAGCCAGAATAGGAGTGGAATCAATGAGAAAGATTAAACACTAAAAGCATTGTTCGAAAAGTAATGCAAAGATGTATATAGAGAAATTATGGAACTTCAACTTCAAAAAACAATTATAGAGTGTTTAAAATCAAGCTACTGGTGGGACTAAACATTAGAAAATTACGATATCATAGAATAGAATTGTTTACGGGCAGTTGATCTCACATTCGATACAGAACAAGTGAGTTTTAACGAACTACAATTTTTTTAAAGAAATAAGGCTTTTAATATATCACAAGTTTTTTGCAGAAAGAACGCTCTATTACCTGACATCATTTCTGAACGTGAAAATAAAGTCACTTGAGTGTAAATTGCACTTTTTACTTCTGAAGAACCAATTAACCTAACAAATAACGTTATTTACATATTTCATGTAACGACGAAAAGGGTCACCAAATAACTCACCCTTGTTTTCCGTGCCATCAAGTTCAATCATAAATCTGTCAATAGCTGCTTGGTCAGTTACGGGGATATTTTTTTGAATTAGAGCTGGAGCAATGATTGTATTCACATTACTGACTGCTGTTAAAACCCCCTTTCCCATATAAGCCTTTGACTTGGTATCACGTAACTCAAGAGCCTCATGGACACCTGTCGAAGCGCCACTTGGAACGGCAGCGCGGAATAAACCTGAAAAAAGAGTACGTTCACATATGAATCTATATATAAGATTTATCACAGTTAACTTCAAATGGAACTTAAAATCCGCTGCGGAACTACCTGGTAAATCAGTAACAAGGTATTAGATATCTATTCTCCACTGAGTATCGACCTTAACAAAACCCCATCTAACGAGCGAATTGTGGCGAATAAACATAAAATCACCAACTGCGACGATTAGTGTACAATAACAGTGGTGAGATCACGTTAGTACATGTGGAAGATTTGTGCATCAAGTTGAAAAAAAGACCAATGTTCATAAACTAATCGTCTAACAACATACCTTTAGATGTTTTTAAATCCACCTCAACTGTTGGGTTTCCCCGGCTATCGAAAATTTGACGGGCGTGAATTGATATAATGGACATTTTCTGTGGAGAAAAATTGTGGTTAGCTAGGTTAGAACATAATACAGTAAGAACGATGCTTTTTATCAACTTTTATTAGACTAATTTGTCACTAAGAGATAATGTAAACATTTACATTTATTCATTATATATTTCGGGGTTGACAAAATTATCCCAGTTTGATCGGTCATTCAGTTCTTTAACGACAATTTCAACGTACGGATCCAAGTATGGGATATCATCTTCAACGGTTGTCCACTCTTCCTTCGGCAAAATATTTTTCGAAGCGTAGAGATGAGTCGCTCGTGAAATTCGGAAGTCCCTAGCTTCCTGTAGTTCGCGCGGAAGTCGACGGAGAGCCTCGCGCCAAACAGGACTATGAGGTAGCCAATCATGTTTCAAAAGTCCAACCTGATTATAATAAGCATTGTTGAATCCGAACATTTTTATCTTTTTTTGAAGTTCACTCATCCGATTAAGACTGGAACGATACGATGATATAAATTCTGCACCAGTTCGAAGGTATGCCATCTTGAATATATTTCGCTAGCCTAAAAGGTAATGAATACAACCTTATATGAAAAATTGCTCTGAACTTATTGGAAAACGTATTTTTACACGCGAAGGACTAATTTACCGTGTAATATCTACTAATGCACTAACATAAACATGTTACAGTGCCTTTGTGATATGTGGAGATTGTTTATATTATAACACCTTTAGAACCTTAACGGACGACACTAATAGCCTTCACGAAAATAGGTTTATAAACATAGTACTTACCATGCCTATAAGCAAGAGAATAAGTATGTGACGCTCTTATAACTAATCCAAACTAACCAACGCAAACTTTACAGTACATTCATATAGTTTATAAACTAGCTGTTTAATTTGAATTAAGCAAAACGAGCAAATTAAATCTAAACTTGGGAAATCCCTACTGGGAGTCATTGGTGACCCTGATAGACACGAATGCGAACTAGATGAAAGCACCTATTGTCCATTACCACTTCGAATACTTTAGCAGTTCTGGGTCATATACGCTTAGGTCTGTTACTTGTGAGATTTCTGAAAATGCATGTTAACATCTGCGCATTCGACCTGGGTACTTCACAGAAATGTCCCCCAAATAGTCAACGTAGGGGTAGACGATTTTCCGCTACAAAAACTGACATCAAGAGGTAAAATTCACAATTCCCCTCTTAATTTAAGTTGTCACCTCACTTATTTCCTCGGCCTTGGTCATACGGGCTGTACAGAATCTAGACTGAAATACATTAAATAAATAATAGAGAATTCTTACAGTCCAGACTGTCAAACTAGATTTGTAATAAGTAGCATAAGTGTCAATGGGGAAGACTGCGTACCAAATCTCCAACCGACCCATGTCCCAAATAACCTACGTGACTTACTGCTTTACCAACCGATCTACATGGTCATCAGTTTATACAGTAAAACAATCCATGGTTTCAATATTTTTCAAAAAACCGAAAAGCGAGTACCTGACTTATTAACTGTTTCTAGAAAATCTTTTGCGTATTCTAAATACAAAAAACTTCTCTTTTTAAGCTAACACTACCGACCTAATGAAATTATCAATAATGACTGGAATTATGTCTTTTGTGATTACTGAGTAAAACATAAACTAGAAAAAGGGCTTCTGTCAATAAATTAGCAACATGATCGAACTTGATTTTAGTTTGAACGGTTTTTCATATTGACTAACATAGGTCAGTGTAAACAGTTGTAAGGCTTCGAACTGTAGCGGTAAAAAAAAATCCCAAAATCCGCATCAGATCATGAGTGGGTATGTGGTGCTACACATCGACAACCGCTAGCCAGCTTAGGTTAATCACTTCTCAATATATCGACATTCTATCGAATATATCTTCAAGCCTCTCATTTTCTGACTTCTGATTTGATTGAGTTGGCAGGTTTCGATCACAAAAGTGCTACTCTTTAGTGTTTTGTCTAACTCCGAATACTTGCGGCATCTTAGGTGATGAGATATGCAGGAGCTGACTTCCACGTGCGCGGCCTGACTGATCCGCATACACAATTCCTCCCAGTATTGAGAGAACTACCGCATGATTTCGACAGGTACGTCACACCTAGTATGCATACTAGTGACGTCTCGGAACCTTACGAAACTCTACAACTCTACAACGTGGTTCAGCAATAGAACTGCTGCTACGAATGAGAGAGGTCATTGGTCAACCGACTTTTGATGAATATCTGTTTAGACAACTTTTCTCGTCCCATTCTAAAACAACGCTGTAGACGAGCTGTATCCATCTGCCGACCGCATACTGGAGATCACAAGAACTTCTAACTCCGAGGTATATCGAATGGAATAAAAACCTCAGACAACACAAAATGATATTAAAGGACTTTGTAATACTCTGACTCGTTACCTTAGTATTCGTCATGAACGTATGCGCTCACAAACTCCTCGTAGTTTTTCACGAAAACGTCTGTCTCTAGATCACGAGGGACAGATAACCCTGATTTGTGCCACCAAAATAATCAAAATGGTATGTCTTCTCGAAATTGCAGAACGCCCTGAAATCTTAAGAGCTCCAAGCCAACCGACACGGAAAACGTTCAGGGGAAAATTCCCAGCCGGCCTGTGTTAACAGAAAATTCAGGCGACAAATATAGCCATCTCTCATACATCACTGGTGTGATGACTAAATTTCGCTACCTCATCGACTTTGGTGCGGAAGTTGGCATTCTTCCTGAAAATTTTAACGACCGACTGGATGAAGCAGTTTTCAACCTACAGGCGGCAAATGGGAAACCGATTGCCACATATGGCAGGCGATATGCGTATCGTAACATGGTTTTACGGAAACCTAATCACTGGATCTTAGTTGTTGCAGATGCTTCCATGTCAATCATTGACGCAGACCTGCTAAAACATCATAATTTATTCACTGACACTCGCAAACGGGGGTTGGTGGATGACAATAACAAATTATTTGTTAGTGTAACTTCTAATTCCGATTTTAAACTATCCCTAGTCACTGTACAGAATACTACCGATTCATGCTATCAAAAAATACTCGATATGTACACCGAGATAAAACAAACACAGCCTAAGCAGCCATGTGCAACCAGAAATGTTACACATCACGTAACGACTACATTATTACCTGTATTTTTGAAAGCGCGCCAAATAGCTCCCGAAATGCCGAGGTTGGCTAAGAACGAATTCGATCATATGATAGACTCAGGAATCGTTCGGCTATCAAAAAACTCATGTGTATCTCCGTTACACATGGCCTCTAAAAGTGACAACAGTGATTGGCATCAACCTGGCGACTCTAGATTTCATCGGACACATCATTGATGCTAACGGTATATGACCTCCGAAAAGTAAAATGGCAGTCATTCTGGATTACCCAGAATCGACCACAATCAAGCAACTACGCACGTTCAGTGGTCTGGCAGGTTTCCATGGATGATTCATACCGAAACGTGCGTCTCTTATCAGACTCTTAACCAACCAGATTCGTGGAAATGCAAGAATCATCAATTTCGACGACATCGCATCAAAAGCATTCACCACAGTTAAGGAACTCATCGCAAAAATAACTATGCTCGCACACCGGGACACCGAAGCACCCATTAGTATCGCAGTAGACGCATCGGAATTAGAAGTCGGAGGAGCCTTACAATAATGGTTTAATCACACCTGCCAACCTTTGACATTCTTCTGGTATCAAGATACTGAACCGAGGTATAGTACATTCGATAGGGTACCCCTAGCTATATATTTTGCTGTACGCTGAGAGTTCACTCATTTCACCGACCACAAACCTCTTACCTTCTCTTCAAGTTCATCTTCAGACAAGTACTCTCTTCGAGAGTCTCAACAGCTGGACTACACTTCTCAGTTTAGTTTACGGATAAAGAGACATTACTATGCGACATATCTACAAGTAAGAATCGTCCAATAGTGCCGAAACACTACACAGGTTTCCTCATCCAGGCGTTCGTGCAACCGTCAAGCTTATAACAGAACTATTTTCGTTGGCCTGGTTCGACTAAAGACGTGAAGATGTGGGCACACTCCTGTGTAAGCTGTCAGAAATCCAAGGTAATTAGACACAACAAGTGTCATTTGAACTCCTTCGCAACTGCCGACGCTCGTTACGACCATGTTCATCTGGATTTGGTAGAACCTTGCCAGGTTTAAATAGACACTCTAACCTCTTAACGTGTGTGGACTGTTCTACTCGATGTCCAGAATGAGTAACCATGGATGACCCATGTCCTCGTCCATCGATGTGCAGAAAATTTTGAATGCCATTCAAATATCACTACAAACCGTAGACGCCGATTTGAATCCGGACTTAACCATTGTCATAGGCTCTCTAAATGTGTAAACCGAATCAGACTCCATGTTCTGTTTACCTTACTTTCCTACTTCGCAGTTATAATACATACTTTTCCCTCCTTAACTTATTACTTGGTGTAGACAGAGAACTCACTAGACCTATTGATGTTACTCAACTAAAGTTGATCGTTAGGGAACGCTTGTAGTGTCATTAGACCCTAACTACACAATCCTCAAAGCTGAACACGAGACAACTGGGGAAATGGATATTCAACATTAACTCGCAGAAAACCCCAGTGATGGAGAAGACGGGAACAATAAATTGAAGGAATTCGAATTGATCGGATAACATGGCTCAACCTCGAAGGCATGGTCGCTCTGTACAACCCGCTGCTACTCATATGAAAAGTATTGTTCTATCTCCAACTTGGATGTTTCCTCCATCATATATTGGTAATTGTTACGACACGATGACTCAATGTAGGCAACGATTTGTAAGGTTTTATAAATTAGGCAGCTACATCATGACAAATTTGGAATTTTAGAATTGGATCTATTATTAGAGCCATTTATTTTATTTCACCACTCGTTACCTTATCCATAGCTCATATATTTCTACACTTTTTCCCCTATTTTTGTAAACAACTAGCTTACAATATACTCTTCCTAATGCCTATACTTTGATTGGTAACCTATACTTTATACTATGAATAATTACAGCATTGCGTCAATGCCTTACCCACAGTTCACAATTTGTAACTGTCTGATAAGATTGTAAAATGGTGCTTATAGAAACAGTAGCTTCCAACAGGATGTAAAACACAGAGCATTGTGTGACGTATGATATATATATCTAAAATAACTTGAAATGAGCCTGACATCACAAAAGGAGGGGGTGGAGTTACTGACCAGTAAGCATTGATGGTGAGGGCGATGACTTCAACCCACTCATGCTTATGGGAAGAACGTTTTGTTTGTATCAAAATCTTTATGATGGAAAACAAGCAAATCATTCTGTGATATTGAGGTTATTCTCCTACCTTCACCATCCAGACTCATGTATCTAATTTTATGCTGCACTAGCTATTCTACTAATAACATGCTAACTCGGGTTTTTACACTAGGACTGTGTGGCAAGCATCTGATGGAAAAAGAATTTTAAAAATCAGACAACAAAAGATATAGTTATTAGTTTTCTAAAGACTTTACTCTCTTTATTCAATGTCCGTTCTAATAAACAGCCTTCCTTATTCGAACCTTGACTTGCCTTCCTTCATCTGAACTTACTCCACTTTGGTAAATATCACAATTCATTGTTCTTTATTACTGCATTATCTTATATGGAGCCTCTGATAGCATTTTGCTCTAGCAACTAGAGCTAGTATGAATTTATTCTAATAATTTACCTTACCTGTGTCTGTCCCACTACAAAATGTAAAGCATTGTTTAGCATTCATATCCAAGTGCCTTACGGCTCCCCTGTTTCTCTTTTTTTCAGAATCTTGCTCTAATGACACAGTTATGGAACGTACGACTACTGGAAAGTCTTGATGTACGCGCTTCCTTAAGGTCAAAATTTATGCCTAGCGTTCTACAAGTCTACTTTATAACAACTATAGACTTAAAAAGTTGTGGTGCATAAATACTTAGCACGACCAGAATTCTAACACAGCTATGCCGAACTTTGATCTGGTGTGTAACGTGGACGCGATGCCACTTTGGGAAAATATTTTGAAGACTGTATTCAGTGTAATAATAAAGCGTAAACCTAATCATTAACGCTCTCAGACATCTACACTAATGTACTGTTATTCACTTTTATTGATTATACCTACTTAACGACCCTACTAAGAGCCAACAAATGTAATTTGTAGATCATGCCTGTAAAATGGCGTTTACCTGCCCTTGCAGAAATATATTATTATTATCTCCTACAACGGCTAGCCAGCTAAGATTAATAACTTCTTGATACACCAATATTCTAACAAATATGTCTTCGGGCATCTTCTCTTCTGACTTCTGATTTGACTGGGTTGACACGTTTTGAT